GGGGCTTAAAACCGAGTTTTAAAGCACAGTTTTATTGTTTTCAACCCAAAGCAGCACTTTGGAAAGGGAATTTGATGGTGGAAGGGAAGGAGAAACCCAGAAAACTCAAAATTAAACTCACAAAACCCAAGCTCAACCCCAAGCTCAAACTAACCCCACAAAGCTCGACCCCAAACCCGAAACTAAACCCATAAAACCAAACTAAATCCACAAAATTCAACCACAAAACCCCAAATTAAACCCAAATCCAAATCTAAACCCACCAAACTCAAGCACAAACCCACAAAACCCAAACCTAAACCCACAAAACCCAACCTTAACCCCAAACCCAAACTAAACCCAGAAAACCAAAACTAAACCCAGAAAACCCGACCTTAACCCAAACCCCCAAAGCTCAACCCACAAAATTCAACCCCCACGAAACCTAAACCCCCAAAACCAAACCCCAAACCTAAACCCACAAAACCCAACCTTAACCCCAAACCCAAACCTAAACCCACAAAACCAAAACTAAACCCACAAAACCTAAACTAAACCCACAAAACCCAACCTTAACCCGAAACCCCCAAACTAAAACCCATAAAACCAAAACTAAACCCACAAAAACCAACCTTAACCCCAAACCCGAAACTAAACCCATAAAACCAAACTAAATCCACAAAATTCAACCACAAAACCCCAAATTAAACCCAAATCCAAATCTAAACCCACCAAACTCAAGCACAAACCCACAAAACCCAAACCTAAACCCACAAAACCCGACCTTAACCTCAAACCCAAAACTAAACTCATAAAACCAAAACTAAACCCACGAAACCTAAACCCACAAAACCCAAACCTAAACCCACAAAACCCAACCTTAACCCCAAACCCAAAACTAAACCCATAAAACCAAAACTAAACCCCAAACCTAAACCTACAAAACCCAACCTTAACCCCAAACTAAACCCATAAAACCCAACCCTAAAACCCAAAACTAAACTCACAAAACCCAACCTTAACCCCAGACTAAAACCCAACCTTAAACCCAAACTAAACCCATAAAACCAAACCTAAACCCACAAAACCCAACCCTAAACCCCAAACCCAACCAGGAGTTCACAGCAATGACAAAGCTGAACCACGCCCCAAAAATGAGTCAAAATTTGGGGATTTTAACATTTTCTGGGCAAAAATTCCAGGATTTCAAATTGTTCTGGGTAAAAATCTTGGGATTTTCATTTTCTGGGTAAAAAACCACTGAGGCAAACTCGATTTTAATCACACAGAGAAGTAAATTTTTAGGTTTTTGATGACACAAATCCCATTTTTAATGTCACAAATCCCATTTTTAGACAACAATTAAAGCAAATCCCACACGAGAAGAGACAGAAAAAGGAGCTGATCCTTCAATAAATTAAAATTTTAGCAATTAAGCAGGACAGGAATTAACAAACAGGAATTCCCAGCTCCAGAGCTGCAATTCCTTGGAATTATTTGCATAGTTCCTCCTTTTTTTTTTCCCCCCCCTTTGGAATTCAGAAAATCTTCAGAAATTCTGAATTCCAGGATAAAACCTTCCTACCTGGGAAGGGGAAAAAAAAAATCTCAGCAGCACAAAAAAGAATGGAAATGATCAAAATTCCAAGTTGGAATCTCCCAAATCCTCCAAAAAAAATTGGGAATTTCAACTGGAATTCCTTGGCCAGGAGGAAAAGAATTTTATCTATCATAATAAAGAGGAAAATTTTGGAATATTTTGGCACAGGAGCCTCTCCATGATTTGGGTTTTATCCCTGAAAATTCCACCAAAATCTCGTTGGTTTTTAAGGAGATAGAAGCAAATCCAGCTGCCCCAAAATTCCCAGAAAAAATGGGATTATTCCATGGGAAAAATGGATTTCTTCCCATCCCAAATTCTCCTCTTGGAAGGTTTGACCCCCAGGGAAAAGGAAATTCTCCAGGTGGGAGGCAGATCCAAGAGTTTTGTTCTCATTTTCCCATAAAAAATTTTGGGAAAAAAGGGGAGAACCAAAGTTCCCATCCCCATCCCTGGCAGGGAATGCCAAAGGATTTCTGCTGGGAGCAGCACTGGGAATGCTGGAATTCCAGGGGGTGAGAGAAATTCCAGGGATTTGGGATGGATTTAGGATGGATTTGGGATCCAGGAGAAAAATATGGAATTCCAGGGGGTGACAGTAAAATTCCAGGGATTTGGGATGGATTTGGGATGGATTCCAGACCCAGGAGGAAAAGAATTGGAATTCCAGTGGGTGACAGAGAAATTGCAGGGATTTGGGATGGATTTAGGATGGATTCCAGATCCAGGAAGAAAAGCTGGAATTCCAGGGGTGACAGAGACTTTTCCATGGATTTGGGATGGATTTAGGACTTTTCCATGGATTTAGGACCCTCAGTTTGGATGGAAAAGCTGCAGGAGGGAGACCCAGCCAGGAAAAAAAAAATCATTTTCCAGCTCTTTGAACTTCCCAAAATTCCTCAGGCAGGACTGAGATCCGTGGGAGAAGCTGAGGCTGGTGCTTGGAATTTGGGAATGCCTCTGGAGCTCAAATTCCAGGGATTTCCCACACCAAAAATCCCATTTTTCCACTGGCAGGAGCTGTCCCGATCCCTGTGGCTCATCCCAAAAACCCCTGAGTGCCCCAAAAGCAGGAATTCCCAATTCCACCAGGAATGGATTATCCCTTGGAGAACATTCAGTCCAAGGCTTGAGCTGGAAAAATTCCCAAAAAAATCCCAAGATTTGGGATCAGGCCTGGATAGAGCACCAGGAGAGCGGGAAAACGCTCCCAGTGGGATCTGGGATTTGCTTCCAAAGGATCCTGCATCTTAATTACTGTCATAATTAATTAGCATGGTTAGTTAGCATAATTAATTAGCATAATTAATTGCTGTCCCAGGTTAAAGCAGTGGCACTTGAGAGGATCCCTTTGCCCTGGCCCAGAATGGATCCACATCCCAAATCCCTGCTCCAGTTTTGGGGTCACATCCCAAGCAAAGTCCCCAAATTCCTTAAGGATTCTGTCCAAACAGGGAAAATCCCCCAAATTCCAGAAGGATTCTGTCCAAACAGAGAAAATCCCCCAAATTCCTTAAGGATTCTGTCTAAACAGGGAAAATCCCCCAAATTCCAGAAGGATTCTGTCCAAACAGAGAAAATCCCCCAAATTCCTTAAGGATTCTGTCTAAACAGGGAAAATCCCCCAAATTCCAGAAGGATTCTGTCCAAACAGAGAAAATCCCCCAAATTCCTTAAGGATTCTGTCTAAACAGGGAAAATCCCCCAAATTCCAGAAGGATTCTGTCCAAACAGAGAAAATCCCCCAAATTCCTTAAGGATTCTGTCTAAACAGGGAAAATCCCCCAAATTCCAGAAGGATTCTGTCCAAACAGAGAAAATCCCCCAAATTCCTTAAGGATTCTGTCTAAACAGGGAAAATCCCCCAAATTCCAGAAGGATTCTGTCCAAACAGAGAAAATCCCCCAAATTCCTTAAGGATTCTGTCTAAACAGGGAAAATCCCCCAAATTCCAGAAGGATTCTGTCCAAACAGAGAAAATCCCCCAAATTCCTTAAGGATTCTGTCTAAACAGGGAAAATCCCCCAAATTCCAGAAGGATTCTGTCCAAACAGAGAAAATCCCCCAAATTCCTTAAGGATTCTGTCTAAACAGGGAAAATCCCCCAAATTCCAGAAGGATTCTGTCCAAACAGAGAAAATCCCCCAAATTCCTTAAGGATTCTGTCTAAACAGGGAAAATCCCCCAAATTCCAGAAGGATTCTGTCCAAACAGAGAAAATCCCCCAAATTCCTTAAGGATTCTGTCTAAACAGGGAAAATCCCCCAAATTCCAGAAGGATTCTGTCCAAACAGAGAAAATCCCCCAAATTCCTTAAGGATTCTGTCTAAACAGGGAAAATCCCCCAAATTCCAGAAGGATTCTGTCCAAACAGAGAAAATCCCCCAAATTCCTTAAGGATTCTGTCTAAACAGGGAAAATCCCCCAAATTCCAGAAGGATTCTGTCCAAACAGAGAAAATCCCCCAAATTCCTTAAGGATTCTGTCTAAACAGGGAAAATCCCCCAAATTCCAGAAGGATTCTGTCCAAACAGAGAAAATCCCCCAAATTCCTTAAGGATTCTGTCTAAACAGGGAAAATCCCCCAAATTCCAGAAGGATTCTGTCCAAACAGAGAAAATCCCCCAAATTCCTTAAGGATTCTGTCTAAACAGGGAAAATCCCCCAAATTCCAGAAGGATTCTGTCCAAACAGAGAAAATCCCCCAAATTCCTTAAGGATTCTGTCTAAACAGGGAAAATCCCCCAAATTCCAGAAGGATTCTGTCCAAACAGAGAAAATCCCCCAAATTCCTTAAGGATTCTGTCTAAACAGGGAAAATCCCCCAAATTCCAGAAGGATTCTGTCCAAACAGAGAAAATCCCCCAAATTCCTTAAGGATTCTGTCTAAACAGGGAAAATCCCCCAAATTCCAGAAGGATTCTGTCCAAACAGAGAAAATCCCCCAAATTCCTTAAGGATTCTGTCTAAACAGGGAAAATCCCCCAAATTCCAGAAGGATTCTGTCCAAACAGAGAAAATCCCCCAAATTCCTTAAGGATTCTGTCTAAACAGGGAAAATCCCCCAAATTCCAGAAGGATTCTGTCCAAACAGAGAAAATCCCCCAAATTCCTTAAGGATTCTGTCTAAACAGGGAAAATCCCCCAAATTCCAGAAGGATTCTGTCCAAACAGAGAAAATCCCCCAAATTCCTTAAGGATTCTGTCTAAACAGGGAAAATCCCCCAAATTCCAGAAGGATTCTGTCCAAACAGAGAAAATCCCCCAAATTCCTTAAGGATTCTGTCTAAACAGGGAAAATCCCCCAAATTCCAGAAGGATTCTGTCCAAACAGAGAAAATCCCCCAAATTCCTTAAGGATTCTCTCCACAAGTCCCCAGATCCCTCTGGAATTCTCCCCAAACAGGAAAAATCCCCCAAATCCCTCAGGAATTCTCCCCCAACACCACAAATCCCCCCGAATCCCTGAGGAATTCCCCCATCCTCCGGCAGGAACCCCCGGAGCAGCACCAGGACCCTCCAAAGCCCCCGATCCCGCCGGGGCTGAGATTTGGCACAAACCCTTTGGGATTCCTGCGGGATCAGCAGCTCCCGGGGATTTCCCGGGCTCGGGAAGAGGGGCAGGGGCGCTCCGGGGCTGGGGTCACACGTTGCTGACCCGGCTGTCGGCGGGGCCGGGCGGGCCCAGGGAGCGCTCGCGGCGGACGTAGCGCGGCTTCCGCACTGCCGGGACAAAATATCCCAAAAAAACCCCTGGGAATGGGGTCCCAGAGGGAATTCCCAAAGGGAGAGAGGGTGGAATGTGGGGATCGAGGTGCAGTGGGGTTTGGGGTTGAGTTTTATGGGGCTGGGGTTGAATTTTGTGGTTTTTAACCCCAAACCCAGTATTAACCCCACAAAACCCAAAATCCCCAAAACCCAAAATCCCCAAAACCGAGCCTAAATCCCCAAAACCCAACCCCCCAAACTAAGCCCCCTAAACTCAACCCCAAACTCAAAATTAAACCCCCAAACCCAAACTAAACCCTCAAATCCCAAACTCAGAACCCCAAAAATGGACTTCCCACCAGAAATCCCACCAATATTTTGCCCTGCATGAATCGAAGCAACAAATCCTATTAGAAAAACCAAATCCCACTGGATTTCTGTTCCTCATCCCGGGAATTTTTGGGATTTTCTGTTTATTTTTAGCACATTCCAGGGGAAATTTCCTCACCTGAAGAAGCTGGAGGAGAGATCATGGATGCCTGTGGAACAGAAGGATAATGTCAAAAAAAAGCAATTTTTAACAGTTTTTCCTTAAAAAATCAGGAATTTTTAAAAATTCCAGTATTATTCATGTCAAAAAAAGCAATTTTTAACAGTTTTTCCTTAAAAAATCAGGAATTTTTAAAAATTCCAGTATTATTCATGTCAAAAAAAGCAATTTTTAACAGTTTTTCCTTAGAAAAATCAGGAATTTTTTAGCATTCCTATGATTTTCACTGTGTACAGAGTTTTTTCCTTAGAAAAAACCCTCAATTTTTTCATTTCTCTCCCAGTTTGGATCCAAAGAACCCCAAAATATCTTTAATTTTATTTTAGTCTCATTCATCAATTAAGGAGCTGCTTAATAAAGTCCCAATTTAGTTAATTAAAATGGAAATTCTTGTTTATTTAATGTTCCTATAAAAGCAGAATTCACTCACTGTTTCACTGGGCTGGAGAACAGATGCTAAAAGAGAAAAAAAATTAAGATTATTTTAATTAATTTGAAGGCTGGAATTGTTAGTTTTCCAAAAATACAGCCTTGGAGGGAATATTTTCTTGTTAAAAAAAAAGAATTTTGTCCCAAAATCCAACCAAAATATTCCAAAATCCCATTTGGAGAATTTATTGGGTGTAGGACTCTCAAGACTGGAGAATTTATTGGCACAAAATGGGGATTTTCTCCACAGAATGGGAATTTATTGGCACAAAATGCGAATTTTCTCCACAAAATTGGAATTTTTGAGCTCAAAATGGGAATTTTCTCGTAAAAATGGGAATTTATGAGCTCAAAATGGGAATTTTCTCCACAGAATGAGAATTTATTGGCACAAAATGGGGATTTTCTCCACAAAACTGGAATTTTTGAGCTTAAAATGGGAATTTTCTCCACAAAATTGGAATTTATGAGCTCAAAATGGGAATTTTTTCCTGAAAATGGGAATTTTCTCCTAAAAATGGGAATTTATGAGCTCAAAATGGGAATGTTCTCGACAGAATTGGAATTTATGAGCTCAAAATGGGAATTTTCTCCACAGAATGGGAATTTATTGGCACAAAATGGGAATTTTCCTCCACAAAATGGGGAATTCAGCCTCCCAAAATGGGCATTTTCAGGGGAAAATCCCCATTTCCGTCAATTAACAGAGCAAAGCTCATTAACCAAAGCATAATCAAAGGGTTTTTCTACCTTTGTTCCTCCTGTAGAAAATCTTTGGGAGTTTGTTGGCTCGTTTGAGGTAGAAAAAAGAAGCCACAGAGAGGATCAGGAACAAACTGAGGAAAAACGTCCCCAAAATCAGCGAGGCGGCGACTTCGGGGCCCCCTGGAAATGGAAAATGATCATTAAAAGGAGAAAAATCTGGCTTGGAGCAAAAAATCTCTTTTCCTCAAAGGATTAAATGAAAATAAAGAGCAAATTCCTGAGTTTTAGGTGCTGTTGGAGCATTCCAGGTGCCTGAAATTGAGTTTTGATTTCAGTGGCAGCTGCCAGGGGTTAAATCAGTTTTAATGTATTGGAATCAATTAAATCAGTTTTGACAAATTAAATCACTTTTTAAACTCATTTCAACAAATTAAACCACTTTAAATGCATTAAATCCCTTTTTCAGCTAATTCAATCCCATTTTAACAAATGAAAAAAACACTTTCATTGGTTAAACATTTTTTTAAAGTCATTAAATCACTTTTAAAATTAATTTTAACAAATTCAAACACTTTTAACTCATAAAATCCCTTTTAAAACTCATTTTGACAAATAAAATCCTTTTAAACTCATTCAATCCCTTTATAAACTCATTTTAACAAATTAAATCCTTTTTAACTCATTAAATCCCTTTTTAAACTCATTAAATGCCTTTTTAAAACCATTTTAGCAAATTAATTCACTTTTAACTCATTCAGTCACTTTCTAAACTGATTTGAACAAATTCAATCACTTTTTAAACTCATTTTTTTAAATTCAATTGCTTTTACACTCATTAAATCCCTTTCTAAACTCACAAAATCACTTTTTAAACTCGTTTTAACCAATTAAATCCCCTTTTAAACTCATTTGAACTCATCAAATCCCCCAAATCCTCCCGAAATTCCAGGTGCTCACCAAAGTTCTGGATGAAAGGAGTGCTCACGTTCAGGTGGGAGCTCAGCCCTCTGCTCCCAGCTGGAAAAAACCAAAATATTTCCACTAAAATCCATCCCCAGCCCAAATTTTACCATTTCCCCCCTTCCTGCACACCAAATTCCCAAATTTCCACTGCTTTTCCCACTCAAAATCCCACCAGGAATTTGGGAATATTTTTTATATTCTGTGGAATAAAAATCTCTTTTTTTTTTTTTTTTTGCTGCGTTTTTGAGGAGTTTTTGCTGTGAGGAATAAATGGCAATTAATAAATAAAAAGAATTAAATTTAATTTAATTCAAATTAATTCAAGGATGTGGGATAAAAATCTCCATTTTTTTCCTGCCTTTTGGTGGAGTTTTTGCAGTAATTGACGCCAATAGATTAATTAAAAAGATACAATTAATTCCAATGAATTTAATTAAATCTAATTAACAAAAATGGGTTAAAAACTCACAATTCCTGCACTCGCTGAGGTTGTGCCCAGAGGGGCTGGGCAGGGTCTCATTCCTGCATTTGATGCAGCTGCTGCTCCCATCCTCATTCCACCTCCTGTAGCATCCTGCCCAAAAAAAACAGGGAAAAAGGGATAAAACCAGCAAAATTCCCAATTTTCTGACAATTCCCAGAGTTTAGAGGGGAAAAACCAGCAAAAAATTCCCTTTTTTTTGGGTTACAAACAGCACCTGATTCCCTCTTTTCCCACACTAAAGAGGTTTTATTCTCAAATTTTATTCCCAATTGTAATTCCCAGTTTTTATCCCAGGAAAAAATAACTTTCCCAAGGGGAAAAGGAGAAGGAATTCTAAGGAAATAACATTAATTAATTAATTAGCAACCCCCAGCTGCTGGATTTTGGTGTTCAAGTCCAGAAAATCTGGGAATTTTTGATCCCTGGAATTCTCCAGTGTTTATCCCAGAAAAATAAAACTTTCCAAAGGGAGAAAAAGGAGGAGGAATTTCAAAGGAAGAACAAAATTCAGGAAGTTTTTATCCTTGGAATTCTCCAAGGCCGCAATGATTATCCCAAAAAATTAAATTTTCTAAAGTGATAAAAGGAAGAGAAATTAGAAGGGAATATCATTAATTAATTAATTGATTTCCACTCCCCAGCTGCTGGAATTTGGAATTAAAGTCCAGAAAATCTGGGAATTTTTGATCCCTGGAATTTTCCAAGGCCTGCCCACGGAATAAATGATTTTTAGGGGTTTTTCCAAGCCCCAATTCCACGGATTGATCCCAAAGAATTCCCTACCTGGGCTGCACTGGTGGCTGACAGGGCAGGAGCTGTTGGAATCCAACATTTCCACACAACATTCCGGGTCTGGCACCTGAGGAGAGAAATTCCCAAGGAATTCCCACTTTTCCATCGAGGAAATAATAAGAAATAGAAAAAATAAATTCAAAATCCTCACAGAAATTAAGGATAATTCAGTTAAAACCCACTGGAATTTTTTTTTTCCAGCAAGAAGGAGAAAACTTGTTTTATTTTATATTTTATTTTTATTTTATAAATCAATTTGATTTTTCTAAATCCATTTTCTTTTTATTTTAGATAGAAATTTTATTTTTAAAAATCTATTTTGTTTTGCTTTTAGAAATCCATTTTATTTTAGATAGAAATTTTATTTTTTAAAATCTATTTTGTTTTGCTTTTAGAAATCCATTTTATTTTAGATAGAAATTTTATTTTTTAAAATCTATTTTGTTTTGCTTTTAGAAATCCATTTTATTTTTATTTTCTAAATAAAAAATAGAGAAAAGTTGGGATAAAAAAGTTTTAAATTTTATTTTGATTTTATAAATCCATTTTCTTTTTATTTTAGATAGAAATTTTATTTTTTAAAATCTATTTTATTTTGCTTTTAGAAATCCATTTTATTTTTATTTTCTAAATAAAAAAAATAGAGAAAAGTTGGAATAAAAAATAAAATTATTTTAAAAAATTAAATTAAACTAAATTCCTGGAGCACCCACCGAGTTTTCTGTGGATTTTCCAGCAACTTCTGCCACGAGCCTGGTCAGAAGAAGCACAAAGGGCACCTCCATTCCCAGGAAAAACACGGATCTGGAGAAAATTTGAGAATAAATTCCAATTATTTATTAATAGCACTGGAATTCTCCTTCCCTTTAAAGAAGTTTAGGGGGAAAAGGGGGGTGGGAAGAGTAAGGAAACACAGATGAAAAAGGATTATTTCTTATAAAACATAATCAAATTATTTCGATTTTTATCAATACCTGCTTATTCAAAGAGTAAGAAAACACAGATAAGGAAGGATTATTTATTAAAAAAAAGATACTAAAACTAAATTATTATTTTAAAAAATAGATTATTCTTACCTAGAAGAATACTCTTGAGGAACAGCTCATAATCAAGGGAAAATTTGGGTGGAAAAAGCCCCTTGGAAGTGCTGGGTCCTCCTGAAGGGCACAGCTCGATCAGCTCAGTCCTGCTGGGATTTCCATGCCTAAAATAAATCAGGACACCGAGGATTTCTGACCCCAGCCTCTCTCTGCAGCAATAGTTTTTATTTCCATCAGCCAATAATTTTTATTTCCATCAGCCGGAGGGAATTTGGAAACATTTGATGGAGCTGGAGCTGTTGGGGTTTTTTATTGAACCAGTTAGAAAGCAAAGCCGAGCTCAAAAAGCTGCTTTAAAAGTTTCTAAACACTTGAAATATTTGGTATTTTAAACTTGATTTTGGCTTAATTTTTAAAATTACTTTATTCCTACTTAATTCCCTCCGAACCATCCCAAAATTCACAAATTCCCCACAGATTTCCTCAGGATCAAACACCCACAGTGAAATTAATTCCCTCAAAAAATCTGTTTCACGTTTGGTAGCGTTTTCCCTGTGGATTTTGGGGGAAAAAAATGCAGCAATAATTTTTATTTCCATCAGCCAATAATTTTTATTTCCATCAGCCGGAGGGAATTTGGAAACATTTGATGGAGCTGGAGCTGTTGGGGTTTTTTATTGAACCAGTTAGAAAGCAAAGCCGAGCTCAAAAAGCTGCTTTAAAAGTTTCTAAACACTTGAAATATTTGGTATTTTAAACTTGATTTTCGCTTAATTTTTAAAATTACTTTATTCCTACTTAATTCCCTCCGAACCATCCCAAAATTCACAAATTCCCCACAAATTTCCTCAGGATCAAACACCCACAGCGAAATTAATTCCCTCAAAAAATCTGTTTCACGTTTGGCAGCGTTTTCCCTGTGGATTTTGGGGGGAAAATAAATAAATAAATAAATAAAAATATAAATAAAAATAGATATAAAACCTCTGCCTGAATTAGAAGATATTTTTCCCTCAGGATTTTCCCACCAGCACAGGAAAATATGAGAATTCCTACAAGGATTTCACACCCCAGGAAGGAACAACAACTTTTAGCATTTTCTGCTCAAACACAACATTCTGCTGCCTCCATGGAGGAGGTTTTACCTCATAAATTGAAATTTAGAGAGGAAAAAAAAAACCCCAAAACCTCAGGGGATTCAGGATCTACCAACCCTGAGGAGAGGAGGAGGAGGAGATACAAATTCCCTCCAAACCATCCCAAAATTCACAAATTTCCTCAGGATCAAACACCCACAGCAAAATAAATTCCCCCGGAGGGAATTTGGAAACATTTGATGGAGCTGGAGCTGTTGGGGTTTTTTATTGAACCAGTTAGAAAGCAAAGCCGAGCTCAAAAAGCTGCTTTAAAAGTTTCTAAACACTTGAAATATTTGGTATTTTAAACTTGATTTTCGCTTAATTTTTAAAATTACTTTATTCCTACTTAATTCCCTCCGAACCATCCCAAAATTCACAAATTCCCCACAAATTTCCTCAGGATCAAACACCCACAGCGAAATTAATTCCCTCAAAAAATCTGTTTCACGTTTGGCAGCGTTTTCCCTGTGGATTTTGGGGGGAAAATAAATAAATAAATAAATAAAAATATAAATAAAAATAGATATAAAACCTCTGCCTGAATTAGAAGATATTTTTCCCTCAGGATTTTCCCACCAGCACAGGAAAATATGAGAATTCCTACAAGGATCTCACACCCCGGGAAGGAACAACTTTTAGCATTTTCTGCTCAAACACAACATTCTGCTGCCTCCATGGAGGAGGTTTTACCTCATAAATTAAAATTTAGAGAGGAAAAAAAAACCCCAAAACTCTCAGGGGATTCAGGATCTACCAACCCTGAGGAGAGGAGGAGGAGGAGATACAAATTCCCTCCAAACCATCCCAAAATTCACAAATTTCCTCAGGATCAAACACCCACAGCAAAATAAATTCCCCTAAAAATCTGTTCCATGTTTAGCAGCATTTTCCTTGTGGATTTTGGGGAAAAAAAACCCCAAAAAACCAGAGATTTAAAGCCACACCCAAGCTGCGGCCTGAATTAGAAGATATTTTTCCCTCAGGATTTTCCCAGAAGAGCAGGAAAATCATGGAATTCCAACAAGGATCTCACACCCCGGGAAGGAACAACATTTTCTGGTCAAACACAACATTCTGCTGTCTCCAAGGACAAGGTTTTACCTCATAAATTGAAATTTAGAGAGGAAAAAAACCCCCAAAACCTTCAGGAGCTTGAGGAGCCACCTGAGGAGAAGCGAAGCGTGAGGGGAGGTTTGGGCGGGAAATTGGGAAGGAATTCTGCCCTGGGATGGAATTCCCAGGGAATTGTGGCTGCCCCATCCCTGGAATTGTCCCAGCCAGGTTGGATAAACCTGGGATATTGGAAAGGATGAGCTTTAAATTCCCTCCATCCCATCCCAATGTAGAAATTTCCCACAAATTTCCTCAGCAAAAATAAATTCCCCTAAAAATCTGTTCCATGTTTAGCAGCGTTTTCCCTGTGGATTTAGGAGGAAAAAAAAAAAAAATATATATATATATATATAAAGTCTCTGTTGAATATGAAGATATTTTCCCCTCAGGATTTTCCTACCAGCTCAGTTTGGGGCAGGCAGATTTCAGAATTCCAGCAAGGATTTCCCAGGCTGGGTGTCAGGTTTGGAACAAATCCCAAATCTCTGCCAGCTCAGATCCCCAAGGGAGTGAATCCCACGAGGGAATTCTGCCTCTTGTTGCTTTTCAAAAGCAACACAAACACCTCAGGAACACCGAGGGCTTTCCTCCCACTCCTGCAAGCAAAATGCTTTCATTATCTCCAGAGTTTCCTTTTTCTTTCTGCTGCATTATCAGCTTTTTTCTTGCTGGAGCCTGGGAATTACTCCAGCAGCTGGAAAAGGATGGAAGTGGAGAGAAACTGTGCCTGAAATTCAGGTGGTTTCACAATTCCCTGGGGTTGGAAGCACATCACACCCAAAAGCTGCTTAATTCTGAAGAGATAAAGCTGAGGGCAGAAGCAGAGAGGGCTGGAAAAGCTGAGATGGTAAAACTCAGGAGAAAAGCTGAAATCATAAAGCTGAGAGAAGAATTAAAGGGTTTTAAACATTGAAATTATAAAACTGAGTGAAGAATCAAGGGTTGGAAAGGCTGAAATCATACAATAGAGCAGATTCAGACAGGTTTTAAAAGCTGGAATGATAAAACTGAGGAGAAAAGTTGAAATTATAAAACTGAGAGAAGAATTAAAGGGTTGGAAAAGCTGAAATTATAAAACTGAGAGCAGAAGCAGACAGGTTTTAAAAGCCGAAATGATAAAACAGAGAAGAATGGAAGGGTTTTAAAAGCTGAAATGGTAAAACTGAGGAGAAAAGTTGGAATTATAAAACTGAGATAAGAATGAAAGGGTTTTAAACTTTGAAATGATAAAACTGAGAGAAGAATTGAAATTATAAAACTGAGAGAAGAATGAAATGATAAAATTGAGAGAAGAATGAAAGGGTTTTAAAAGCCGAAATGATAAAACTGAGAAGAAAAGTTGGAATTATAAAACCGAGTGAAGAATGGAAGGGTTTTAAAAGCTGAAATGATAAAACTGAGAGAAGAATGGAAGGGTTTTAGACACTGAAATGATGAACCAGAGAGGAATGGAAGGGTTTTAGACACTGAAATGATGAACCAGAGAGGAATGGAAGGGTTTTAGACACTGAAATGATGAACCAGAGAGGAATGGAAGGGTTTTAGACTCTGAAATGATGAACCAGAGAGGAATGGAAGGGTTTTAAGAGCTGCAAGTGCCACTCACCTGCAGGCTCCCAGGAGCCCTGTGCACCTTGCCCAGCTGCCAGCAAACACCTGAGGCTCGTGCTTTGCTGCTCATTTCACCAGGAACCTGCTGTGGCACACAGAAAAGTTTAACAAAACAATCTTTTATCAGTCCCAGCTGGAGCAGGACTCGTTTTTCCAGCTTGGAGCTGAGCCCCAGTCCTGCCCTTTCCACGGCTGTGGTTTTGTAACAGCGCTCAGCAATTAAAAGCTCGGGTTAATCGGAGCCACCTTAAGCCAGGCTTTGCTACAAAAGCTGCTCCACACCTGCCTTGAGCAAACATTCATTCAGATTTACTGCTGGGACACCTTCTGCTCTTACAGCATGGAAAAATCAGGAGGAGAGATGAATATTGCACAGGGGAAAAGTGGTTTGGGGAAGGAGAAATGAATATTCCACAGGGAAAGGTGGTTTGGGGAAGGAGAAATGAATATTGCACAGGGAAAGTGGTTTGGGGAAGGAGTAAGGAATGTTCCACAGGGAAAGGTGGTTTGGGGAAGGAGAAAGGAATATTGCACAGGGAAAAGTGATTGGGGAAGGAGAAAGGAATATTGCACAGGGAAAAGTGATTGGGGAAGGAGAAAGGAATATTGCACAGGGAAAAGTGATTGGGGAAGGAGAAAGGAATATTCCACAGGGAAAAGTGATTTGGGGAAAGAGAAATGAATATTGCACAGGGAAAGGTGGTTTGGGGAAGAAGAAAGGAATATTCCACAGGGAAAGGTGGTTTGGGGAAGGAGAAATGAATATTGCACAGGGAAAAGTGGTTTGGGGAAGGAGAAAGGAATATTGCACAGGGAAAGGTGGTTTGGGAATGGGATAAAGGAATGTTCCACAGGGAAAGGTGGTTTGGGAATCCCTGGAATGGGATAAAGGAAGGGATAGGAAGGGATTTAAAGGGCACTCAGTGTCACCTTGCTCTGCCCCAGGTGGCTCCAAGCCCTGTCCAGCCTGGCTTTGCGCATTCCAGGGATGGGATATCCATGGGATAACCAGTGCCAGGATCCCAGCAGCCTCACAGGGAGGGATTTCTTCCCGAAATCCAACCTAAACCCACTCCTTGTGGCTTGGAATTCATCCCCCCTTGTCGTGTCGCTCCATCCCTTGGATATTCCCCTTCCTGCTCTCGGGAAGGTCACAGTGAGGTGGCCACAAAGATTCCCCTCTCCAGGCTCAACAATCCCAATGTTTTTATGGCCAATTTGGGGGCTTTTTTCACCCCTAAACGGAGCACCAAAACCCGTATAATTGGGATGTGCACGTGGGGGAAGCTCAGCCAGGAAAAACACACCGAAAATATCTCCAAATTCCCACGACCCCAGCAATCTCACATCGGCAAAAAATCGTCTTCGACCGAGTTAAATTGTTGGGAAATAAAAGTTTCAGGCGGGGATGAGAAGGAGAGGACTCCGTTCCAAACGCAGCTGGCCCCAAAAGCGCTGGGCAAGGAGCAGGAACAAGGGGGCGACTTTTAATCCCAAATCCCTGCGACCCCCCTGGTGCCCATTTCCCTGCACAACTCGGCGACTCCATGAGGAACCGCTGCCCACCAGGAACAATGGCGCCCCACCCAGGGCTCCCCGCTCAGCCCCGGGGCTCGCCGCCCGTTCTCCCTCCCGCTTCCTCCTCCTCCTCACCTGAGGGCTCCCCTGAGCATCCCCCCGCCACCGCCGAGGTTCCCGTTCGTACCCCCCGCCCTCCACCGGCGCCCAGCCCGCTGCGCCCCGCGGCGCCCTGGGAGTTGTAGTCCCGCGGCCGCCGCCCGCCGCGGGACTTCGCCTAGCGGCCGCTCCGCCAAAAACTACGAATCCCAACAGCACCCGCGGCGCGCCCCACCTGTACCCCACTCCCCGCAGGTAAATGCGCTCTCTCAGCCTTTTCGCGCGGCGCCGCGGTGCCTGCTGGGAAAGGGAGTCCCGCGCTGCCGGCGGGGCGCGGGGGCGGTGGGGTCTCCGCACTACAACTCCCGGCGTGCCCCGCGCGCGCGCCGCCATTTTAGGCGTTGCCTGGCAACGCTGACGCGGCGGGAGGGAGGAAGCGGCGGGGTCGAGGCCTGTGCGCCCCAAAATCCCGGGAATTCGGGAAAATCGGGAAAAACAGCTGTGCCAGATGTGGCTGCCCCACCGCTGGCAGTGCCCAAGGCCAGCCTGGAGCAATCTGGGACAGGGGGAGGTGTCCCTGCCCAGGGAAAGGGGTGGGACTGGATGGGATTTAAGATCCCACCCAAACCATCCCATAATTCCATAAAGGAAACCGTGTGGTTTATTTCCCATAAAAACCTCCTTCTTCTGTGGTTTATTCCCCCCTACAGATCCCCTTCAATGTGATTTATTTCCGCTAAAAGTCTCCTTTGATGTGGTTTATTTCCCCTTTTAAGCAGCACCTTCCTCAATCCCAGAATTTTCCTCATTCCTTGCAGCACAAATCCATTCAAATTTGGCATTTCCAAGCCAGCTCCTGATTTCCCTCAGGGTTTTTTTTTTCCTTTCTGGTAAAAACATAAATAAAAACCTTCAAAAGCCTCATTTAGATAAATTTGGAGCTGCTCCTCACCTTTATTTTGAGGAAAATCTGTTTTTCTGCTTAAATTATCACGGAAAAGATTCCTGGAGGTTTTGGATGTCTTCCCTAAACTGGAAGTTGCAAATTATACACAAAATACGGATTGGTTTTGTCGGATTTTTCTTTATTTTAAAGCAAGACTGCCTCAAAATGCAAATGTTTGTAAAGGTAGGAGGTGAAAAACTCCATGAATATTCATAAAATGTGATAATTATCCCAATTACGGCTAACGAGGAAATCTTCCTTCATTTCCATGGCTTTGTAAATATTATTTTTTTTAAATAAAAAGGGAAGGAGGGAGAAAAGGAGAGCGGGGATCGCTCCTGAGGCTCCAAAATTGAATCTAAAAAAAGTAATAAATATAAAAAAAGAGAAATCCATGAAGGATTTTCTGGGATGGGAATGGGGATGGAATGGGGATGGGAAAGGGGATAGGGTGGGATGGGAATGGGAATGGGAATGGGAATGGGGATGGGGCAGGGAATGGGAATGGGGATGGGAAAGGGGATGGAATGGGGATGGGAATGGGAATGGGAATGGGGATGGGGATGGAATGGGAATGGGAATGGGAAAGGGAATGGGGATGGGGCAGGGAATGGGAATGGAGAATTCCTGAACTCACTGAATTCCTGATTCCTTGGAATCCCAACCCCTCCTTCCTACCTGGATGTGCTCTGGGCAGTGCAAACCATTCCCGGGAATCCCTGGGCTGTGAGGATCCCGTGGATCCTGGAAAAGCAGGAATGGGGGATCCCTGGATGTGGAAAAGCAGGAATGGGGAATCCCTGGGCTGTGGAAAAGCAGGAATGGGGAATCCCTGGATGTGGAAAAGCAGGAATGGGGAATCCCTGGTGTGAGGATCCCGTGGATCCAGGAAAAGCAGGAATGGGGAATCCTTGGTGTGAGGATCCTGTGGATCCAGGAAAAGCAGGAATGGGGGATCCTTGGTGTGAGGATCCCGTGGATCCAGGAAAAGCAGGAATGGGGAATCCCTGGGCTGTGGAAAGGCAGGAATGGGGAATCCTTGGATGTGGAAAAGCAGGAATGGGGAATCCCTGGTGTGAGGATCCTGTGGATCCAGGAAAAGCAGGAATGGGGAATCCTTAGATGTGGAAAAGCAGGAATGGGGGATCCTTGGTGTGAGGATCCCATGGATCCAGGAAAAGCAGGAATTCTGCCAGCAGAGGGCCGGAGGGATTGCGTTGGGGCAGGAAAAGCGGGAGAGGAGAAGAGGAGGCCCGAGCATTCCCGGGCTCTGCCGTCACATTCCCGGTGCCGGAGTCATTCCCGAGCCATTCCCGAGCCGTCACCGGAGGGAAGTGACTCGTTCCAGCGGGATGGCACCGGGACAGGCACGGGACAGGCACGGGACACTGAGGGAGCCTGCCGGGAAGAGTGGGAGATCTGGGATGAATGAAAATATCATCCAGATACCCTGTTAGTAAATAAAGATATCACAAACGTGTCGTGTTCCTTCTGGAGTTAACGTTTCTGATTTGTTCTGATTTATTTCTGATTTCTGATTGGTTTTTGATTTATTTCTGATTTGTTTCTGATTTATTTCTGATTTATTTCTGATTGGTTTCTGATTTGTTTCTGATTTGTTTCTGATTGGTTTCTGATTTATTTCTGACTTGTTTCTGATTTATTTCTGATTTGTTTCTGATTTATTTCTGATTTATTTCTGATTTGTTTCTGATTTGTTCTGATTTATTTCTGATTTATTTCTGATTTATTTCTGATTGGTTTCTGATTTATTTCTGTTTTGTTTCTGATTTGTTTCTGATTTATTTCTGGTTGGTTTCTGATTTATTTCTGATTGGTTTCTGATTTATTTCTTCTTTTCCAGCAGTTCCTGCATCCACGCTCCCCAGCTCCTGGAATCCAGGGAAATCACACTGGGAATATCCAGGGAGAACACACGGGGAATATCCAGGAAAATCACACTGGGAATATCCAGGGAAATCACACTGGGAATATCCAGGGAAATCACACTGGGAATATCCAGGGAAATCACACTGGGAATATCCAGGGAAATCACACTGGGAATATCCAGGGAAATCACACCGAGCTCTCCACCTCCCCTTGGCAGCTTTAGACACAATTCCAGCTCTGTCCCTGCAGCATTCCTGGGAATTCCTGGGGATTCCCGCTCCAGGCTGGAACCAGGGAATGGTTCCCAGCCTTGTTTTTCTCCCAGCTCCAGATGAACAATTCCCAGCTTTCCTGGAATTCCCACTCCAGGTAGACAGATCTATCAGGGAACGCTTCCCAGCTTGGTTCTGTTCCCGGATAAACAATTCCCAGCCCTGCAGCATTCCCGGAAATCCGAGGCCGGGAATTCCCGCTCCAGGCCGGAACCATGGAACGCTTCCCAGCCTTTTCTCCTCCTGGCTCCAGAGAAATAATTCCCAGCTTTCTGTCCCTGCAGCATTCCCAGGAATTCCAGGTGCAGAGAATTTCCAGAGAAACAATTCCCTGAGCTCCAGCCCTGTCCCTGCAGCATTCCCGGAAATCCGAGGCCGGGAATTCCCGCTCCAGGCTGAGAACAGGGAACAATTCCCAAGCTTTTCTCCTCCCAGCTCCAGATAAACAATTCCCAGCTCTGTCCCTGCAGCATTCCCGGAATTCCCGGGCTCCAGCAGGGAACGCTTCCCAGGCTTTTCCACGTGCAGCAGCTCCCGGCCAGGTGTTGGCTCTGCAGTTCCCAGGTGTTGGAATTCCAGTGGGAATTCCAGTGGGAATTCCAGAGGCTGTGCTGGCTCCTGGCAGGAAGGAGCCGTGGTGAGTCACCAGATCAGCCTGGAGCTGGCCCTGGCACGGATTTGATTTGATTTGATTTGATTTGATTTGATTTTATTTTATTTTATTTTATTTATTCTATTTTATACTATTTTATTCTATTCTATTTTAGTCTAGTCTATTCTCTTCTATTTATATTTTCATTCTATTTTATTCTATTTTGCTTTATTTTACATTTTATTTTATTGTATTTTATCTTCTATTCTATTTTATTTTACTTTCTCAGTTCTGTTCCTGCCAGACAATCTCGAGAGGGATCAGTGATGGAAATGGATGGAAAACAACAGAAAATTTTGAAAACCCCTGGAAACCAGAATATCCCAGCCTGGAAAAGAGGGAGAAATTAGGGAAAATTTTGAAAACTCCTCAAAAATAGAATCTCCGAGCCTGGAAAAGAGAGATAAATTAGCAAACATTGTTTTAAAACCCTCGAAAGTAGAAAGTCCCAGCCTGGAAAAGAGGGAATAAATTAGGGAACGTTTTTTAAAAACCCTCAAAAACTGAATTTCCCAAACTGGAAATGAGGGATCACTGATGGAAAACTTAAAAAAAATCCCTGGAAATGAGAATTTCTCAGGCTGGAAAAGAGGGATCACTGACGGAAATGGATGGAAAACAAGAGAAAATTTTGAAAACCCTTCAAAAATCGAATTTCCCAGGCTGCAAAAGAGGGATCACTGATGGAAAACTTAAAAAAAATCCCTGGAAATGAGAATTTCCCAGGCTGGAAAAGAGAGATCACTGACAGAAATGGATGGAAAAGAAGAGAAAATTTTTAAAAACCCTTCAAAACCCAATTTCCCGTGCTGGAAAGGAGGGATCACTGATGGAAAATTTTTAAAAATCCCTGGAAATGAGAATTTCCCATGCTGTAAAACAGGGATCACTGACGGAAATGGATGGAAAAGAAGAGAAAATTTTTAAAAACCCTTCAAAACCCAATTTCCCGTGCTGGAAAGGAGGGATCACTGATGGAAAATTTTGAAAAATCCCTGGAAATGAGAATTTCCCAGGCTGGAAAAGAGGGATCACTGATGGAAAATTTTGAAAAATCCCTGGAAATGAGAATTTCCCAGGCTGGAAAAGTGAGATCACTGATGGAAATGGATGGAAAATACCTGGAAATGAGAATTTCCCTTCAAAAATCCCTGGAAATGAGAATTTCCCAGGCTGGAAAAGAGGGATCACTGATGGAAAATTTTGAAAAATCCCTGGAAATGAGAATTTCCCAGGCTGGAAAAGTGAGATCACTGATGGAAATGGATGGAAAACAAGAGAAATTTTAAAAAACCCTTCAAAAATCCAATTTCCCGTGCTGGAAAGGAGGGATCGCCGACGGGAGCGGGTGGGCAGCGAGGGGCAGTGGGTCTGGGGGCGGCCGGCCCGGTGTTTTCCCCGCGGCCCCGGAGCATTCCAGGCCGGCCGTGACTCCGGGAATGATTCAGCGGATGGGGCCGGGCAGGCGGAGCAGGAAAAGTCACCTGTGCAGGAAGGGATAAAACACACCTGGGCTGCACCGCCGCGCTCCTGCCCCGGGAAATCCCGGGCACATCCCGGCCGCCGGCCCCGCAGGATCCAAACCCGCCTTCCCGGGGGTTCCGGGAGCCTTCCCGGGGGTTCCTGGAGGCTTCCCGGGGGTTCCTGGAGGATTTCGGGGAGTGGGAGAGCGGGACGATGGTTTGGTCCCTCTGACAGCGCCTGGACAGGTATTTGTGGGCTGGGGGGAAATTCCAGGGAGAGATCGCTGGGACTGGGGAATGGGGACTGGGGAACTGGAATAGGGATCAGAGGGACTGGGTAGCTGGGACTGGCGAACTGGAGTAAGGATTGTTGGAACTGGGATCCCTGGGACACAGATTGTTGGACGGGGATCACTGGAACTGGGATCACTAGGACTGGGATTGCTGGGACAGGGATCAGTGGGACTGGGGTCACTAGGACTGGGATCAGTGGGACAGGGATCAGTAGAACTGGGATCACTAGGACTGGGATCAGTGGGACTAGAGAACAGAGACTGGGGAACTGGGACTGGGAGCAGTGGGACTGGGATAAGTGGAGCTGGGATTGTTGGGACTGGGGAACTGGAATAGGGATTTTTGGAACTGGGATCACTGGAACAGGGATCAGTGGGACTGGGATTGTTTTACTGGGATCACTGGAACAGGGATCAGTGGGACTGGGATTGCTGCAGTGGGAATCACTGGGACTGGGATTGTTGGAACTGGGATCACTGGGACAGGAAGCGTTGGAACTGGGATCACTGGAACTGGGATTGTTGGAACTAAACTGGGATTGTTGGAACTGGGATTGCAGGACTGGGATCACTGGAACTGGGATTGCAGGACTGGGATCACTGGAACTGGGATTGTTGGAACTGGACTGGGATCACTGGGATTGTTGGAACTGGGATTGCAGGACTGGGATCAGTGGAACTGGGATTGTTGGAACTGGGATCACTGGGACTGGGATCACTGGAGCAGGAACTGTTGGATCTGGGATTGCTGGAATGGGAATTTCTGGGACAGGACAAATCCTAAATCCTAAATCCTAAAGCCCATCCTAAACGTGACCCCTCATTCTGCTTTTATGGTGCAAAATATTCCTGGAATTCACAAAAACCATGGAATTCCTCCCTTTGTGTCCCTCTCCTGGATGGCTCCGCTATTTCCTGAAGCTTCTGGAAAATCCCAGTGAATACCTGGGAAAAGGAGAGGCTCGGAAGTTAAAAAAAAAAATCAGAAAATCAAACAAAAAAACCCCTAAAAATCAAATAATTCTGTTAAAAAGACGCAGGAGGGGAAGGTTAAGGAATTTAAAATGTCTCATCCTCAGCTTGATCCAAATCCCTGCGTTCCAGCTGATCCACAAACCCCAAAAATTAGAATATCAAACAAAACATAAGCAGAATAAAAGGATTAAAACAAGCAAAATCTCAATTTAATAAAACCAAGGAGCTTCTCTAACGCCACGGCCGCGTTTAGCAAATGGGAAAGTTTAAATTTTTTTTATTTAAAAGCAAATTTTGGGGTAAATTTGAGTTGAATTCAGGATTTTGCTGTGCTGGAGCTGACTGGGCCGGAGCAATGAGAAGCTCCTGAGAGCTTCATTCATCATTAATAATTAATGATCATTCATCATTAATAATTAATAATTTCGTCATTCATAATTGTGCAATAAGAACTGGGGCCAAGCCGAGGCCTCTCCCTTTCTCAGCTGCTCAGAATTCCTGAAAATCCCTGAAAAACACCCAGGAACTGCAAAAAAAACCAACAAAAAAAGGATTTAGGGGATGGGAAAAAAGGGAATATTTAGTAAAAAAAAGAAAAAGATAAAAAGGAAAAACTCCCTCAGGTTTTCCTCATCTTTGAGCCCCTTGTGATTTATCTGTAAGAAGGAAAAAATATAAAAATAGATTAAAACCCATTAAAATTAGCTGGAAATGCACAAAATTTAAAATTTAACCCCGGGAGAAGCTGCACCCTAAAAAAAAAAAATTAATATTTAAATGAAGAGAGGCACAAAAAAGAGAAGTTCTGAAGGTGGCTCTGAGGGGGATGACATAATAAATAAATAAATATAAATATTTAAATATATAAATAGGTATTTTAATATATGTGTCTGTATATAAATATATAAACATAGAAATAAATAGTAACAACTTTTTATATAAATAAATATAAAATCTATACATTTATAAATAGAAAGAATTGAGATAAATAGATATGGAGATAATAATAGAAATAATGGGAAAATAATAAATAATATAATTATTATAAATGATTAAATTATTATAATAATTAGAAATAACGCACTGCTAATAATGGAGATTTTTTTTTTTTTGGTTTTTTCCTTGTGGAATGTGAGGAATATTTGGTGTTTCCTAATTTAAATTCAGATTTAATTGCTGGGACGAGCTGTAATTACAGGAAGCAGCTGAGCATTGCGAATCTCGGTGACACATCCCAAAAAAATGTTCTGGGAAATCCAGCCCGGAGCTGTCAGCAGGAATTTCCTGAATTTCCTGCGGCTCTCGGGGACAGGGGCTGGAATTTGGGGCTGGCTGCAGGTGGGGCTAAAATAATCCGAATTTTGGGGGATTTTAGGAAGAATGAATCTCAAAATTTGGGGCTGGGTGCAGGTGATGCCCAAAATAATCCGAATTTTGGGGGATTTTAGGAAGAATGAATCTCAAAATTTGGTTCTGGATGCTGGTGATGCCTAAAATAATCTGAATTTTGGGGGATTCCAAGGAGGATGAATCTCAAAATTTGGGGCTGGCTGCAGGTGGGGCTAAAATAATCCGAATTTTGGGGGATTTTAGGAAGAATGAATCTCAAAATTTGGTTCTGGATTCAGGTGATGCCCAAAATAATCTGAATTTTGGGGGATTTTAAGAAGGATGAAGGGACAGAAGGTGAAATTTTGGGGCTGGGTGCAGGTGGAACTAAAATAATCCGAATTTTAGGGGATTTTAAGAAGGATGAAGCTCAAATTTTGGGTCTGGATGCTGGTGGAGCTAAAATAATCCAAATTCTGGGGGATTTTAAGAAGAATGAATCTCAGAATTTGGTTCTGGGTGCCAGTGGAGCTAAAATAATCCGAATTTTGGGGGATTTTAAAAATAATGAATCTCAAAATTTGGGTCTGGATTCAGGTGATGCCCAAAATAATAATGAAACAAAATAAAAAGTGGGTGATTCTGAGCAGATAAATAGAAAAAAAAGATATCGAATGAAATAAATGAAATGAAATAAAAAGCGGGTGGTTCCAAATAAAGAAATAAAGAAATAAAATTAAAAGCAGGTGATTCTGAATAAATAAATAAAAGAAATGAAAGGAAATAAATAGTGGATGATTCTGAACAAATAAATAAAAGAAATTAAATAAAAGAAAAAAAAAGGAAATAAAAAGTGGATGATTCTGAATAAATAAATAAAAGAAAAGAAATTAAATAAAAGAAATAAAAGGAAATAAAAAGCTGGTGATTCTGAATAAATAAATAATAAAAGAAAATAATTAAAGAAAAGAAAAGCATGAAAGAAAAGAAAATAATAAAAGAATAAAACAAAACAAAAGAATCAAATAAAATCATTAAATAAAGTAATAAAATAATAGAATGGAATAGAACAAAATAAATTAGAATAGAATGAAATCAAATAAAATAGAATAGAATAAAATGGAATAGAATAGAATAGAATGAAATAGAATAGAGTAGAATGAAATAGAATAGAATAAATTAAAGTGGAATAGAATAGAATGAAATAAAATAGAATAAAATAAAATAAAGTGGAATAGAATAGAATAGAATGAAATAGAATAAAATAAAATAAATTAAAATAAAATAGAACAAAATAAAATGAAGTGGAATAGAATAGAATAGAATGAAATAGAATAGAATAAAATAAATTAAATTAAAATAGAATAAAATAAAATAAAGTGGAATAGAATAGAATAGAATGAACTAGAATAGAATAAAATAAATTAAAATAAAATAGAATAAAATAAAATAGAATAGAATAAAATAAAATAAAATAAAATAGAATAAAATAAAGTGGAATAGAATAGAATGAACTAGAACAGAATAAAATAAAATAAATGAAATTACAATAGAACAGAATAATGCAACGGAACTGACCCCGTGCTGTTCCTCCTGCAGGGTCTCCCCGGGCTCCGTTCCTCTCGGGGGGCTCCATCATGTCCTGCTTCCCTCAGCTGTGGCACTCCGGCGCTCCGGAGTCTCCCTCCAGCCCCGCGCCCGCCTCGCCGCGCTCGGTGCCGGTGCCGCTGAGTCCCGTGGCGCTGCCGTCCCCGGGCAGGAAGGGCCGCTCCCCCGCGGGCTCCCCGAGCTGCGGCAGCCCCGGCTCCCCGAAACCCGCCTCGCCCGTGGAGTGCTCCATCTGCTTCAACACCTACGACAACACCTTCAAGACGCCCAAGCTGCTGCAGTGCTCGCACGTGTTCTGCCTGGAGTGCGTGGCGCGGCTGAGCGCGGCGCTGGGCGCCGGCGAGGAGCTGCTGCCGTGCCCCTTCTGCCGCCAGCCCACCAACCTGCCCAGCCGGGGCGCGCCCGGCCTGCGCACCAGCAAGGAGCTGCTGGCCACGCTGCCGCCCGAGCTGCAGCGCGAGCGCGAGCTCTGGATGGAGGGCACCAAGCTCTGCTGCCGTCGCGCCTCCGACGACGCCGAGAACCCCGAGTCGTGCGTGTCCATCGACGTGGCCATGAGCAAAGCCGAGAGCGCCGAGGAGGCCCCGGCGGGGCTGGCGGGGCGGCTGTCGCGCTGCGAGCTCTGCGACGACTGGAAGCGCGTCGTGCTGCTCTCGGCGCTCCTCATCATCCTCTTCTGCATCATCCTGTGGCCCGTGCAGTGCGCGCTCAAGACGGGCAACCTGCGCTGCTTCACGCGGACTGCGGCCGTCAGCCGGCCCGAGCTGCTGCCCCCCAAAGCCACTGCGGCCGCCGCTGCGGTCACACGGCCGCCGTTCCACTAGGGACGGGGCCGCTGGGGCTGCTCAGGGATGGGGACAAGGGACAGGACCTGCTGTCCCAACAGAATCTGTCACACGGCCGCCATTCCACTAGGGACGGGGCCGCTGGGGCTGCTCAGGGATGGGGACAAGGATGGGACCTGCTGTCCGGACAGGATCTGTCACATGGCCACCCTTCCAGAGCCTCTGGATCTGCTCAGGGATGGGACCTTCTGTCCTGACAGAATCTGTCACACGGCCGCCCTTTCAGTAGGGACAGGGCCACTGGGGCTGCTCAGGGATGGGACCTTCTGTCCTGACAGAATTTGGGACAAAATCCCCATTCCAGTAGTGCCAGAGCCTCTGGATCTGCTCAGGGATGGGGACAAGGGACAGGACCTGCTGTCCTGACAGGATCTGTCACAGGGCCGCCCTTCCAGAGCCTCTGGATCTGCTCAGGGATGAGGAACAGGAACAGAACCTGTTGTCCTCACAGAATTTGGGACAAAATCCCCATTCCAATAGAGCCAGAGCCCCTGGATCTGCTCAGCTCCATGGGGACAAGGGACAGGACCTGCTGCCCTGACAGGATTTGGGACAAAACTCCTCTCCAGCAGCACCAGGAGCCCCTGGATCTGCTCGGTTCCATGGGGACAAGGGGCAGGACAAAGCCCTTTCCTGGATCTGCTCAGGGATGAGGGTCAGGACAAAGCCCTTTCCTGGATCTGCTCAGGGATGAGGGACAGGACAAAGCCCTTTTTCCTGGATCTGCTCAGGGATGAGGGACAGGACAAAGCCCTTTTTCCTGGATCTGCTCAGGGATGAGGGACAGGACAAAGCCCTTTTTCCTGGATCTGCTCAGGGATGAGGGACAGGACAAAGCCCTTTTTCCTGGATCTGCTCAGGGATGAGGGACAGGACAAAGCCCTTTTTCCTGGATCTGCTGGGCTCCACGGGGACAAGGGACAGGAGAAAAGCCTTTCCTGGATCTCGGCTCCATCCCCACTGCCAAGCAGGACCTGCTGCATTCCTGGGATTGCCGGCAGATCCCACATCCCGCTCACTCTGGAATGTCCTTGTACCTTTGGAATGTCCTTCCCGTGCCTCTGGAATGTCCTTGTGCCACTGGAATGTCCTTCCCGTGCCTCTGGAATGTCCCCGCGCATCCCGCTGCCCGGCTCTCCGTGGGATCCAGGGCTGGGAATGCACCGAGATCTTCCCAGGATCCCCTTCCCAGGATCCCATTCCCAGAATCCCCTTCCCAGGATCCCCTTCCCAGGATCCCCGTTCCTCCCGTTCCTGAGGGAATAAAGGGATTTTTTTTTTTCCTGGAGCAGCTCCATGATTATTCCCGTGAGGAGCTGGGATGGGGAGGGCTGGATGAACAGATGGGAAACATCCGAATTCCAGAGGCTGGGAAGGTGAAACACCCAAATTCCAGAGGCTGGGAGGGTCAAACACCCGAATTCCAGAGGCTGGGACAGTCAAACACCCAAATTCCAGAGGTTGGGAGGTGAAACCCAAATTCCAGAGGTTGGGAGGGTGAAACACCAGAATTCCAGAGGCTGGGACAGTCAAACACCCAAATTCCAGAGGTTGGGAGGTGAAACCCAAATTCCAGAGGTTGGGAAGGTGAAACCCAAATTCCAGAGGTTGGGAGGGTGAAACACCAGAATTCCAGAGGCTGGGAAGGTTCCCTGGTGCAGAAGGGATAAAAGACACAAAGAGGGAAAAGTGGAGACTCCCAGGAACTGAAACCACAGAAGAGGGGAAGGAAAAATCCTGCAAAACCCTGGGATTTGGGATGGAATTCATGGAAAAACTGAATTTAGGAGACACAGGAGCTTCCCCCTCCTCTGCCCAGCAACCAGCACCAAGAAAAGCAGGATTCTCCTTTATCCTAAGGGGAAAAAATTAAAAAAAAGAAGCAGCAGGCCCCTTAAAAACCTCTTTAATCGTTTCCAAACTTTATTTCTGGGTGATTTGACGAAAGACACGAGTTAGTAATGGTTACATCATGCTGCTCCTCTACTGCGCATCGCCCAGCAGCTCCCAAGGTCAGGAATTCACCCTCTCCATGGACACCTCAGGGGTTTTAAATTAAAAAAAAAAAAAGCAAAAAAAAAAAGCAAATCCAGAAAAAAAAAAAAAAAAAAAAACCAACCCCCATGTTTTTTTTTTTTTTTTTTTTTTTGGCACGTTCTGTGGTAGAAATGTTGTTAAAAATGAAGCCCAGGTGAATGCGCTGCTGGAAATTCCAAATAAATCCCAAAATGCTCCCTCACGAGGACACAAATCCTGGTTTAAGGCATTTCCAAGCCCCAGCCAAAGCAGAATGAGTTTTTATATTTATTTTTGTTCAGTTCTTGGGGGGTTTTTTTGTTGTTTTTCTTCATTCCTGAAAATCAGCAGCTTCTCCATCCCTCTGGAGCTGGAACACCAGCCCAGTTGGGAATGCCATTCCCAAAATATGGATGGGGGCACTCCCAGACCCCTCCCTCCCATCGCACCCCAGCATTTCCCAACCAGGAATCCCAATTTGGACCCAGCAGCACCAAAAAATGGGAATTTTGGCACCCACAGAACGGCCCAGGCACAGCAGAGCCCTCATCCCACACAGGGCACAGCCCCCCATGGAATATTTAACCCTGCATTTTCCACAGGAATGTCACAGGTTGGGAATATTTATTTTTTTTTTAATCAAATAAATGAAATCAAAGCAAATCCAAGTGGTTTTTCCATTGGTTTTCCCTCTTGGTTCCACCTTTGTTCAGAGCTCACCCTGAGAGAAGAAATTTGACCTTTCCTGGCTCAAAAGTTGGTGCCAAAACCCCCATTTCAAAGGGTGCCCTGCAAAGTGGGGTGGAAATTTAGGGGAAAAAAAAGCCAAATTCTGGCACCTTGGGCAGGAATTCCCATCCAGATCCTGCAGATGAATTCCCTAAAGTTGTTTTTCCACAGAGAAATTCCAGCTGAGGGTGGGAAAGGGACACAGAGGCCACAAAGCAGCAGGAAATCCTTCCATGGAGAAGGAATCCCAATGGAAGATGGGATTTCTTCCAGAGCTGGGATCCATCTGTTCCTCTCCACACCCAGGAGACCCCGAGCTGCAGCCACACCCCAGAAACTTCAGAACTGGCCCCAAAATTTTCCTTTCCTGGAAGAAAATGCTTCAAATTCCCCCAAATACTCCCCAGCCCCGCTCCTGCTCCTGTTGGAGCCGTTCCTGCTGGGCTGGAAGCATCCAGAGGACGTGGAAGACCCAAAAACTCCAAGTCCAAGATGAAAAATTCCAAATTCTCTTGGTGGGAGAGGCTCCAGTGGCAGCTCAGCATTGCCAGGCTGGGAGGCAGAGGCTGGAGAATGCTGTGGGGCGTGGAAGGACACGTCCAGGAGATCTCTGAGGAGGGAAAAGGGAATCTCCTGGTCCTTTTGGAAGAGGGAGAGAATTCCCAGCTCTTGGAGAGGAGCTCCAAGTGATCCCCAGCATGAGGGAGGCCCAGGCTCGGTGGCTGGGGAGGCTCAGGACACGTCTGGATGAACACAAAATGTGGCAATGAGGTTTCACAGCTGCTCCTGCACGCGTCCAAGAGGAAGAGGAGGAGGAGAACCGCTGGAAAAATCCACATTTTTGCCTCCCCAGCAGCTCTGAGTCCAGCAAAGAGTCCCGAGGCGAGCGCAGGGCGAAGCTCGGGCCCGGCTCTCTCCCTTCCGGCGCGTGGCATCCCTGATTTGAGCAGAGCTCGGAGGAGAAAAGCACTTGAGATCCTTACACACATAAATTACAGTGAGAGGAACAGGGGGCAGCAGGAATCAGGTGAACACGGGGCCAGGAGAAGGTTTGGAAGAGCCAGAGCCCGGAGCAGGGTGGGAATTCCCACCCCGTGAATCCGTGAAGGCCTCGCCAGCACCAGCAGCGTTTCCCCCACGGGAGAACGGGGTTGTTTTTGGGAACAAACCCCCCCAAAAAACAGGAAAAAAGGGGGAAAACAACCCCAAAAACAAAGAAGCTTCAAGTATGAAGAAGATCGACGCTGCAGTGGGAGAGTTCTGGTGTCACTTCTCGGGCCGAGCTTTGTTCCGCTGCTCGGGCCCAGCCTCGCCGCCCCCCGAGCCCGAAAGCAAAAAGGGTTTCCTGCCCTCCCTGTCCCCCCCAAAAATATAAAAAGCAATAAGTTTACAAAAATAGAAAATAATTACAGCAATAGGCAGGAGGGAGGGAGGAGGGAGCAGGGAGGGAGGTCCCTGGGCTCTATTTGGCCGAGCAGTGCAATATCCGCGGCCGGTTCAGGGCGTCCTCCAGCAGGTGCAGCTCCCGCCGGTCCACGAGCACGTCCCGCATGCAGCCCACGAAACCCGTGCTGAACGCCTTGGGCAGGCGCTGGGGCACGCTCAGCTTGTCCAGACCCCCTGGAAATGGAGCAGGGGTCAGCTGGGATAGGGACAGAGCAGGGGACAGGGGACAGGGCATGTCCCACATGGAGCCATTAAACCCGTGCTGAACGCCTTGGGCAGGCGCTGGGGCACGCTCAGCTTGTCCAGACCCCCTGGAAATGGAGCAGGGGTCAGCTGGGACAGGGACAGGGGACAGGGACAGAGCAGGGGACAGGGACAGCCCAGGGGACAGGGCATGTCCCACATGGAGCCATTAAACCCGTGCTGAACGCCTTGGGCAGGCGCTGGGGCACGCTCAGCTTGTCCAGACCCCCTGGAAATGGAGCAGGGGTCAGCTGGGATAGGGACAGGGGACAGGGACAGAGCAGGGGACAGCCCAGGGGACAGGGACAGAGCAGGGGACAGGGACAGCCCAGGGGACAGGGCACGTCCCGCATGCAGCCCACGAAACCCGTGCTGAACGCCTTGGGCAGGCGCTGGGGCACGCCCAGCTTGTCCAGACCCCCTGGAAATGGAGCAGGGGTCAGCTGGGATAGGGACAGGGGACAGGGACAGAGCAGGGGACAGCCCAGGGGACAGGGACAGAGCAGGGGACAGGGCACATCCCGCATGGAGCCATTAAACCCGTGCTGAACGCCTTGGGCAGGCGCTGGGGCACGCTCAGCTTGTCCAGACCCCCTGGAAAGGGAATGGGGTCAGCTGGGATAGGGGACAGGGACAGAGCAGGGGACAGCCCAGGGGACAGGGCATGTCCCACATGGAGCCCACAAAACCCGTGCTGAACGCCTTGGGCAGGCGCTGGGGCACGCTCAGCTTGTCCAGACCCCCTGGAAAGGGAATGGGGTCAGCTGGGATAGGGGACAGGGACAGAGCAGGGGACAGCCCAGGGGACATCACAGGGGACAGGGCACAGGACAGCCCAGGGGACAGGGGACAGTACAGGGGACAGCCCAGGGAACAGGACAAAACCTCGTTCCAGCTGACCCCCTGGAACAGAACGGGGTCAGCTGGGACTGGAGACGGCACAGGGGACAGCAAAGGGACAGGGGACAGCACAGGGACAGGGGACAGCAAAGGGACAGGGGACAGCTCCCCTGAAATGGCACAGCATCAGCTCAGGGCAGGGGAGAGGGGACAGACAGATGGCACAGCACAGGGGACAGGGCATTTTTCAGCCATCTGAGAGGCCACAGGATGGCGCTGAAGGAAGGGAGGGACATCCCCAACACCCCAAACATCCCCACCCCTCGGCAGGGGACATGGGGATGTCCCTTGCCTGGACTCACCCAGCCACAGCGCCCCGTCCGTGTCCAGCTGGGTGGCCCCGAGAGGAGAGGAGCCGGCGATGGGGGCCTCGTTCCCCACCTGCAGGGAGCCCTCCCTCTGCACCCTGCTCCCGAGGGACGGAGGGAGGGAGGGCAGCAGGGATTCAGGAAAGGCCCCGGGAGCCAGCCCAGAGCTGCTCCCTGCAGCTCCTGACACTGGGAACCAGCAGAGGGGCGGATTTTGGGATAAACTCCATCCCACCCCCGGGATTGGGATTCACCTGTGGGGTCTGTCCCCACTGCTGCCCTAAAGGGGGGCAGATTTTGGGATAACCTCCACCCCATTCCTGGGATATCCACACCAGTGCTTTTCCAGCTGCAGGGCTGTAGTTCCTTTATTTTTTCTATATCTTAAACTCTAAAACTCTAAATTTTCCTTTACTTAACGTGTCTCTGCTTTGAACTATAAATCCACATTCTCACTTCTAGCATTTAAATTTAGAAGCCTTTTCCAAGGTCTCAGATAAAATCCTGGGTTTAATTCTAAGCTTTGGCTTCCAGGCCCAAAGTTCTGAGAGTTCTTATCCAAGCAGAGATCCTTCAGGATCACGAAGCTCAGCTGGAGAAGCTGCCTCACTCCCAGCTACTCCATCCTGATGCTGACCCCGATCCTGATCCCGATCCCAATCCTGATCCTAATCCTGATCCAGATCCCAATCCCAATCCAGATCCCAATCCCAATCCAGATCCCAATCCCGATCCTGACCCCAATCCTGATCCAGATCCCAATCCTGATCCCAATCCCAACCTAGATCCAGATCCCAGTCCCAATCCAGAGCCCACTCCTGATCTAGATCCCAATCCAGACCCAGATTCTGATCCCAATCCTGATCGCAAACCAGATCCCAATCCCGACTGAGATCCCGATCCAGATCCCAATCCTGATCCCAATCCCAATCCAGATCCCAATCCAGATCCCAGTCCTGATCCTGCTCCTAATCCAGCTCCCAATCCAGATCCTGATCCCGATGCCAATGCCGATCCAGATCCTGATCCCAATCCAGATCCAGATCCTGCTCCTAATCCAGATCCCAATCCCAATCCTGATCCCAATCCAAATCCTGATCCAGATCCAGATCCCAATCCAGATCCCAATTCTGATCCCAATCCAGATCCCAATTCTGATCCCAATCCCGATCCAGATCCCGATCCCAATCCTGATCCCAATCCAGATCCCGATCCTAATCCCGATCCAGATCCAGATCCCAATCCCAATCCTGATCCAGATCCCGATCCCGATCCCAATCCCAATCCCGATCCCGCTCCCGCTCCCGCTCCCGCTGCAGCCGAGGCTCACCGGGAGGCGCGGATGTGCACCCACTGGTTGGTGTTGACGGGCACGCTGGAGCGCAGGGTGACGGCCTTGGAGCCCAGGTCGTAGCTGAGCTGCACGAAGCCGTCCACGATGGCCAGGGCGATGTAATCCGACCTGTCCAGCCCCTTCCCGCTCCACAGCAGCAGCCCCTGCGTCGCCTCGGTCTTGATGCTCAGCTCAAAGTGGTTGGACTGCAGGGCCTTCTCACTGCGGGGAAACCACGGGAGCTCCTCCAGCAGCCTCCCCCTGCTCCTCCTCCTCCTCCTCCCCGCGGGATAAACTCCCCGCCCGTCCCCACCTCTGGCCTGGAGGGTCACGGGTTTTGGGAGAATCTCCATCCCAGAGAGCAGCTCGGAGCTGGGTCAGCCTTTGTCCCGCTCCTGGGGTTCACAGGAAGGGTCTGTCCCACCTGCTGCCCTTGAGGGTGCCAGATTTTGGGATAACCTCCATCCCCTCCTGGGATTCACAGGAAGGGTCTGTCCTAGCTGCTGCCTTTGGGGGTGCCAGATTTTGGGATAATCTCCATCCCCTCCTGGGATTCACAGGAAGGGTCTGTCCCAGCTGCTGCCCTTGGGGGTGCCAGATTTTGGGATAATCTCCATCCCCTCCTGGGATTCACCCATGGGGTCTGTCTTCACCTGCTCCCTCTGGAGGATGGCAGATTTTGGGATAACCTCCATCCCACAAAGCAGCTGGGACAGCCTCCATCCCACTCCTGGGGCTGGGATACACAGGAAGGAGATTCTCTGGAGATTCCTTGCTTTTATCCTCATGGAGCACAAGGATCAATCCCTGCCTGGGGACTGTCACAGGAAGAGGACAGAGGCAACAAAACCTTTTCCCAAGGGAGGAAGGAAGGAAAGATGGGATTTTCCCCAGGTTGGAATCCTGATTTTTGCCTCTGGAACAGACACGAGGCTCCTGGCAACCGCTGGAGTGGGACACACAGAAACACCACAGAGAGCTTTTTATTCCCAAGGGATGCTGCATCCAGGGGGGACATGGCCCTGCTGTCCCTGCAGGGTCCCTCAGCCTGGGGCTGGTGGCACTTTGCTGTCCCTGCAGGGTCCCTCAGCCTGGGGCTGGTGGCACTTTGCTGTCCCCCCTGTGCAGAGCTCATCCCTCACGGATAAAAAGCCAGGACAGGGACACAGAGGACACACACAGGGACACAGGGACATGCTGAGGCACGGGCAGAGCAGGGACAGGCACACCTGGACACTCACCTGGGCTCCGAGGGGAAATCCAGCGCCTCGGGACTCGGATGGGGAGAAAAGGGGAGCGAGCCATAAGCGAGGGGCAGCGAGGAGACCCTGCCTTCCTGCCTTGCCTTTCCTTTTCCCTCTCCTTCCTTTTTTCCTTTTCCCTCTCCTTCCTTTTTTCCTTTTCCTTTTCCTTTTCCCTTTCCTTTTTCCTTTCCTTTCCTTTCCTTTCCTTTCCTTTCCTTTCCTTTCCTTTCCTTTCCTTTCCTTTCCTTTCCTTTCCTTTCCTTTCCTTTCCTTTCCTTTCCTTTCCTTTCCTTTCCTTTCCTTTCCTTTTTCTTCTGGAGCTTCCCTGAAGGAGGAAAAATCCACTTTTATAAGAAGCACAGCCCAAATTGGCCGGGAAAAGGCTGGAAAAAAAGCTGGAAAAAGCTGGGAAAAGGTTGGGAATGGTGACATTCCCTCTGCAAGGCAGCAGGGATTAGCTCAGGGAGGGGACACAGTGACAACTGTGAGCTCACGCTGCTGAAGGGCACTGCCCAGCTTAGGAGAACGCTCAGGATAATCCTAAAATTCCTAAAAATCCCTTTCCAGCCCCTCCCAATGGCGTGGACATGCAGGTGGTGGCTCTGCAGCCCCCATGCACAGGCACAGCTCAGCCCCCACACAATGAGGTGGGATGGGATGGGACAGGCAGGGATCCCCCCCCAAATCCCCCAAATTCCCCCCTTCCCACAGCAGGGAATGCTCTTGCACGGAGCAGGGAGTTTTAGGATCCCTTTTAGGGCTTCCCTTCCATGCAGGACAGACCCACAGCAAATCTCAGCTGTCCAGGGATTGGGATTTGTCCCCATCCTCCTGCCCTGACCCTTTTTCTGACCCCTCATCCACGCTGGAGATGTCCTGAGGGGTTCCCAGTGCCATGCTGGAAAAATCAAGGATCAGCACCCCCAGTTTCCATCTCCAACACCTCTGGAGCAGAAAACCACAGGGATTTTCCTTCCCTGTGCTCATCCTTATTAAAATCACGCTTCAAAAATTCACTTGAGGCGTGCTGGGGACAGCAGCTGGCCGTGGCAGGGTGGGGACAGCAGCTGCGTGTGACACAGGTGAAGCAGCTCCTGCTCAGCCCCACCAGCTGCTGTCAGCACCTGAGCCCTCCTCCCCAGGGAATGGGAAGAGTTTTCCACCAAAAACCCCGGGAGAGGCCCCAGATTCCTCCTCCCACCCAGCCCTGAGCGAGCCCTCCTCCCCAGGGAATGGGAAGAGTTTTCCACCAAAAACCCCGGGAGAGGCCCCAGATTCCTCCTCCCACCCAGCTCTGCCCTGAGCTTGCCCCGGGGTTTGGGGTGACAATGGGGACGTGGTGAGGGTGGCAGGGCCGTACTTACGCTGGGATCTCATTGCTCAGGTGGCTTGGAAACAGAGAAACAGTGACATTGAGAAGGGACAGACAGCCAGGGAGGGACAGACAGACAGCCAGGGAGGGACAGACACCCAGAGAGGGACAGACAGCCAGGGAGGGACAGACCCAGGGAGGGACAGACACACCCAGGGAGGGACAGACAGCACCTCCACACGGACACACCCCCCAGCAGGGCTGGGAAACCAGGAATGGGAGAGGCAGGAGGACACAGGAGTCTCCTGAAGGAGGAATTTCCAGCCTGGAGGAGCTCAGGGGGAGCTCTGCTCATTCCCAGAGGGAATTCCCACGGACAAGGAGGAATTTCCAGCCTGGAGGAGCTCTGCTCATTCCCAGAGGGAATTCCAAAGGACAAGGAGGAATTTCCATCCTGGAGGAGCTCTGCTCATTCCCAGAGGGAATTCCCAAGCACAAGGAGGAATTTCTAGCTCAGGGGGAGCTCTGCTCATTCCCAGAGGGAATTCCCAAGCACAAGGAGGAATTTCCAGCTCAGGGGGAGCTCTGCTCATTCCCAGAGGGAATTCCCAAGGAGCAGCACATCCATGGACACCCCAGGCTCCTCCCCAGCCCGGGGTTGGGACAGTCCCACACGTCCCATCCCTGCGGGACCCTCAGGATCCTCCTCCACCCCATTCCCAGCGCCACAGCCAGGCCCGGAGCTGGGAATTTGGGGCAAAACCCGGGAGAACCAGGATCAGCCGGCTCCCTTTGGAGCTCCGGGATCCCGGCTGCTCCTCCCGGCTCCTGGGGACAGGTACCTCTTGGTGACAGCGTTGTGGTACTCCAGGTACGTGCGGCCGTCGAAGGCCACGGCCTCGGCGTCCCCCGCCGCCTTCTCGATGATCACTGAGGGGAAACAGGGACATGGCAAAGGAACGGCCAGGGGATTCCTGGGAGGTGGGGAAACCCCCCCCCCCGGCAGCCCTGCCAGCACAGGGACACGGCCCCGTGTCCCCAGCGAGTGCCACCCCGGGGGTCGGAGGGGCTCTGGAGCCTGGGGGGGATTCAGGGTCCCTCCCAAGCCAGCCCATCCCGCGGCTCCCCAGCTGAGATCTCCAAGGGTTCTCCTCTCCCAGACCTTCCTGACTGGTGCTGGTTTTCATCACAACCCCTGCTGGATGCGCTGAACTTCTGCTGGAGGTTTTCCAGGTTTTCCATCCAGCCTCCCGGGGCCACCTCCACCTTCCCTGGGCCACCTCCAGCTCCCCATGGCCACCCCCAGCCCCCTGGGCCACCTACAGCTCCCCATGGCCACCTCCAGGCTCCCATGGCCACCTCCACCTTCCCTGGGCCCCCTCCAGGCTCCCATGGCCACCTCCAGCCCCCTGGGCCACCACCAGCCCCCCAGGACCATCTCCAACTCCCCATGGCACCCCCAGCCCCCTGTGCCACCCCCAGGCCCCCATGGCCACCCCCAGCTCCCTGTGCCACCTCCACATTCCCTGTGTCACCTCCACCCTCCCCGGGCCACCCCCAGTCCCCTGTGGCCACCTCCAACCTCCCATGGCCACCTCGAGCCCCCTGTGCCATCCCCAGCCCCCCATGACCATCTCCAGCTCCCCATGGCCACATTCCCTGTGTCACCTCCACCTTCCCTGTGCCACCTCCAGCTCCCCATGGCCACCTCCAGCCCCCTGTGCCACCCCCAGCCCCCCTGGCACCCACCCTTCTCGCAGTGGGCCCCCGAGAAGCCCCTGTGGCAGGAGCAGTGGTAGCCCCCCAGGCTGGGGCTGCAGGAGCCCCCGTGCTGGCAGGGGTTGGGTTTCTGGGTGCAGGGGTGCCCCCGGAACGGGGAGATCTCCCTGGCACTGCGGATGTTCTGCTCCTTCAGCACGGGCACGCCGTCCAGGGAGATCTGCAGGAGCACAGAGGGCTCAGCCAGGAGCTGCTGGGCAGGGATTTCCCAAAAAAATGGGGAATTCTCATCCCTGGCAGCGTCCCAGGCCGGGCTGGGGTGGTGGAAGGTGTCCCTGCCCATGGGGAGCTTGAAGGTTCCTCCACCCCAAACCAGGCTGGGATCCTCTGATGGTCCTTCCCACCCACCTCTGGTCATCTGGGGACACCAGGCAGTGTCCGTGGGGACAAGAGGAGATGGGAACCCATCCCTAAGGTGGGAATCCATCCCTGAGGTGGGAATCCATCCCTGAGGTGGGAATCCATCCCTGAGGTGGGAACCCATCCCTAAGGTGGGAATCCATCCCTGAGGTGGGAACCCATCCCTAAGGTGGGAATCCATCCCGGTGGAAGGTGTCCCTGCCCATGGGGAGCTTGAAGGTTCCTCCACCCCAAACCAGGCTGGGATCCTCTGATGGTCCTTCCCACCCACCTCTGGTCATCTGGGGACACCAGGCAGTGTCCGTGGGGACAAGAGGAGGTGGGAACCCATCCCTAAGGTGGGAATCCATCCCTTAAATGGGAATCCATCCCTAAGGTGGGAATCCATCCTTAATGTGGGAACTCATCCCTGACATGATGGGAACCCATCCCTGAGGTGGGAACCCATCCCTAAGGTGGGAATCCATCCTTAATGTGGGAACCCATCCCTGAGGTGGGAACCCATCCCTTAAATGGGAATCCATCCCTGAGATGATGGGAACCTATCCCTTAACCCTGAGGTGATGGAAATCCATTCCAAGTGTCCCCAAATTCCCCTTCTGTCCCCCACTGGTGCCACTTTTCCACCACCAGGAGAGCTCCCAGGTCCATCCCAGGACAGGTGGGACACTGGGCTGTCCCAGCAGGACACTGGTTGTCCCAGTGGACACTGGGCTGTCCCAGCAGGACCTCACCCTCTGCACAGCTCCCTGGAAGCCGCTGGAGATGGCAGCTGCTCGAGCCAGCTTGGAGAAGTCGGGGGCTCCCCCCACATAGAAGGGCTCCTTGAGGTTCAGCACCATGTGAGGCACCTGGGGGAACAGGGACATCAAGGACAAGGTGTCAGCTCCTCCCTGGCTGTCCCTGCAGGGCCAGGAGCTGGCCTTGATGGTCCTCATGGCTCTCTCCGTTTGGGAGATTTGATGATAATTAATTTGTTTGATGGTAATTTACTTGATGATATTTTCTATTTTATTTATGACTCTACGGATGGAGCCTCCAGGAAACCTCCTCATGCCAAGGACTGCCAGGTCCCACCCCCAGCAGGCACCTGGGAAAGGTTTCCCCTGGATTAAATTTTGGGGAGAGGCTCTTCCCACACCCTCAGGCCTGGAGGGGGGCTCTGCTTTTGTGTGCCCCCCCAAAATTGGGGTACCCAGACACTGCCCAGAGCCCCTGCAGGGCTGCTGCTCAATCCCAGCCTGTTCCAGAGGGATCCAGCCTTGCTGTCCCAGGTTTGAGGAGCAGGTTCAGCTTTTCTCCTGCACCCCATGGCTTGAGGAGGTTCTCCTGCACCCCACGTGGTGGTTTTGGAGGAGAAAATTCCCTCCTTGCTGTCGCCAGCCCCAGGATTCCTGGGAATTCTCTGGGATGGAGCCAGGGCCACAGCAAGGACGGGGTGACATGGAGCACTAGCTAATGCTTTGTGGGATTAACACAAAATAAATGACCAGATTAATTGGAAATGGTCCCAAAACAAAAGGTGACAACTGGCTGGGAATGAAGCACAGGAGAGGCAATGAAGGGCTCTAAACTACAGGGATCCTGAACCAGATGGGGAAGATGAAAAAGCACAAAAACAGGAAGGAAGGAAGGAGATGAGATGGAGGCGTGGTGGGGGTCATACTTATCTGTACCTTACGGGATTTCTGGGATCCAGACAGCAGGGGAGGGGAAAATACAAAGGAAAATCAAAGGGAGAGAGAGAAAAAAAAAAAAAAAAAAAGAGAGAGAAAAGGGACATCAGTGGGGTGCCATTGCAACAGGCAGGGCTGCCACTGCCCCGCTGCCACCAGGGCTGGGGGGCTCTGGGGGTGGCAGGAGGTGGCAGGAGGGTCACTGCCACCCAGGAGCTGCTCTGCTCAGAGAGGAGCTTGGAAAGAGGAGAGCGAGGGCAGGAAAATGCCTCTGTTGGTTCTGTGGGCTGAGGGGGGAGCTCAGCAGGGCTTCTCCTGGAAAAAGGGGAGGGAAGGGACCCCCAGGAATGCAGGGAGGGACAGGGAGAGGCTGGAACTGCAAAATTCCCAGCGGGGAGAAGAGCAGAGCAAGCACCAGGGGATGCAGCAGCAGCAGCAGGGCTGGGGATTTTCCTGCTCCCTGAGCTCCTCTCGCTGCTGGGGGGATCTTAATTAGTGATTAATTAGTGACCCAGGGGTGCCTCACGTAGCTGTGCCAACACAGGGACGGGTGGGGACCTGGAATAAGGGAGGGGGGGTCCGGGAGAGGGTGGGGGGCTCATCCAAGGCATCCCTGGAACCTGGCTGAGATCTGGGCAGGGACAGGGATCCTCCCCTGCCTGCTGCTCCACCCTCAAACCCAGGAGCTAAAGCCCAGGAAACTGAGAAATTCCAGTAAAACCCAGGATTTAAAGCCCAGGAACCTGAGAAATTCCAGTAAAACCCAGGATTTAAAGCCCAGGAACCTGAGAAATTCCCCTCAAATTCAGGATTTAAAGCCCAGGAACCTGAGAAATTCCACTCTAATCCACAGGCTAAAGTCCAGGAAGTTGAGAACTCCACTCTCCCACCTTCAAATTCATGATTTAAAGCCCAATATCCAGAGAAATTCCACTCAAACCACAGTTTAAAGCCAAGGAACCTGAGAATTCCGCTCTTCCACCCTCAAATCCAGAATTTAAAGCCCGAGAACCTGAGAAATTTCACTTCTCCACCTTCAAATCCACAATTTGAAGCCCAGGAGCCTGAGAAATTCCACTCAAACCCACAGTTTAAAGCCCAAGAACCTGAGAAATTCCCCTCAAATCCACAATTTAAAGCCCAGGAACCTGAGAAATTCCACTGAAATCCAGAATTTAAAGCCCAGGAACCTGAGAAATTCCACTGAAATCCAGAATTTAAAGCCCAGGAACCTGAGAAATTCCACTGAAATCCAGAATTTAAAGCCCAGGAACCTGAGAAATTCCACTGAAATCCAGAATTTAAAGCCCAGGAACCTGAGAAATTCCACTGAAATCCAGAATTTAAAGCCCAGGAACCTGAGAAATTCCACTGAAATCCAGAATTTAAAGCCCAGGAACCTGAGAAATTCCACTCAAACCCACAGTTTAAAGCCCAAGAACCTGAGAAATTCCCCTCAAATTCAGGATTTAAAGCCCAGGAGCCTGAAAAATTCCTCTCAATTCCACAATTTAAAGCCCAGGAACCTGAAAAATTCCACTGAAATCTACAATTTAAAGCCCAGGAACCTGAGAAATTTCACTTCCCCACCTTCAAATCCACAATTTGAAGCCCAGGAGCCTGAGAAATTCCACTCAAACCCACAGTTTAAAGCCCAAGAACCTGAGAAATTCCCCTCAAATCCAGAATTTGAAGCCCAGGAACCTGAAAAATTCCCCTCAAATCCACAATTTAAAGCCCAGGAACCTGAGAAATTCCACTCAAACCCGCGAGCTAAAGCCCAGGAACCTGAGAAACTGCCCTCAAATCCAGAATTTAAAGCCCAGGAGCCTGAGAAACTCCACTGAAATTCAGAATTTAACGCCCAGGAACCTGAGAAATTCCACTCAAACCCGCGAGCTAAAGCCCAGGAACCTGAGAAACTGCCCTCAAATCCAGAATTTAAAGCCCAGGAGCCTGAGAAACTCCCCTCAAATCCACAATTTAAAGCCCAGGAGCCTGAGAAACTCCCCTCAAATTCAGAATTTAACGCCCAGGAACCTGAGAAATTCCACTCAAACCCACGAGCTAAAGCCCAGGAACCTGAGAAATTCCCCTCAAATCCAGAATTTAAAGCCCAGGAACCTGAGAAACTCCCCTCAAATCCAGAATTTAAAGCCCAGGAACCTGAAAAATTCCACTCAAATCTACAATTTAAAGCCCAGGAACCTGAGAAACTCCACTCAAATCCACAATTTAAAGCCCAGGAGCCTGAGAAACTCCCCTCAAATTCAGAATTTAACGCCCAGGAACCTGAGAAATTCCACTCAAACCCACGAGCTAAAGCCCAGGAACCTGAGAAATTCCACTGAAATCCACAATTTAAAGCCCAAGAACCTGAAAAATTCCCCTCAAATCCAGAATTTAAAGCCCAGGAACCTGAGAAATTCCACTGAAATCTACAATTTAAAGCCCAGGAACCTGAGAAACTCCCCTCAAATCCAGAATTTAAAGCCCAGGAACCTGAGAAACTCCACTAAACCCAGAATTTAAAGCCCAGGAACCTGAGAAACTCCACTCAAATCCACAATTTAAAGCCCAGGAACCTGAGAAACTCCCCTCAAATCCCGAATTTAAATCCCAGGAGCCTGCTAAACCCCGGAGGTGACCAGGGCAGGGTCCCTCCCCACTCACCGGGGACTCCCCCGTCACCCTCTGGCCGTTGTTGACCCTCAGGACGCCCTTGCGGCCGCTCCTCTCCAGCAGGACGCTGACCCACGCGTTCAGGGGCACCGGCTCCCTGCTCCTGAGGGGGAAAAAAGGGAAAAAAAGGGTTTAAAAGACGTGGGGGAGGTCGCCAAAGCGGGATGCTGAATAATCCCCGGGAAGGGAAGAGAAATTCCTGCTGGGTCTGCCCCGACACAGGGAATGAGCGATCGGCACCCCGAGGAACGGTGCTGGGGGGACTGCACAGCGGCTGGGCCAGGCCTGGCATGTGGGGACACGGTGCCACCAGTGCCACCTGTGCCCTCACCTGGGCAGGGCCACAGTGCCACCAGTGCCACCAGAGTGCCACCTGTGCCCTCACCTGGGCAGGGAGAGTGCCACCAGTGCCACCAGAGTGCCACCTGTACCCTCACCTGGGCAGGGCCACAGTGCCACCAGTGCTACCTGTGCCCTCACCTGGGCACGGCCACAGTGCCACCAGTGCCAGCAGAGTGCCACCAGTGCCCTCACCTGGGCAGGGCCACAGTGCCACCAGTGCCACCTGTGCCCTCACCTGGGCAGGGCCACAGTGCCACCAGTGCCCCCTGTGCCCTCACCTGGGCAGGGCCACAGTGCCACCAGTGCCCTCACCTGGGCAGGGCCACAGTGCCACCAGTGCCACCTGTGCCCTCACCTGGGCCAGCAGGACGCTGACCCACGCGTTCAGGGGCACCGGCTCCCTGCTCCTGAGGGGGAAAAAAGGGAAAAAAAGGGTTTAAAAGACGTGGGGGAGGTCGCCAAAGCGGGATGCTGAATAATCCCCGGGAAGGGAAGAGAAATTCCTGCTGGGTCTGCCCCGACACAGGGAATGAGCGATCGGCACCCCGAGGAACGGTGCTGGGGGGACTGCACAGCAGCTGGGCCAGGCCTGGCATGTGGGGACACGGTGCCACCAGTGCCAGCAGAGTGCCACCAGTGCCCTCACCTGGGCACGGCCACAGTGCCACCAGTGCCAGCAGAGTGCCACCAGTGCCCTCACCTGGGCACGGCCGCCGTGCCCCCAGCGCGAGCAGAGTGCCACCAGTGCCCTCACCTGGGCAGGGCCACAGTGCCACCAGTGCCACCAGTGCCCTCACCTGGACAGGGCCACAGTGCCACCAGTGCCCTCACCTGGGCACGGAGAGTGGCACCTGTACCCTCATCTTGGCAGGGCCACAGTGCCAGCAGGGCCTCAACTGAGCAGTGCAGCAGTGCCAGCAGAGGGCCACCTGTGCCCTCACCTGGGCAGGGAGAGTGCCACCAGTGCCCTCACCTGGGCAGGGAGAGTGCCACCAGTGCCCTCACCTGGGCAGGGAGAGTGCCACCAGTGCCCTCACCTGGGCAGGGAGAGTGCCACCAGTGCCCTCACCTGGGCAGGGAGAGTGCCACCAGTGCCCTCACCTGGGCAGGGAGAGTGCCACCAGTGCCCTCACCTGGGCAGGGAGAGTGCCACCAGTGCCCTCACCTGGGCACGGAGACTGGCACCTGTACCCTCATCTTGACAGGGCCGCAGTGCCAGCAGGGCCTCAACTGAGCAGCGCAGCAGGGCCAGCAGTGCAGCAGTACCAGCAGTGCCAGCAATGCAGCAATGCAGCAGTACCATCAGTGCAGCAATGCAGCAGTGCCAGCAATGCAGCAGTGCAGCAGTGCAGCAATGCAGCAGTGCCATCAGGGCAGTAATGCAGCAGTGCCAGCAATGCAGCAGTGCAGCAGTGCAGCAATGCAGCAGTGCCATCAGGGCAGTAATGCAGCAGTGCCAGCAATGCAGCAGTGCAGCAGTGCAGCAATGCAGCAGTGCCATCAGGGCAGTAATGCAGCAGTGCCAGCAATGCAGCAGTGCAGCAGTGCAGCAATGCAGCAGTGCCATCAGGGCAGTAATGCAGCAGTGCCAGCAATGCAGCAGTGCAGCAGTGCAGCAATGCAGCAGTGCCATCAGGGCAGTAATGCAGCAGTGCCAGCAATGCAGCAGTGCAGCAGTGCAGCAATGCAGCAGTGCCATCAGGGCAGTAATGCAGCAGTGCCAGCAATGCAGCAGTGCAGCACTACCAGCAGTGCAGCAGTACCAGCAGTGCAGCAGTGCAGCAATGCAGCAGTACCATCAGTGCAGCAGTCAGCAGTGCCTCACCTGAGCAGTGCTATCAGTGCAGCAGTGCCAGCAATGCAGCAGTGCAGCTGCACCAGTAGCGCCTCACCTGAGCAACCACGGCGGGTGCAGCAATGCAGCAGTACCATCAGTGCCAGCAGTGCAGCAGTACCATCAGTGCAGCCAGCAGTGCAGTGCCTCAGTAGAGCAGTACCAGCAGTGCAGCAGTACCATCAGTGCAGCAGTGCCAGCAGTGCAGCAGTACCAGCAGTGCAGCAGTACCATCAGTGCAGCAGTCAGCAGTGCCTCACCTGAGCAGTGCTATCAGTGCAGCAGTGCCAGCAATGCAGCAGTGCAGCAGTACCCGCAGCGCCTCACCTGAGCAGCGCCGGCCCTTTGCCCAGGTCGTATCTGTACTCCAGGTGGCCCTGCTGCAGTGCCAGCGACACAAAGTCCCCCTTGCCGTCGCTCTTCTGGCCGTTGTAGAAGATCATCCCGCTGGGCTGCTTGGCCAGGAACACCACCTCCATGGACATCTTGTCCCTGACACAGGGGGTTATTGATCAGGGGTTATTGATTATTGATCAGGATTACTGATTGTGGGTTATGGATTGGGGGTTGTGAGTTATGGGTTATTGATTCTGGGTTATGGATTATTTATTGTGGATTATGGGTTATGGATTGAGGGTTGTGGATTCCGGGTTATTGATTATGGATTGTGGGTTATAGATTACAGATTGTGGATTATGGATTGTGCGTTATTGATTGTGGATTGTGGGTTATTGATTGTGGATTATAGATTGTGGGTTATTGATTACAGATGATGGATTCTAGGTTATGGATTGGGGGTTATGGATTATGGGTTATGGATTACTGATTATTGATGATGGATTATTTATTACGGGTTATTGAATGGGGTTATTGATTATGGATTATTGATTATTCAATGGGGGTTATTGATTGTGGGTTATGGATTGGGGGTTGTGAGTTATGGGTTATTGATTCTGGGTTATGGATTATTTATTGTGGATTATGGGTTATGGATTGAGGGTTGTGGATTCCGGGTTATAATGCAGCAGTGCCATCAGGGCAGTAATGCAGCAGTGCCAGCAATGCAGCAGTGATGGATTATGGATTGTGGGATATGGATTACAGATTGTGGATTATGGATTGGGGGTTATTGATTGTGGGTTATGGATTGGGGGTTGTGAGTTATGGGTTATTGATTCTGGGGTATGGATTATTTATTGTGGATTAGGGGTTATGGATTGAGGCCTGTAGATTCCGGGTTATTGATTATGGATTGTGGGTTATGGATTCTGGGTTATTGATTATGGATCATGGGTTATGGATTATGGATTGTGGGATATGGATTACAGATTGTGGATTATGGATTGTGTGTTATTGATTGTGGATTGTGGGTTATTGATTGTGGATTATAGATTGTGGGTTATTGATTACAGATGATGGATTCTAGATTATGGATTGTGGGTTATTGATTGTGGATTATGGATTGTGGGTTACTGATTATGGATGATGGATTCTGGATTATGGATCCCCTCCCCTCCAGCCGCTCCCGGGATAACCCCGATGCCGTGGGCGTGGCAGCAGTGCCAGCCCTGCCAGCTGTGGGCGCTGTGGGTGGGGTTTGTCCCTCGCTGTCCCTGCACTCACTGCAGGTCGGGCACGAAGCTCTGCAGCCCGTTGAGCTCCAGGTAGGAGAAGCCGTTGAACTCGGGCAGGAAGGGCACGGACTGGTCCTGCTCCGTCACTGGGCACAAAGCGGGCAGCGTCAGGGGCACGGGGCGCGGCACGCGTCCCAGAGGCCGCCCCGGGCTGGGGACACCCCCCTGCCGTCCCACCTCGCTCGCAGAGGTCCCCTTCACGGCCCATGGGACAGGCACACAGCGGGCCCCCGTCGGGCAGCACCAGGCAGGTGGCAGAGACGTGGCACGGGGACGGCTCGCACGGGTTCCTCTCGAAGGCACACGTGGGGCCTGCGGGCACAGGCAGCTTGGCACCAACCCCCAGGCACATGGCCCCAGTGTCCCCCGTGTCCCCAGTGTCCCCAGGGTCCCCAGAGTCTCTCAAAGGCACACGTGGGGCCTGCGGGCACAGGCAGCTTGGCACCAACCCCCAGGCACATGGCCCCCGTGTCCCCTGTGTCCCCAGGGTCCCCAGAGTCTCTCAAAGGCACACGTGGGGCCTGCGGGCACAGGCAGCTTGGCACCAACCCCCACAGCCCCAGTGTCCCCAATGTCCCCAGTGTCCTCCATGTCCCCAATGTCACCATGGGCATGTAGGCATCAAGGCACTGGCAAAAACTCCTTCAGAATCCCCTAGAGGGGTGAGAACCCCTTGGTGCCCATCCCATACCCCAAAAACCACCTTGGTGCCCACCCCATACCCAAACCACAGGGGCAGTGCCACCCTCATGGGGGCAGTGCCACACTCATAGGGACAGTGCCACACTCACAGGGGCAGTGCCACCCTCATGGGGGCAATGACATGCTCCCGGGGCACTGCCACGCTAACAGGGGCAATGTCACCCTCCCAGGGGCAGTGCCATACTCATGGGGGCAATGTCACCCTCCCAGGGGTAGTGCCACCCTCACAGACCCAATGCCACACTCACAGCAGCAGTGCCACCAATCAGGCCCAGTGCCACCCTAACAGTGTCACCCTCAGAGGACCAGTGTCCTCTCATGGGGCAGTGCCACACTCATGGGGCAGTGCCACCCTCACAGTGTCACCCTCGCGGAGCCAGTGCCACCCTCATGGGGCAGTGCCACCCTCCCAGGGGCAGTGCCACACTCACAGCACCAGTGCCACCCACCAGACCCAGTGCCACCCGCCGCTCCCCGTGCCCCACTCACAGTGCCACCCACCAGGCCCAGTGCCACCCCTTGGTCCCTGTGCCACCCTCACAGTGCCACCCTTGCAGCCCCGTGCCCACTCAGAGTGCCACCCTTACAGTGCCACCCTTACAGTGCCACCCTCCCAGGGGCAGTGCCACACTCACAGCACCAGTGCCACCCACCAGACCCAGTGCCACCCGCCGCTCCCCGTGCCACCCTCACAGTGCCCCCCTCACAGCCCCGTGCCCACTCCCAGTGCCACCCTCCCAGTGCTCCCCTTGCGGTTCCCTCTCTCTCTCCCTCTCTCCCTCCCTCCCTGCCCTCCCCCTCCCCTCATTCCAAACCCATCCCCTTGGATTCTGGAATACAAAAAAAGCCACTCTGCCTCTTTCCTCCCTTCCCTTTCTCCCCTCTCTGCATTTCCATCCCAGTTCAAAAAAAAAAAAAAAAAAACCCAAAAAAAAGCCACCAAAAAAAGATCTCTCAAAAAATCTCAACCTGCCAAAAAAAACCCAACCTGCCAAAAAACCCCAACCTGCCAAAAAAACCCAACCTCCCACACTTGGGAGCTGTTCAAAATCCAAAGTGAGTTCACTTGGCTGAAAATAGGGAACACTTCCCTTCCCTCCCTCCCTCTTTCCCTCCCTCCTTCTCGGTTCCTTCCACTCCCTCCTTTCCTCTCCCTCTCTCCTTCTTCCCCTCCCTCCTCTCCCTCCCTCCTTCTCTTCTTGTCTCCTTCCACTCCCTCCCTCCCTCTTTCCATCCCTCCTTCTCTTCTTGTCTCCCTCCCTTCTTCCTTCTCTCACTCTCTTTCCTTCTCCCTCAGTATTCCAACCACACCCTTCCAAAAACCAAAAAAATCCTGATTTTTGTCCACTTGGAGGCCTTTTAGGATAGAAATTCCCTCTCTTGGGATGCAAATTCCTGTCCTGGGTCCAGGGACTCAACAGAGCTCGAGCTCCCTCAGTATTCCAACCACACCCTTCCAAAAACCAAAAAAATCCTGATTTTTGTCCACTTGGAGGCCTTTTAGCATAGAAATTCCCTCTCTTGGGACACAAATTCTCCCTCTTGGGATACAAATTCCCTGTCCTGGGTCCTGGGGCTCCACCAGGGGCTCACGCGAGCTCGAGCTCCCTCAGTATTCCAAAAACAAAAAAAATTCCCGATTTTTGTCCACTTGGAGGCCTTTTAGGCTAGGAATTCCCTGTCCTAGGTCCTGGGCTTCTCCTGGGGCTCCACCAGGGGCTCACACGAGCTCGAGCTCCCTCAGTATTCGAAAAACAAAAAAAATTCCCGATTTTTGTCCACTTGGAGGCCTTTTAGGCTAGGAATTCCCTGTCCTAGGTCCTGGGCTTCTCCTGGGGCTCCACCAGGGGCTCACACGAGCTCGAGCTCCCTCAGTATTCGAAAAACAAAAAAAATTCCCGATTTTTGTCCACTTGGAGGCCTTTTAGGATAGGAATTCCCTGTCCTAGGTCCTGGGATTCTCCTGGGGCTCCACCAGGGGCTCACGTGAGCTCGAGCTCCCTCAGTATTCCAAAACCAAAAAAAATTCCCGATTTTTGTCCACTTGGAGGCCTTTTAGGATAGGAATTCCCTGTCCTAGGTCCTGGGATTCTCCTGGGGCTCCACCAGGGGCTCACACGAGCTCGAGCTCCCTCAGTATTCCAAAAACAAAAAAAATTCCCGATTTTTGTCCACTTGGAGGCCTTTTAGGATAGGAATTCCCCCTCCTGGGATAGAAACCCCCCCTTTTAGGAGTCACTCCCACCCCGGGCTGACCTGAGCTCCACGAAGCCCCCGAGCAGAGCCAGAGAGATGAAGTCCTTGCCGTGGCGCTGGGCGTTGTAGAGGAGGAGCCCGTCGGGCTCCAGCGCGCGGAACTCCATGGAGATCCGGACGGTGTGGTACGCCCTCATGGTGCGGAACGCCAGCACGGAACGGCCCCCGAAACCAGGGATGGACGGGCTGGAGGCTGAGGGGAAAACGGGGAAAATGGGGGGGAGGGCAGGGAGGAGAAATGGGAAGAACGGGGGAGAAGGGAGGGGAAATGGAGGAAGAAGGGAGGGAGAGAGGGGGATGAAAAGGGGAGGAAAAGGGGGGAAATAGGGGTGAAAAGTGGGGGGAAAGGGGAGAAAAGGGGAGGAAAAAGGGGAAGAAGAGGGGAAGAGAGGGGGAAAGAAAAGGGGAGGAAAAATAGGGGTGAAAAGTGGGGGGAAAAGCGGGGAAAAAGGGGGAGAAACGGGGGAGAAAAAGGGGAAGAAGAGGGGAAGAGAGGGGGAAGAAAAGGGGAGGAAAAGGGGGGAAATAGGGGTGAAAAGTGGGGGGAAAGGGGAGAAAAGGGGAGGAAAAGGGGGGAAATAGGGGTGAAAAGTGGGGGGAAAGGGGAGAAAAGGGGAGGAAAAGGGGGGAAATAGGGGTGAAAAGTGGGGGGAAAGGGGAGAAAAGGGGAGGAAAAGGGGGGAAAAGAGGGAGAAACGGGGAAGAAAAATGGGAAGAACGGGGGAGAAGGGAGGGGAAATGGAGGAAGAAGGGAGGAAGAGAGGGGGAAAAGGGGAGAAAGGGGGGGAGAACAGGGAGAAAAACGGGGAATAATGGAGAAAACAGGAGGGGAAAGGGGGAAGAGAGGGGGAAAAGGGGAGAAATGGGGGGAGAACGGAGAAAAAAGGGGAATAATGGAGAAAACAGGAGGGGAAAGGGGGAAGAGAGGGGGTAAAGGGGGATAAAAAAGGAGATAAAAAAGGGGGGGAAAGGAAAGGAAAGGAAAGGAAAGGAAAGGAAAGGAAAGGAAAGGAAAGGAAAGGAAAGGAAAGGAAAGGAAAGGAAAGGAAAGGAAAGGAAAGGAAAGGAAAGGAAAGGAAAGGAAAGGAAAGGAAAGGAAAGGAAAGGAAAGGAAAGGAAAGGAAAGGAAAGGAAAGGAAAGGAAAGGAAAGGATGGGGGAAAAAAGGCAATTTCTATTGAGTTTGGGTTCACAAAAAGGGCAACTTTTCTGTGCCTCCCTTGGGGTGATCTGGCACTCCAAATCCCATCAAACCAGCAGGGCTGGACACCCACAGCTCGGAGAGCTCCAGGTGACAGCTTTAGGGACAAAGCTTTTTGGGAATGAGCCCACCCAGAGCCCCTGGTGTGACCCCAAAGTGCCAGGGGCAGCTGCCAGCTGCTGCAAGGGCTGGGAAAGGAGGCTGCACCCCTGTCCTGGGTGGCACTGGGGGACACTGGGTGGCACTGGGGGACACTGCCACCAGCTGGGACAACGAAGCAGAACCTCGTTGGGATCAGGATGGAGCCAGGGAGGAGCTGCTCCTGCTCTCCTTTTACAACCTCTTGTACCTGCACAAGCTGCTGTGGCACCAAGCCGTGCCAGGGTTGATTTGGGGTTGGCTGGCACGTGTCCCCTGTCCCTCTGTCACCACTGCTGTGGTGTTTTTTAGCTGTTTATAGTGGTTTTTAGCTATTTATGTCGGGGGTTTTTTAGCTGTTTAGTGGTTTTTTTAGCTGTTTATGGTGTTTTTTAGCTGTTTATGGTGTTTTTTAGCTGTTTGTAGTGGTTTTTTAGTCGTTTAGTGATTTTTTAGCTGTTTATAGTGTTTTTTAGCTGTTTATAGTGGGTTTTAGCTATTTATGGTCACTTTTTTTAGCTGTTTAGTGGTTTTTTTAGCTGTTTATAGTGTTTTTTAGCTGTTTATAGTGGTTTTTTAGTCGTTTAGTGATTTTTTAGCTGTTTATATTGTTTTTTAACTGTTTATAGTGGGTTTTTTTTAGCTGTTTAGTGGTTTTTTTAGCTGTTTATAGTGTTTTTTAGCTGTTTATAGTGGTTTTTTAGTAGTTTAGTGATTTTTTAGCTGTTTATAGTGTTTTTTAGCTGTTTATAGTGGGTTTTAGCTATTTATGGTCACTGTTTTTTAGCTGTTTATAGTGGGTTTTAGCTATTTATGGTCACTTTTTTTAGCTGTTTAGTGGTTTTTTTAGCTGTTTATAGTGTTTTTTAGCTGTTTCCCATCTCTGGAAGTGCCCAAATCCAAACCGGCACAACCTGGCACAGCGGGGGCGGCATCCTACCCACGCCAAGAGGCACGAAGTGATTCCTAAGGCCCAAAACTTGGGGTTTTTCCGCGGCACCACCTACATTTCTCACACACGGCCCCTCCCCTGCCCGCGGGGCAGCTGCAGCTGAAGTCGTGCCCGTGGTCCTGGCAGGTGCCACCGTGCAGGCAGGGCTGGGACTCGCAGGGCCGCGGGGCTCGCGTGGTGCCAGGGGGCAGCGGGGTGGGCTTCCTCCTGCTGCTGCTGCTGCTGCTGGTGCTGCCAGGGCTCCTGGTGCTGCCAGGGCTCCTGGTGCTGCCCACCACGGGGCCGGGGCTGCCCCCGGGCTCGGCGTGCTGCCCCAGGGCCGCGGTGGCCGCGGGCACCCTGCGGGTGGTGCCCGGTGCCATGGTGGTGGCCGTGGTGGTGGTGACGGTGGTGGTGAAGAGCCGGGGGATCCAGTCTGGAACACAGCAGGGCTGGGGTCAGAGGGGGCTGGGGGCAGCTGGGGGGGGGATTTGGGGTCAGCTGGGTTGGGGGCAGCTGGGGGGATTTGGGGCAGCTGGGTTGGGGGCAGCTGCTGGATGGGGTTGGGGTCAGGTGTGGGTTAGGTTTACATTCAGGTGTAGGTTAGGTTTAGGATCAGGTGTGGGTTAGGTTTAGGGTTAAGTGTGGGCTATTTTTAGGATCCAATGTGGGTTGAGGGTCAGGTATGGGTTAGGTTTAGGGTCAGGTGTAGGTTAGGTTTAGGATCAGGTGTGGGTTAGTTTTAGGGTTAGGTATGGGTTAGGCTTAGGGTTAGGTTTAGGGTCAGGTGTAGGTTAGGTTTAGGGACAAGTGTGGGCTATTTTTAGGATCCAATGTGGGTTGAGGGTTAGGTATGGGTTAGGTTTAGGGTCAGGTATGGGTTAGGGTCAGGAATGGATTTGGGTTAAAGCTAGCATTAGGGTTAGGGTCAGGTTTAGGGTTAGGTTTAGGGTCAGGCATGGGTTTGTTTCAGGGTCAGGTGTGGGCTATGAGAGGAGCAGCCAGCGTGGTCATAGAGGAGAAATCTGCAACCTAAGAAGCCTCAAAGTGGACAAAAATTGGGTTTTCCTGGGATGCTGCCTGTGCCTGTGCCAGGCTCCGTGTGCCCACTTTTCCTGGGAAATCTGGCACGGGTGGAGCAGAAGCTGTCCCAGACTGGCCACCACCCCCCGAATCCCAGGATCCCTTTGCAGGCCACAGCCCCACGGGTGGCACTGCCATATCCCATGGAAAAAGGGGCAATTTTAACCCTTTGCTGGTTCACTCGGAGCGTGGGGAGGCCCTGGAATGGATTTCCCAGAGAAGCTGAGGCTGCCCCATCCCTGGAAGTGTCCAAGCACCCTCTGGAAGATCCCTGCCCATGTCCAGACCCTTTTAAGGTCCCTCCCAACCCCAAAAATGGGGTTTTGAAGGGTTGCCAAGACCAGCAGAGCCCCCTGGCATTCTGAAACCCCAAAGCAAGCGAGGGGGACTCACCAAAATCCATGAATTTGATGTGCTCCTGCTGGGGCTTCTTCACCAGGATGGTTTTCCTCTTGGCAGCTCGGAGCTGCCTCAGCAGGGCGCCCTGGATGTCAGCAGCCGTGTAGGACGTGGCTGGTGCCAGCCAGGAGGGCAAAGGAGGGGAGCAACAGTGAGCATTCCAACAGGAATTTCCCTCCCATGACCTCTCCAAGTCTCTCCTTTCCCAAGGAAATAATCCTCCTTTGCCAAGGAAATAATCCTCCTTGCCAAGGAAAATAATCCTCCTTTCCAAAGAAAATAATTCTCCTTCCCAAGGAAATAATCCTTCTTTCCCAAGGAAAATAATACTCCTTCCCAAAGAAAATAAACCTCTATTCCCAAGGAAAATAAACCACCTTGTCCCAAGGAAAATAACTCTCCTTTCCAAGGAAAATAATCCCTCCATTCCCAAGGAAAATAAACCACCTTTCCCTCGGAAAGTAACTCTCCTTTCCAAGGAAAATAATCTTCCTTTACAAGGAAAATAATCCCTCCATTCCCAAGGAAAATAACTCTCCTTTCCAAGGAAAATAATCCCTCCATTCCCAAGGAAAATAACCATCCTTTCCCAAGGAAAATTAACCCTCCTTTCCCAAGGAAAATTACCCCTCCTTTCCCAAGGAAAATAACCATCCTTTCCCAAGGAAAATTACCCCTCCTTTCCCAAGGAAAATTACCCCTCCTTTCCCAAGGAAAACCCTCCCAGCTTCCTCAGCGTGCAGCCCCTCCCAGCTCCCCTCACACGGAAATTTTGCAGAATAAAAGACCCAACCCCACTGAATTTTAGGATGGCTCTTTCCCTCTCCTCCCCACACGGATTTCCCAGCCAGAATTCCTGCTGGGAATGCCCAGGGAATGGCCCCACCTGGGTCAAAGTGGGCCTCCACGATGACCCTGACGGCGCTGCTCTGGCCCAGGTCCCGCACTCGGATGCTCTTGAAATCCTTCCTGACATCAGAAGCCCGGAACAGCTCGTCCAGCTGGGGAAGGAAAGGGTTAACAGGGAGATCCTGGCACGGGGATCCTGCCAGGGAAAGATCCAGGCTTGGATTTGCTGCCCGGTGTTTGCAAGGCAGCCCAGTGACAGGGAGGGGACAGGGGACAATTCCTGCTGCTCTTTAGGGCCAAGGGAAAAGTGGGATCCATAAACAATTCCTGCTGCTCTTTAGGGCCAAGGGAAAAGTGGGATCCATAAACAATTCCAGCTGTTCTCTAGGACCAAGGGAAGAATGGGATCCATAAACAATTCCAGGTGTTCTTTATGGCCAAAGGAACAACAGGATCCATAAACAATTCCAGGTGTTCTCTAGGGCCAAGGGAAACGTGGGATCCATAAAGAATTCCTGCTGCTCTTTAGGACCAAGGGAAGAATGGGATCCATAAACAATTCCAGGTGTTCTTTATGGCCAAAGGAACAACAGGATCCATAAACAATTTCAGGTGTTCTCTAGGGCCAAGGGAAAAGTGGGATCCATAAACAATTCCAGCTGCTCTTTAGGGCCAAGGGAATAATGGGATCCATAAACAATTCTAGCTGCTCTTTAGGACCAAGGGAAGAACAGGATCCATGAAGTGGGACAAGGATGTTCTGTGACAATTCCTGCTGTTCTTTAGGGCCAAGGGAAGGGCAGGATCCATAAATCAAGCGGGACAGGGAGCCGTCATCCATTTTGTGACCACTTTGGGCTCATCCTGGGGGTGTAGACCCAAGCTGGATCCATTGAGGAGATCTTTTTAATCAACCCCTGCTTTATTCTTGAACGCTGTCCTAGGGCAGCCTCAGGGCACCAGCAGGGCTCCCTTTGGTGCCAGCTGTGCCCCCCAGGGCCACGGAGCTCACCGCGCTCTCGATGCTCCGCGCCGTCTCCCCAAAGAGCTCGGATTTGGGGTCGGCCATCTCCGGGGTGTAGAACAGCTCCTGGCCCTCCACCTCCTCCAGGATCAGCACTCCTTGGAACACTTTGGTGGCTGGGGGAGGAGGGAACACAAGACAAAACCCTTGAGCTGGGCAGGGGTGGCGAGGGAGCGCCGGAGTCCCTGGGAGAGGGGGATGGCCGTGTGGGGGTAGTGCCAGTGCCGGGTTAGTCGGGATGGGACGGGGACAGCCATGGAGGATTAGTGCTGGAGCAGATGGCAAAGACCAGGCTGGAGATGGCAGCTTTTACCAGACGGGTTCCTGCGAGCTCCGGCCCGGAGAGCAGCCCCCCTGCACCGCTGGGTGACAAGAGAGACACGTTAGAGGACACGCCACGGCCCGGGGGCACCCGCAGGGGCACAGCGGGGCCACCCGGGGCTGGGGGCAAGGGGGACACCTGGCACAGGGCAACCACAGCCCTGCCAAACCATCTGAAACTGCAGCAGGAATGCCAGGGCTGGATCCTGCCCTGGGGATGCAGAGGATGGAGAGATCCCGCTGTGGGAACCACACAGGAGCCTCCTTTTCCTTTCCGTTTTCCCCTTTCCCTTTCCCTTTCTCTCTCCCTTTCCATTTTCCCCTCTTCCTTTTCTCTTCTCCTTTTCCCTCTCCCTTTTCCCTTTTCCTTCCCCTTTCCCTCTCCCTTTCTCTTTTTCTTTTCCCCTTTCCCTCTCCCTTTCCCTTTTCCCTTCTCCCTTTCCCCCTCCCTTTTCTTTCCCCTTTCCCCCTCCCTTTTCTTTCCCCTTTCCCTCTCCTTTTCTCTTTTCCTTTTCTGCTTTCCTTCTCCTTCTCCCTTTCCCTTCACACAGGACTTTTAACCCTTTATGGGTTAAAAGGGAAAGTGCTGTTTTCCCAGAGGCAAAGGGGATGTCCCACTGGAAACCCCAAGGAAGGACTTGAGTGAGGAGAAATCTGGGACGTGGCCCCTGAGGAACAATTTTCAGAATAACGAGGATATTCTGACAGAGCAGAGGTGGGGCTGTGCTTCCTCAGATTGTGGGAAGGAGGAGAGATCCCAGCTGGATCAGGGAGCAGCAAACACCCCCAGGAAGATCCCAAATCTTCCCCCAGCCCCAAATTCACCTGGAGAGCTCTGTGGCTCATCCCCCTTGAAAGATCCCAAACTCCTGACCCCAAATCAACCCAAATCCCCCTGGGCAGTTCTGTGTCACCCTACCTTGAGAGATCCCAAACTCCCGACCCCAAACGGACCCCAAACCCTCCCCTAGCCCCAAATCCAGCTGGGCAGTTCTGTGTGTCATTCCCCTTGAGATATCCCAATTCCTGACCCCAAACCAGCCCTAAATCCAGCTGGGCAGTTCTGTGTCACCCTACCCTGAGATATCCCAATTCCTGACCCCAAACCAGCCCTAAATCCAGCTGGGCAGTTCTGTGTCACCCTACCCTGAGAGTTCCCAATTCCTGGCCCCAAACCAGCCCCAAATCCAACTGGGCAGTTCTGTGTGTCATTCCCCTTGAGATATCCCAATTCCTGACCCCAAACCAGCCCTAAATCCAGCTGGGCAGTTCTGTGTCACCCTACCCTGAGATATCCCAATTCCTGACCCCAAACCAGCCCCAAATCCACCTGGGCACTTCCGAGTCCTCCCCCCCTGAGAGTCCCCCACTGCTGGCCCCAGAGGAGCCCACCCCAGCCCCAGGCTCACCGGGGCAGTTGCTCCCCTCGGCGTCGGCCGCGGCGGTTTTGCCGTCGGAGCAGCAGCCCAGGGCGCTGTTGTAGCACGTGGCCCTCTCGATGGCAGGCGTGGATGTCACCTGGCCCTCGTCCAGCTCCTCCTCACCTGGGGGACAGCCAGGGGACAGCCGGCAGTGACGCCTCTGCGTGGCACCCGCCCCGCTCGTGGTGACACGCTGGGGGTGGCTGAAGCCAGCTGGGGACACTCAGTGGGCTGGGGACACTCAGTGGCACTGCCCTGGGGACACTCAGTGGCATTGCCCTGGGGACACTCAGTGGCACTGCCCAGGGGACACTCAATGGCCCTGCCCTGGGACACTCAATGGCCCTGCCCTGGGACATTCAGTGGCACTGCCCTGGGACACTCAGTGGCACTGCCCAGGGGACATTCAATGGCACTGCCCTGGGACGCTCAGTGGCATTGCCCTGGGGACAATCACTGTGGCACTGCCCAGGGGACATTCAATGGCACTGTTCTGGGAACATTGACTGCGGCATTGCCCTGGGGACAGTCAGTGGCATTGCCCAGGGGACACTGAGCATGGCACTGCCGCCCTGGGGACATTCAGTGGCACTGCCTTGGGGACATCCAATGGCATTGCCCTGGGACACTCATCGGCACTGCCTTGGGGACATCCAATGGCATTGCCCTGGGGACACTGAGCATGGGCTGTGCTTCCTCAGATTGTGGGAAGGAGGAGAGATCCCAGCTGGATCAGGGAGCAGCAAACACCCCCAGGAAGATCCCAAATCTTCCCCCAGCCCCAAATTCACCTGGAGAGCTCTGTGGCTCATCCCCCTTGAAAGATCCCAAACTCCTGACCCCAAATCAACCCAAATCCCCCTGGGCAGTTCTGTGTCACCCTACCTTGAGAGATCCCAAACTCCCGACCCCAAACGGACCCCAAACCCTCCCCTAGCCCCAAATCCAGCTGGGCAGTTCTGTGTGTCATTCCCCTTGAGATATCCCAATTCCTGACCCCAAACCAGCCCTAAATCCAGCTGGGCAGTTCTGTGTCACCCTACCCTGAGATATCCCAATTCCTGACCCCAAACCAGCCCCAAATCCACCTGGGCACTTCCGAGTCCTCCCCCCCTGAGAGTCCCCCACTGCTGGCCCCAGAGGAGCCCACCCCAGCCCCAGGCTCACCGGGGCAGTTGCTCCCCTCGGCGTCGGCCGCGGCGGTTTTGCCGTCGGAGCAGCAGCCCAGGGCGCTGTTGTAGCACGTGGCCCTCTCGATGGCAGGCGTGGATGTCACCTGGCCCTCGTCCAGCTCCTCCTCACCTGGGGGACAGCCAGGGGACAGCCGGCAGTGACGCCTCTGCGTGGCACCCGCCCCGCTCGTGGTGACACGCTGGGGGTGGCTGAAGCCAGCAGGGGACATTCAGTGGGCTGGGGACACTCAGTGGGCTGGGGACACTCAGTGGGCTGGGGACACTCAGCCAGCAGGGGACATTCAGTGGGCTGGGGACACTCAGTGGGCTGGGGACACTCAGTGGGCTGGGGACACTCAGTGGCACTGCCCTGGGGACACTCAGTGGCACTGCCCTGGGGACACTCAATGGCCCTGCCCTGGGACACTCAGTGGCACTGCCCTGGGGACACTCAGTGGCACTGCCCTGGGGACACTCAATGGCCCTGCCCTGGGACACTCAGTGGCACTGCCCTGGGGACAATCACTGTGGCACTGCCTGGGGACATTCAATGGCACTGTTCTGGGAACATTGACTGCGGCATTGCCCTGGGGACAGTCAGTGGCATTGCCCAGGGGACACTGAGCATGGCACTGCCGCCCTGGGGACATTCAGTGGCACTGCCTTGGGGACATCCAATGGCATTGCCCTGGGACACTCATCGGCACTGCCTTGGGGACATCCAATGGCATTGCCCTGGGGACACTGAGCATGGCACTGTCCTGGGAACATTCAGTGGCACTGCCCAGGGGACACTCAGTGCCACCACAGAGCCCAGGGCTGTCACTCACCGGCAGATCCCGCCCCGCTGGACTCCTGGTCACCGCTGGTCCCCATGTCCTGGTCCCCACTGCCCTCAGCGCTGCCGGACTCGCCGTAGCCCGTCTGGCTGGTGGCCGCCACCACGGGCACGGTGGCCAGCGGGCGGACGGTGGCTCTGTGCACCCCGTGGGTGACCCAGGGCGTGGTGGCCGGCCTGGCTGTCGTCACACGCCTCGTGGCGGGGTGGCCTCGTTCCGTGGGCCTGGCGTGTGGCGGTGACGAGGTGGCGGCCGCCGCGGTGGGCGGCGGGGCGCGCGTGGTGGCCCGAGGGGGCGCGGGCAGCAGGAGCCGGTCCGGGGGCAGCGTGGGCAGCGGCGTGGGGGGCACCGGGGGGCTCGAGTGGGTGATGGACTCTGCAGGAGCAGCAGAGGGGGGACGTGAGCAGGGGTGGCACTGGGAATGGGGTGACAAAGCCCGGGAAGGGGAGGTGCTGTGACAGGGGGTGTCTCACGGGGTGGCAGGGCCAGCCTCGGGATACGGGGGTGGTACTGGCCTGGGGACACTCAGTGTGGCACTGTCCTGGGGACACGGAGCATGGCACTGGCCAGGGGACATTCAGTGGCACTGTCACAGTGACACTGAGCATGGCACTGCCCTGGGGACACTCAGTGTGGTACTGTCCTGGGGACACGGAGCATGGCACTACCCAGGGGACACTCAGTGTGGTACTGTCCTGGGGACAGGGAGCATGGCACTGCCCAGGGGACACGCACCATGGCACTGCCGAGGGGACACTCAGTGGCACTGCCCAGGGGACACACAATGGCACTGCCCAGGGGACACTCAGTGTGGTACTGTCCTGGGGCACTGGGCATGGCACTGCCCAGGGGACACTGAGTGTGGCACTGCCCAGGGGACACTCAGTGTGACACTGCCCTGGGGACACGCAGCATGGCACTGCCCAGGGGACACTAAACATGACACTGCCCCAGTGGCACTGCCCAGGGGACACTCAGTGGCACTGCCCAGGGCACACTCACCCTGGCACTACCCAGGGGACACTCAGTGGCACTGCCCAGGGGACACTCACCGTGGCACTGCCCTGGGGACACTGAGCATGGCACTGCCCAGGGGACACTCAGTGGCACTGCCCAGGGGACACTCACCATGGCACTGCCCAGGGGACACTCAGTGGCACTGCCCAGGGGACACTCAGTGGCACTGCCCCAGGGGACACTCAGTGGCACTGCCCAGGGGACACTCAGTGTGGCACTGCCCTGGGGGGGACACTCAATGGCATTGCCCAGGGGACACTCAGTGGCACTGCCCAGGGGACACTCACCGTGGCACTGCCCAGGGGACACTCACCGTGGCACTGCCCTGGGGACACTGAGCATGGCACTGCCCAGGGGACACTCAGTGGCACTGCCCAGGGCACACTCACCCTGGCACTACCCAGGGGACACTCAGTGGCACTGCCCAGGGGACACTGAGCATGACACTGCCCAGGGGACACTCAGTGGCACTGGCAAGGGGACACTCAGTGGCATAGCCCTGGGGACACTCAGTGGCACTGCCCCAGGGGACACTCACCGTGGCACTGCCCCACGTGCTTGACTGTGATGTGCTGGCCCTGCCTGCAGGCGATGGTCCGCAGCTGGCACTGGTCCCCGTAGGTGACACCATCAGAGCCACACACCTGGGGACACAGGGGACACCGGAGCTGCCCCTCTGGGCCCCTCCCAGTGGCACCAACAGGGCCCTGAACCCTGGCAGCGATTTTGGGGGGCTCCTCTGGGGCACAGAGGGACCCAGAGCAGGCTGGGGGGCACAGAGCAGCTCAGGGGTGCCAGGAGACATCAGTGACCTGTGTGTCCCCCTTGCCCGCAGGGAACAACTCCTGCAGGGTTTCGTGTCCCACCCCAAAGGTCCCCGAGCCCCCAGAGGTGTCCCCAGACCTTGGTGGTGTTGGCCTCGGAGCACAGCGGGGATGGGCACTCGCAGTGGGCGAAGCCGTTCAGCTCCACGCACGAGGCCCCGAAGTCACAGCTCAGCTCCTCGCAGGACCTGGGGGCTGAGGGGTCTGGGCAGGGCGAGAGGGGGAGCCGGGAAAACATCCCAGTTAGCAGGAGCCAAAATCCCAAACAGGCAGGAGCCAAAATCCCAAACAGACAGGAGCCAAAATCCCAGTTAGCAGGAGCCAAAATCCCAAACAGACAGGAGCCAAAATCCCAAATAGGCAGGAGCCAAAATCCCAAACAGACAGGAGCCAAAATCCCAAACAGACAGGAGCCAAAATCCCAAATAGGCAGGAGCCAAAATCCCAAACAGACAGGAGCCTAAATCCCAAATAAATAGGAGCCAAAATCCCAGTTAGCAGGAGCCTAAATCCCGAACAGGCAGGAGCCAAAATCCCAAACAGACAGGAGCCTAAATCCCAAACAGACAGGAGCCAAAACCCCAAACAGACAGGAGCCTAATCCCAGTTAGCAGGAGCCAAAATCACAAATAGGCAGGAGCCAAAATCCCAGTTAGGCAGGAGCCAAATTCCAAATAGGCAGGACCCAAACCCCAAATACACAGGACCCAGAACCCCCAGTGCTGCAGGACCCAAAATCCCAAACCAGCAGGACCCCAAATCCCAAATAAGCAGGACCCCAAATCCCAAATAAGCAGGACCCAAAGCCCAAAAAAGCAGGACCCAAAACCCCAAGCAAGCAGGACCCAAAGCCCAAAAAAGCAGGACCCCAAACCCCAAATACACAGGACTCAAAACCCCAAATAAACAGGACCCAAACCCCAAACAAGCAGGACCCAAAGCCCAAATAAGCAGGACCCAAACCCCAAACAAGCAGGACCCAAACCCCAAATAAACAGGACCCAAAACCCCAGTGCTGCAGGACCCAGACCCCAACCCCAAATAAAGAGGACTCAAAACCCCAAATAAGCAGGACCCCAAACCCCAAACAAGCAGGACCCAAACCCCAAATACACAGGACCCCAAACCCCAAACAAGCAGGACCCAAACCCCAAATAAGCAGGACCCCAAACGCCAATGCTGCATGACCCAAAACCCCAAATAAACAGGACCCAAAACCCCAGTGCTGCACAACCCAAAACCCCAAATAAGCAGGACCCCAAAGCCCAAGCAAGCAGGGCCCCTCACCCTTGTGGCAGCCCGTGGTGCCCAGCCTGCTGCCGTCGGGGCACTGGGTGCACTTCATGCCCGTGATGCCCGTCCTGCAGGAGCACAGCCCCGACATCTGCTCGCAGTCATCCCGCACCGAGCCCACGGGGTCACAGTGACACGCTGGCAACGGGGACACGGGTCACGGCGTGGGAACGGGGCAAGGACACGGTCGTGGGGTGGGGATGGGGAATAACATAGTTGTGGGGAAGGGGAAAGAACACAGTTATGGGGTTGGAAAGGAGGAAATGCAGTTATAGGGTGGGAAAGGGGGAAAAAAACACAGTTATGGGGTCAGAAAGGGGAAAGAACAGAGTTATGGGGTGGGAATAGGGAAAGAACACAGTTATGGGGTGGGGAAGGAGAAAGAACAGAGTTATGGGGTGGGAATAGGGAAAGAACACAATTATGGGGTGGGGATGGGGAATAACACAGTTGTGGGGAAGGGGAAAGAACACAGTTATGGGGTTGGAAAGGAGGAAATGCAGTTATAGGGTGGGAAAGGGGGAAAAAAACACAGTTATGGGGTCAGAAAGGGGGAAAAGAACACAGTTATGGGGTCAGAAAGGGGGAAAGAACACAGTTATGGGGTGGGGAAGGAGAAAGAACATAGTTATAGGGTGGGAATAGGGAAAGAACACAATTATGGGGTGGGAAGGGGGAAAGAACATAGTTATGGGATGGGGAAGGAGAAAGAAGAGAGTTATGGGGTGGGAAAGGGGGAAATACAGTTATAGGGTGGGAAAGGGGGAAAAAAACACAGTTATGGGGTGGGAATAGGGAAAGAACACAATTATGGGGTGGGAAGGGGGAAAGAACATAGTTATGGGTCCCCTTGCTGTCACTGTCCCTCAGGGGTGTCCCCTCGCTGTCACTGCCACTGTCACTCAGGGTAGGGTGGGAAAGGGGGAAAAGAACACAGTTATGGGGTGGGAAAGGGGGAAATAGTTATGGGATGGGGAAGGGGGAATAACACAGTTATGGGGTGGGAATAGGGAAATACACAGCTATGGGGTGGGAAGGGGGAAAGAACATAGTTATGGGGTGGGAATGGGGGAAGGGGGGCCTGGCAGCCATGTGGGAATGGGGGTGGTGATGTGCCATCCATGTCACTCAGGGAAGTGTCCCACCCGTGGGCAGTGTCCCCTCACTGTCACTCAGGGGTGCCCCATCCCTGTCACTGATGGGTGACACCCCGGTCCCACTCAGGGGGTGTCCCCTCGCTGTCGCTGTCACTGTCACTCAGGGGGTGTCCCCTCACTGTCACTGCCACTGTCACTGTCGGGTGACACCCCTGTCCCCTCGGGCAGTGTCCCCTCTCCCCCTGTCACGGTCACTCACGCGTGCAGCCGCTCCTGCCGTCGGTGACGATGCCGCGGAAGTTCCAGAAGCCGGGCTCGCAGCGGTCGCACTTGAGGCCGCCCACGCCGGGCTTGCAGGAGCACTGGCCCGTGCCCGGGTCACAGGAGCCACCGTAGGAGCCGTAGGGGTTGCACTGGCACGTGCCTGAGGGCAGGGACAGCAGGGGACAGCCGTGTCACCTGCGCCACCCTGTGCCACCCTCCTCCACCAGCCCCCAGGCTGAAGCCGCTGTCATCAAGAGCTCGTCTCTCATTAACATCAAAGGGGAAGGAAGCTATTAGAGGGTGATTATTAATTCATTAACCGGCAGCTTGATGGAGGGAAGGCAGCCGAAGATAGACAGCCAGACGCTGTCCTTGTCCCAGCGGGAAAGGGACACAAAGGGACACAAAGGGACAGCTGGGGAGCAGCAGGAGGGGGTGAGGACATCCCAGGGAATGTCCATGGATAAACCTGGCCCAGGGGTTCAACTGCTCCTTGGGTGGTGAGGGACACACGTGGGACACGGGTGGGACACGGGTGGGACACAGACTGGTGGTATCCGGGTCCGTGGATTGGGGGGCAGGATTTCCATTGGAAACGCCGGTCCTGGGGAGCTGTGCCCATGGATTCCATGGATGGGGGGCAGGATTTCCATCAGAAAATCCAAATATCATCACTGCCAGGACAACGGAAACGCTCCTGTCCCCTGGAGCATCCCCCTGGGCAACACCCCCCCAGCTCCTGCAGCCTTTCCCATTTTCCAGCTGTGTTTTCCCATTATCCAGCTGTGTTTTCCCATTATCCAGCTACTTTCCTCCATTATCCAGCTGTGTTTCCCCCACTACCCAGCTGTGTATCCCCCAATTATCCAGCTGTTTTCCCTCCATCATCCAGCTGTGTTTCCCCCATTATCCAGCTGTGTTTCCCCCCACTATCCAGCTACTTTTCCCCCCTTATCCAGCTGCTTTCCCCCCGTTATCCAGCTGTGTTTCCCCCCACTATCCAGCTACTTTTCCCCCCTTATCCAGCTGCTTTCCCCCCGTTATCCAGCTGTGTTTCCCCCCACTATCCAGCTACTTTTCCCCCCTTATCCAGCTGCTTTCCCCCCGTTATCCAGCTGTGTTTCCCCCCACTATCCAGCTACTTTTCCCCCCTTATCCAGCTGCTTTCCCCCCGTTATCCAGCTGTGTTTCCCCCCCTACCCAGCTGTGTATCCCCCCATTATCCAGCTGTGTTTTCCCATTATCCAGCTACTTTCCCCCATTATCCAGCTGCTTTCCTCCATTATCCAGATGTTTTTCCCCAATTATCCAGCTGTTTTCCCTCCATCATCCAGCTGTGTTTCCCCCCACTATCCAGCTGTGTTTTCCCCCATCATCCAGCTGTGTTTCCCCCATTATCCAGCTGTGTTTCCCCCATCATCCAGCTGTGTTTCCCCCACTATCCAGCTGTGTTTCCCCCATTATCCAGCTGTGTTTCCCCCATCATCCAGCTGTGTTTCCCCCACTATCCAGCTGTGTTTCCCCCCACTATCCAGCTACTTTTCCCCCATTATCCAGCTGCTTTCCTCTATTATCCAGATGTTTTTCCCCCATTATCCAGCTGTGTTTCCCCCCACTATCCAGCTGCTTTCCCCCATTACCCAGCTGTTTTCACCCCATTATCCAGCTGTGTTTTCCCCATCATCCAGCTACTTTCCTCCATTATCCAGATGTTTTCCCCCCATTATCCAGCTGCTTTTCCCCTGTTATCCAGCTGTGTTTCCCCCCACTATCCAGCTACTTTTCCCCCATTATCCAGCTGCTTTCCTCCATTATCCAGATGTTTTTCCCCCACTATCCAGCTGTTTTCCCTCCATCATACAGCTGTTTCCCCCACTATCCAGCTGTGTTTCCCCCCACTATCCAGCTGTTTTCCCTCCATCATCCAGCTGTTTCCCCCACCATCCAGCTGTTTTTCCCCCATTATCCAGCACTCCCTGCTCAGCATTGCCCCACCCTGGAGCTGTGTCTCCATGGGCTGATGTTTCCCCCACCAGGCAGCCACAGCCTCAGCTGTTGAGAGCCTTTCAAAAGCCTCCTGCTGGCTCGGATAATTAGTGAATAAATATTAATGAGCCCCTGGCCAGCTCAGCTTCCTGCACAGGGGCTCACCCAGCTGTCCCTGGCCTCTGGAAGGTCCTCAGGTGACAAGTTTCTCCCCATGGAATATTCCTGTCACTCAGGCAGGTGGAAATCCCCGAGCTCAGCAGTGGGTTGAAGGCACCAAGGCCCTGGAGGCAGCTCTGGGGACATCCAAAGGACCCAAAGTGTCCCCTCCAGCACCCTGCCCTCCTGCATTCCCAAAGGATTGAGGCCTGGGAGCTGGCTCAGGGATTTTGGAAGGATGGGAGGATCACCAGCAGTGGGAGGTTGTGGGGCAGGAGGGGTCAGTCCCTTCTCCCAGGGGACAAGGGACAGGAGCAGAGGGAAAGCTGCACCAGGGGAGGTTCAGGTTGGATATTTGGGAAGATTTGTTCCCTGGAAGAGTGGTCAGGTTTGGAATGGGCTGCCCAGGGAAGCGATGGAACCACCACCCCTGGAGATGCTCAAAACCCCGTGCACGTGGCACTTGGGGACAGGACTTTGTGGCGACCACAGCAGTGCTGCCACTCAGGAGAGCTTTTCCAACGTGAACATCCCACAATCCTACAGCTGGGGCGATCTCAATTATCCAGCTGTTTTCCCTCCATCATCCAGCTGTGTTTCCCCCACTATCCAGCTGTGTTTCCCCCACTATCCAGCTGTGTTTCCCCCCACTATCCAGCTACTTTTCCCCCATTATCCAGCTGCTTTCCTCTATTATCCAGATGTTTTTCCCCCATTATCCAGCTGTGTTTCCCCCCACTATCCAGCTGCTTTCCCCCATTACCCAGCTGTTTTCACCCCATTATCCAGCTGTGTTTTCCCCATCATCCAGCTACTTTCCTCCATTATCCAGATGTTTTCCCCCCATTATCCAGCTGCTTTTCCCCTGTTATCCAGCTGTGTTTCCCCCCACTATCCAGCTACTTTTCCCCCATTATCCAGCTGCTTTCCTCCATTATCCAGATGTTTTTCCCCAATTATCCAGCTGTTTTCCCTCCAGGAAGGATGGGAGGATCACCAGCAGTGGGAGGTTGTGGGGCAGGAGGGGTCAGTCCCTTCTCCCAGGGGACAAGGGACAGGAGCAGAGGGAAAGCTGCACCAGGGGAGGTTCAGGTTGGATATTTGGGAAGATTTGTTCCCTGGAAGAGTGGTCAGGTTTGGAATGGGCTGCCCAGGGAAGCGATGGAACCACCACCCCTGGAGATGCTCAAAACCCCGTGCACGTGGCACTTGGGGACAGGACTTTGTGGCGACCACAGCAGTGCTGACACTCAGGAGAGCTTTTCCAACGTGAACATCCCACAATCCTACAGCTGGGGAGCGTCCAGCTTCACCTGGGGACCCCAAATCCTCCCTCCAGCTGCTCCTCCAGCCCCCCTGAGGGTCCCCTGGCGTCCCCAGAGGTGGCACTCACTGGGACACCCGGCTGCTCCCACGCCCAGCGCCAGGGTGACGTTGTCGGGGCAGCAGCCGTAGACGGTCTGGCTGCAGTGCACCACCAGCAGGGGTGGCGGGGTGGTGGCCAGGCCTGCGGGGGGGACACAGGGACACAAAGGTCACGCTGGCACCCGGGATGCGGCAGCATTCCCACAAATCCTCCTGGAGATGCTGGGAGATGGTGGCCAGGGGACAGGGGACAGCAGAGCACAGGGACAGGGGTGTGGCTCCTGAGGGCAATTCCTGCTCATTCCCAGGGAAAGGACACTGGGGACATGGCTGGGGACACAGCTGGGGACACAGACAGCAGGGGGAGTGGCCTCCCTCAGGGGACACACCCAGGGACACACCCAGAGGGGGAGTGGCCACCCTCAGGGGACACACCCAGGGACACACCCAGAGGGGGAGTGGCATCAGGGGACACACCCATGGGGGAGTGGCCTCCCCAGGGGACACACCCAGAGGGGGAGTGGCCTCTCTCAGGGGACACACCCATGGGGGAGTGGCCTCCCCAGGGGACACACCCAGAGGGGGAGTGGCCTCTCTCAGGGGACACACCCAGAGGGGGAGAGGCCTCCCCAGGGGACACACCCATGCGGGAGAGGCCTCCCCAGGGGACACACCCATGCGGGAGTGGCCTCCCCAGGGCACTCACCCCGACAGGCTCCCTGGCTGGCCACAAAGAGCTCCTGGCGTTTCTCACACCGCGTCTTCTTCAGCTGGCACTCGTTGGTGTAGGTGACGCCGTCAGAGCCGCACACCTGCCAGCAGGGCGAGGGCACAGCTCAGGGCAGCCCCTGGCACGGCTGTGCCACCCGGGCGGGGGACACGGCGCGAGGGCAGGGCTCACCGGGCTGCGGGGCACGGCCACGCAGGTGAAGTCACACACGCAGGGCTCGTCCTCGGCGTCCTCGTCCCACCAGCCCCCGAACTGCCGGCACCGCTCCTGCTCGCACTCGCCGCCGTCCCCCGAGCCGGAGCCCCCCGAGCCACACTCTGGGGACAAGGAGGGAAGGGGGTTGTGCCTGCAGCTTGGTGGGATGAGCTTGAAGAGGAACTCTTGAGATATAGTTCTCTGCTACTTGGTATGAAATTAGGAGGATGGGTTTGGAGGTTGTGTTGGAAATAGAGAAAGGTTTAATAAAAGGTAAAGTAGCAAAGCTTTTACAGAGAAAACTCTGTTTTCCTCTGTAAATTACGGGTAAGAGGTTCTTCCTCTTGATAAAACGCCCCACAAAAGTGATTATTTCCTTTGTTCTCTTCTTTTTTTGGTGAATTACTTAGGTGGGACTTCTTGGTCTCTGTCCAATCTGACAGCCCCAGGTCTGAGGTGACCTCAGAGGTCTTACGAGGTTTCTTTTTACCAAACTGAGGAGAGAAACTTCTGGGCTTTTTGCCTTTTTAAGCAGACAAAGAATAATTTGGTCACTCCATCAACAGGAGGCACATTCCTACAAGGATGGCCACGGTGACATTTGGGGGGGGCATGTGCAGGGGATGGGGACAAAGCCCTGTCCTGGTCTGGGGACATGCCCGGAGCTGCACTGCTTCAAACCCCAAATTTCACCTTTCAGCCCCAAAATCCTGCCCCACAGAGGGGGGTGGACAATCCAACTGCAGAGGGGCTCCAGCAGGTGGCCCAGCCCCTCCTGCCCCACAGGAGCCAACCCAGGAGCCCCGTGTCACCCAGCTGCCAGCAGGGCCAGCTGCCACCCGCTTTGGTGACAGTTCCACTCCATGCTCTGATCCAGGAACCCAAATCCCAACTGTGCAGGACCCAAAATCCCAAATAAACAGGAGCCAAAATCCCAGTTATACAAGAACCTAAATCCCAGTTATTCAGGAACTAAAATACCAGTTATATAGGAACCTAAATCCCAAATAGACAGGAACAAAAATCCCAAATAAACTGGAGTCAAAATCCCAGTTATTCAATCCCAGTTATACAGGAAACTAAATCCCAGTTATTCAGGAACTAAAATCCCAGTTATACAGGAAACTAAATCCCAGTTATTCAGGAACTAAAATCCCAGTTATACAGGAAACTAAATCCCAGTTATTCAGGAACTAAAATCCCAGTTATACAGGAAACTAAATCCCAGTTATTCAGGAACTAAAATCCCAGTTATACAGGAAACTAAATCCCAGTTATTCAGGAACTAAAATCCCAGTTATACAGGAAACTAAATCCCAGTTATTCAGGAACTAAAATCCCAGTTATACAGGAACCTAAATCCCAGTTATTCAGGAACTAAAATCCCAGTTATACAGGAAACTAAATCCCAGTTATTCAGGAACTAAAATCCCAGTTATATAGGAACCTAAATCCCAAACAGACAGAAACCAAAATCCCAGATGGAAACCAAAATCCCAACCAGACAGAAATCTAAATCCCAATTGTGCAGGACCCAAAATCCCAAACAAACAGGAGCCAAAATCCCAGTTGTACAGGACCCTAAATCCCAGTTATACAGGAACCTAATTCCCATTTATGCAGGACCCAAAATCCCAATTAAACACCCCAAACCATGCACAGGGAGCTTGTGGGTGACGTGGAGCTGGGGGAGGGCTGGGATTTGGGGCTGGGATTTGGGGCTGGGAGAGGATTGAAGCCCCTGGAGCTCTGCAGGATGAGCTGCAGCAGCAGCAGCAGCAGCAGCAGAGACGTGGCTGATTTCAAAGGCTGCTGGAAGGGGAAAAGGGATGGGGGAAGGGGGAACCTGGCCCTTTTTATGGTGTGATCAAAGGCTGGGCTTTGGCATTACACACAGAATTATTCAGGCTCTGCCTGTGGAGGGACAGCAACCTGAAATCCCCCGAGCAGGGCTGTGATCAAACACCCTGCTCTGCCTTTTCCCCTCTGCCTCTGACGTCCTCCCCAACGAGTGCCAGGCAAGCTCAGCTCCCTCCCTGTGCCAGCAGGAGCCCACAGCTTTCCCCTGAGTGGGAAAACTCGGCAGGTTCTTTATTTTTAGGCTCACCAAGCAAGGCAGAGCCGACCCCAAAACCTTCCCCGGAGCTCTGCTGAGGCAACAGAGACGTGGGATGGGCTGAGTTGGAAGAAAACTTAAAAATCATCTGGTCCCAAACACCTGCCAGGGGCCAGGGATGGCACGGAGAGGGAAAATTTACATGGGATGCAGAGACAGGACAAGGGAGATTGGCTTCAAACTGAAAACCAGGAAATTTAGGTGGGATATAGGGGAAAAAAAGGTTAAATTTACACAGGATGCAGATACAGGACAAGGGAGATTGGCTTCAAACTGAAAACCAGGAAATTTAGGTGGGATATAGGGGAAAAAAAGGTTAAATTTACACAGGATGCAGAGACAGGACAAAGGGGAATGGCTTCAAACTGAAACCCAAGAAATTGAGGTGGGATATGGGGAAAAAATTCCTCCCAGTGAGGGCAGGCAGGCCCTGGCACAGGGTGCCCAGAGAAGCTGTGGCTGCCCCTGGATCTCTGGAAATGCCCAAAGTAGTTTGGATAGAACTGGAAAAAAATGGGACAGCGGAATGGGGGCTGGAATTACAAGGGGGCTGGCACAGGACTGGGGTCTCACAGGGCACAGAGGGGTCTCACAGGGCATAGAGGGGCTGCAGAGAAGCGTGGCTGGCACAGGACCTGCTGTTTTGGGGGGTCTGGGGTCTCACAGGGCACAGAGGAAGTGTGACTGACATAGGAGATGCTGCTCTGGGGGCTTTTTGGGGTCTCACAGGGCAGGGAGGGCCACCAGAGAAGCATGATTGGCATCTGCTGTTTAGGACCTGCTGTTTAGGGGGGGTTTGGGGGTCTCACAGGGCATAGAGGGGCAGCAGAGAAGCGTGCCTGGCACAGGACCTGCTGTTTTAGGGGCTTTGGTGTCTCACAGGTCACAGAGGGGCACCAGAGAAGCATGGCTGGCACAGAACCCGCTGCTCTGAGGGGTTTTTGGGGTCTCCCAGGGCACAGAGGGGCAGCAGAGAAGCATGGCTGGCACAGAACCCACTGCTCTGAGGGGTTTTTGGGGTCTCACAGGGCACAAAAGGGCATGTTTTGAGGGGTCTGGGGTCTCAGAGTGCACAGAGGGGCAGCAGAGAAGCATGGCTGGCACAGAACCCACTGCTCTGAGGGGTTTTTAGGGTCTCAAAGGGCACAGAGGGGCAGCAGAGAAGCATGGCTGGCACAGAACCCACTGCTCTGAGGGGTTTTTGGGGTCTCACAGGGCACAAAAGGGCATGTTTTGAGGGGTTTTTGGGGTCTCACAGGACACAGAGGGGCACCAGAGAAGCATGGCTGGCACAGAACCCGTTGCTCTGAGGGGTTTTTAGGGTCTCCCAGGGCACAGAGGGGCAGCAGAGAAGCATGGCTGGCACAGAACCCACTGCTCTGAGGGGTTTTTTGGGTCTCACAGGACACAGAGGGGCAGCAGAGAAGCGTGGCTGGCACAGAACCCCCTGCTCTGAGGGGTCTGGGGTCTGACAGGGCACAGCAAGAGAAGCTCCCCTCGCTCCTTCCTCCCTTTCCCCCGCCCCACGGAGAAGCAGGACCAACGTACCATCCTCACAGGGTCCCATCCTGGCCACCTCGATGCTCTTCTGCAGCTGGCACGAGGCCACCTGCAGCTGGCAGGGGCTGTGGTAGGTGACGCCGTCGGTGCCGCACACCGGGGCCGGGGGCTGGCGCTCGCAGCGCGGGCACAGGCACTGCCCACCCACGCAGCGGCTGCCAAAGGAGCACACGGAGCTGCCACACGACTCTGGGGCACAGGGAGGGACACACTCAGCCACCCTGAGCGGCTCCCGTGGCCACCAGGGTTTTGTCACAGAGCTGGGAGCATCACCGTTATTAATTCGTTATTAATCCGTTATTAATTTGTTGTTGTTATTCCTTATTTAATCTGTGCAAACTGGGTGCCCACACTGAGTATTTTGGATTCCCAGCAGCTCTTTCTGGAGGAAAAAAATCTCATTTAATCATTTATTCTAGGAGGCAGCTGCCACCCTCAGCCATCCTCCCCCAAATTCTTGGGGAATCTCAGCCCAGCTGGACAGGTTTGCATGAGGCTCAAATCATCATTGCAGCTTTTGTAATAATAAAGGAGCCGAGCAGGGCTTTTAATTCATTAAGAAATTAGCCCAGACAGCTCCCCGAGCTGGGGAGTGGGGAGGAAAGCAGGAACAAAGAGGAATTGACCCCAGGGGATGGAGGGGAGGGAGAGGATCAAACACAGCTCTGCTCTCACTTCTGCTGCTGGCTGTTAACACATTTTTAGCCTAATTCCTGCCCCGGCCCCATGGACATTAATCCAATTTCTCTGCTTGCCTCAGACAAATAACACGGGGGGCACTTCCAGCGAGGGGGGGAAACCAAACCAAAGCTGCTGGAGAGCCTGGAAGTACCCAATTATCCCCCAGGTAAAAGGAAAAACCACTCAGGCAGGGCGTGCGAGCGCCGCGCGAACACCGTGGAGCAGTGGCGACACACGCGGGGCACAAAGGGGACAAAGGGGACATTGTGGCACTCACTGCAGTGGCCCTGGGCAGCCACCAGGATGTTCTTCTGCTGGGTGCAGGCCCGGACGTGCAGCTCGCACTCGCTGCCGTAGGTGTTGCCGTCGGTGCCGCAGACGGGCTGCGCCGAGGGCACGCACTCGGTGGGGCACACGCAGCGCCCGCTCTCCGCCTCGCAGATGGCACCGAACTGGCACTTCCCGCAGCGCTCTGCAGGGCGAGGGCAGAGCTCCGCGTCAGGGCAGAGCCGCTGGATCGCTTGGGGTGGGATGGGCTGAGGTAAAGCTCGTCTTTGAGGGCTCTTCAAGTGGGGTCCTCCCAGGGATGAGGCAGGCACAGATTGACTGATAACCTCCCCAGTTATCTCTTATTAATATATATTATTAGGTATTATTAGGAATTATTCTTATATAATATTATTATATTATATTATTTATATATAAGTGGTCTAGGTTGGAGGCAAAGCTCATTTTTGAGGGCTCTTCAACTGCGGCGCTTCCAGGGATGAGGCAGGCAGAGATTGACTGATAACCTCCCCACTTATCTCTTATTAAATACATATTATTAGGTATTAGTATTATATTATATTATTATATTATGATATGATTATATTTTATTATATTTATATATAAGTTGTCTGGGTTGGAGGTAAAGCTCGTTTTTGAGGGCTCTTCAAGTGGGGCGCTTCCAGGGATGAGGCAGGCACAGACTGACTGATAACCTCCCCAATTATCTCTTATTAAATGCATAGTATTAGGTATTCTTAGGAAATTTTATTATTATTATTATTATTATTATATTATAATATTTACATATAAGTGGTCTGGGTTGGAGGTGAAGCTCGTTTTTGAGGGCTGCTCAACCTGGGTGCTTCCAGGGATGAGGCAGGCACAGATTGACTGATAACCTCCCCACTTATCTCTTATTAAATACATATTATTAGGAAATATTATTATATTGCATTATTATGATATTATTATATTTATTGTATTTATATATAAATTGTCTGGGTTGGAGGTAAAGCTCGTTTTTGAGGGCTGCTCAACCTGGGCACTTCCAGGGATGAGGCAGGCTTTGTCTGGGTAACCCCCCCACTATCTGTTATTAAATACCTATTATTAGAAAATATTCTTATATTTTTATTCTATTATATATTATATTATAATATTACTATTCTATTTTATTATATTTATATATAAGTGGTCTGGGTTGGAGGTAAAGCTCATTTCTGAGGGACAGCTTCTGCTCTTCAGCCCGGATGCTTCCAGGGATGAGGCAGGCAGATTGTCTGGCAACCTCCCCACTTGTCTGTTATTAAACACCTATTATTAGGCATTATTAGGAAATATTACAATATTAGGTAATATATACTACTACTATATTTTTCTACATTTATATTTTTATATCGGTATTTATATAATATTATTAGATTTTTCCTTATTATTAGGAAATATTTACAATAGAGACTTGAAAAGATAAAGACCTTGTTGAGCCTCTAAAGGTTTTGGCTTTTCTATTTTTCACATTCTGCACTGATGCCTCAGGTTTTATCTTTTCTAATTTTCAGATTCCGTGCTGCTTTCCTGTGTAGTTCTGAGCTTCACATTAAGGTTCATATTAGGTTTTTTTTTTTTTCTGGGAGCACAGAAAAACCTTGATTTTGTAAAAAGAAAAAAAAAAAAAAGCCTCTCCAAGCAGCTCTCCCTCCTCGCAGGAGACAGCAGCAAGCACATCCCCTGACTCCTGGGTATTCACTGATTCATCCTCTCCTCCCAACACCTCCCCTCCCTCCCTGCCAGTCATTTCAGCAGGAATTTGGCTCCAAGGTGCTTTTCCTGCTTTTTTCTTGCACACAGCAGCTGCTGCCTTGGCATGGGGGAGGAGGAGGCACCAACCCCCTGCTCGGCTCCTGCTGCTGGCCTGGAGGTTTTTATTCTGGTCTGCAGGTTTTTATCCTGGTCTGGAGGTTTTTATCCTGGTTTTTATCCTGGCCTGGTGGTCTTTATCCTGGCCTGGTGGTTTTTATCCTGGTTTTTATTCTGGTCTGGAGGTTTTTATCCTGGTCTGGTGGTTTTTGTCTTGGTCTGGTGGTTTTTATCCTGGTTTTTATCCTGACCTGGTGGTTTTTATCCTGGTTTTTATTCTGGTCTGGAGGTTTTTATCCTGGTCTGGTGGTTTTTGTCTTGGTCTGGTGGTTTTTATCCTGGTTTTCATCCTGGCCTGGTGGTCTTTATCCTGGCCTGATAGTCTTTATCCTAGTCTGGTGGTTTTTATCCTGGTTTTTATCCTGGACTGGTGTTTTTTATCCTGGCCTAGAGATTTTTATTCTGGTCTGGAGGTTTTTATTCTGGCCTGGAGGTTTTCATCCTGGTCTGGAGGTTTTTATCCTGGTTTTTATCCTGGACTGGTGTTTTTAATCCTGGCCTGGAGGTTTTTATTCCAACCAGGAGGTTTTTATCCCAACCAGGTTTTTATCCCAGTCTGGATGTTTTCATCCTGGCCTGGAGGTTTTTATCCCGGCCTGGAGGTTTTTCTTTTAACAACCACAAAATAATCCCCTGCCCAAATCTCATCACATCCTTTGTCCTTCACCCTGGTGTCCCTTTTGAGGACAAAGGCCAACAACAACAACAACAAAACCAAAACAACAATCCCAGCCCAAATCCCACCACAGGGCCCCTTGTGCTTGACCCTGGTGTCCCTCTGAAGGGGACAAGAACAACAAAACAACATGAAAACAACAACAAAACAAACAACAACAAACCCCAAATCCCACCACGGGGCCCCTTGTGCTTGACCCTGGTGTCCCTCTGAAGGACACGGGCCAACAAGAACAACAAAACAACAACAAAGCAACAACACAAAATCAACAAAACCACAACACAACAACACAACAACACAACAACAATAAACCCCAAATCTCACCGCAGGGCCCCTTGTCCCTGACCATGATGTCCCTTTGAGGACACAACCAACAGGACCACAATCCCAGCCCAAATCTCACATCAGGGCCCCTTGTTTTTCACCCTGATGTCCCTTTGAGGACACAGCCACCACCACCAGCACAATCCCAGCCCAAATGTCACATCAGGGCCCTGATGTCCCTTTGAGGACACAGCCACCACCACCACCACCCCTCAACCCAGCCATGTCTCACCCTGACCCCAATGTCCCTTTTGAGGACACAGCCACCTCCCAGCCCCATGTCTCACCACAGGGCCCCTTGTCCCTGACCCCAATGTCCCTTTTGAGGACACGGCCCTCCCCAAGCCCAGCCATGTCTCACCCTGACCCCAATGTCCCTTTTGAGGACACAGCCACCACCAGCACAATCCCAGCCCAAATCTCACCACAAGGCCCCTTGTACCTGACCCCAATGTCCCTTCTGAGGACACAGCCACCTCCCAGCCCCATGTCTCACCACAAGGTCCCTTGTCCCTGACCCCAATGTCCCTTTTGAGGACACATCTGCCGCCACCACCACCATTCAAGCCCAGCCATGTCTCACTGACCCAAATGTCCCTTTTGAGGACACAGCCCTCCCAATCCAGCCATGTCTCACCCTGACCCCAATGTCCCTTTTGAGGACACAGCCACCACCAGCACAATCCCAGCCCAAATCTCACCACAAGGCCCCTTGTCCCTGACCCCAATGTCCCTTTTGAGGACACAGCCACCACCAGCACAATCCCAGCCCAAATCTCACCACAAGGCCCCTTGTACCTGACCCCAATGTCCCTTCTGAGGACACAGCCACCTCCCAGCCCCATGTCTCACCACAAGGTCCCTTGTCCCTGACCCCAATGTCCCTTTTGAGGCCACAGCCTTCCCAATCCAGCCATGTCTCACCCTGATCCCAATGTCCCTTTTGAGGACACAGCCACCACCAGCACAATCCCAGCCCAAATCTCACCACAAGGCCCCTTGTCCCTGACCCCAATGTCCCTTTTGAGGACACATCTGCCGCCACCACCACCATTCAAGCCCAGCCATGTCTCACTGACCCAAATGTCCCTTTTGAGGACACAGCCCTCCCAATCCAGCCATGTCTCACCCTGACCCCAATGTCCCTTTTGAGGCCACAGCCTTCCCAATCCAGCCATGTCTCACCCTGATCCCAATGTCCCTTTTGAGGACACAGCCACCACCAGCACAATCCCAGCCCAAATCTCACCACAAGGCCCCTTGTCCCTGACCCCAATGTCCCTTTTGAGGACACAGCCCCCCCCAGCCCCGTCTCACCGCAGGGCCCCTTGTGGCGCAGGCCGATGTCCCTCTGCAGCAGGCAGGCCATGGCGTGCAGCTCGCAGGCGTTGCCGTAGGTGCGCTGGTCGGTGCCGCACACGGGGTCGTAGCGGCCCTGGCACTGCTGCTGGCACTCGCACACGGCCTCCTGGTTCTTCACCACGCACGTGGCCCCGAAGGAGCACTCCACGCTCAGGCAGGGGCTGGGCGCGCCCAGGTCTGCGGAGGGGACAGGGACAGGCGCGGGCGGCTCGGGCGGGCGCTGGCACGGAGCGGGGCAGGACGGGCCAGCGTCCCGCGGGGGCTGAACGAGCTGCTGGGCTCTGTGCCCTCCGTGCCAGCCCGCCATGCCCGGCTCAGCACGGCCCCGTGCGTGGCAGAGGTGAGGGATGGGCAGCAGGCACGGGAACAGGATTGTCACCTTGTCCCCTGCCCGCACGCGGGAGCAGCAGCAGCACTGGCAGAACCTTCCACAGGGCTCCCACAGGGAGGACTCCCTTCCCTGGGATCCACACTATTTCCCAAAAAGCTCCCTTCCCTGGGATTCACGCTGCTCCCCAAAAAGTTCCCTTCCCTGGGATCCACACTGCTCCCTGGGAAGCTCCTTTCCCTGAGATCCACACTGCTCCCCAAAAGCTGTTTTCCCTGGGATCCACGCTGCTCCCCAAAAAGCTCCCTTCCCTGGGATCCACACTGCTCCCCAAAAAGTTCCCTTCCCTGGGATCCACGCTGCTCCCCAAAAAGTTCCCTTCCCTGGGATCCACACTGCTCCATGAAAAGCTCCTTTTCTTGGGATCCACACTGCTCCATGAAAACTCCCTTCCCTGGGATCCACACTGCTCCCCAAAAAGCTCCTGGGGCTCCCCAGGAGGAGCTGGCTGGGAAGGACACGCTGGGCTCCACCACGCTGCTCATCCCCCACTCCATCCTCCTCCCTCCTCTTCCCAGGGAGCTGCTGTGGGGCAGGATGGGGACATCCCGTGGCCTTCCCTCAACCCAGGGTTGGGAATTCCCTCTGGATGTCCAGCCCCAGCCCAGTGGCACCTCCCCTGGGGGGTACCCAGCGGTGACAAAGTGCCAGCAGCCAGCAGAGGCCGTGTCCCACTCCCTGCTGGCAGGGACATCCCATTCTCCCAACCAAGAACGCACCCAGGAGCTGAGGAAGGAGTGGCCATGCTGCTGGGGACAGGGCCAGCACTGCCCAGTGACCCTCTGGGACAAGGAAAGGACACCACGGGTTTCACCCGTGCTGGACAGTGACAAGGACACAGGACAAGGACACAGGTGGGGACAGACAATGCAGCCTGGAGGAGACGGAGCAAGAGCAGACACAGCGCAGCCCTGGCAGCGAGGCAGAGCTGGGGAAGGTCCCTCTGCAGTGGCCCTGGGCACCTCCCCTGCCACCAGCACAGCGGTGGCACCTCTGTGGCACTCCTGTGCCAGGCAGCCAGGAAGGGCCTGGATCAGGATCCACCTACCTAGTCCCAGCCTGGAGCCAAGGGTCTGCAAAGGAGCAGGGGAGGGGACAGCTCAGGCACAAGGACACAGCTCTGTCCCCAACTTCAGGCACAAGGACACAGCTCTGTCCCCAACTTCAGCTCAGGCACAAGGACACAGCTCTGTCCCCAACTTCAGGCACAAGGACACAGCTCTGTCCCCAACTTCTCTGCAGCTCTGAGCTCTTCCCAAGGACCAGGAATTGCTCCCTGGGGTGCTGCCCCCATGTTTGTTTCCTTTTTTTGTGCCATAACCCTGTCCCCCCCACACAGAGACGCTGATTCCACTGGGAAATACTCCCAGGGAAGAGCCAATTCTGAGCAGAAGGAGCTCCTCTGAGCCTGGCAGAGCGAGCTGGGAGCCCTGGGGAGCTCCTGTCCCTGGGCTAGGACAGGGGACAAGCAGGACACACAGCACAGCTGGGGCAGCACAGCTGGGGCAGCACAGCTGGGGCAGCGCTCCGGGAAGGAGGAGCTGGGGGAAGCCAGGGGGGGTTAGTTGGGAGCAGAAGGAGAGGGAAAAATCAACCAGGAGCAGTCCAGAGTGATGCAGCAGCCCGGGGTGGGGGGCTGGCTGAGGAGCGGGGGGCTCCAGCACCCACCTCTGCTCCCACTCTCCTTTGCCTGGAGGGCACAGCGAGCATCGGGCAAGAGCAATTTCCACTCCAGCAGGGTTTGGGGCCAGGGATGGGACAAACCCCAGGGCAAGCTCTCCATCCTGGGGGGCTCTCAGGCCAAGCCAGAGACAGGTGGGAGCAGTGAGAGGAGCCAGGAGAGGCCCTGGAGGAGGGACAGAGGCGAGCTCCCAGCAGAGGTGTCCGGGCAGGGAGCAGGAGGGTGGTGCCAGGACAGAATTCCTTCCTCCACACAGGCAACACTGTAAAACACAAGACACAGACGAAACAGGAAAGAGAGAGAGAGAGAAAGAGAGGACAGCAGAGAGAGGAAAAGACAGATGCAGCTACAGACACCTTCCTTCTTTCCTTCACTCCTGGCCAGGTCAGCCTCATCCCATCCCTTCTTTCTCAGCTGCAGCACCCAGAAGGATTCAAACCAAGAAATTTGATGATGAATGCTTATAAAGAATTATTATTTTACCAATTGAAATTGCAAAACTTGTTTTTGAATGAGGACCTGAGCTGAAAACAAACAAACAAACAAACAAAACAAGCAAGCTCTTAACAGCCAGCTGCAAAATGGAAATTCCTGTGTGATGTATTTGTCAATTGTTCTTCTAATCACTTTCTTCTCTTTTCCTGGCTTGGATGGTTTTGTTTGGCTTTGCCTCCCTGGCCTGGCTGCTGGAAAAGGCAGGAGAGCTCAGGGTTTGTCAGGCAGGTGCTTGTGAGGGGTTAAAATGCTGCCAAGCCCTTCCCCAGCTCTGCATTCCCACAGCTCCCAGGCAGGGATGAGCTCCCCAGCTCTGAGCTCAGAGCTCTTCCTTCTCCTCTCCAGAGCTGACAGGGCTAAAAAAATCTGCTCACACCTCCTGGGGATGGGCTCCAGGACTGCCTGGAGCTGTCACAGGCACTCTGCAACCCCAGTTTTGGCAGACAGAGCCGTGGTTTTGATTCATTCCCCCGTTTTTTGCTCCTGTCCCACCAGGATGCAGCTCCTGGAAGCAGATGTGTGCTGGGCAGGAGGGAGGGGAGCTGGGAGGGAGCTGAAATCCAGGAGAGGGAGGTGGAGAGAGGAATGGCAGGTGCACCAGGACCTCATCCTGCTGCTCCTGGCCTTTTTCCACGGAAATGAGGCGTGGCTGACGCTCAGAGCACCCTGAATTCCCCGCTCATCCCAGAAATTTGGGAATTTGCAGCCTCTCAAGGAGGCACAGGGGAAGGTTTGAAGAGAGCCCAGGGAGCCAGGGCTGCAAAAAATCCCCCCACCATGGGATCACAGCCCTCCCCACAGGGAAAACTTGGGGAATTGACTCCCAGCCATTCCCCCACCAGGAACACAGAGAAATGGATGCTTAAAAATAACAGCTGTGATTATTCTGAGTGGGATTTTGGGAGCCTGACAAGTTCTTTTCCAGCAGCTGGGTCTGGCAGCCTCGAAAGCCTCCAGCAGGAGCACAAAGCCAACAAAACACATCCCCAGCGTGGGATTCTGATTGCCAAGCACTTCAGGAGGCTCAACCCAGCTGATACCTGATCAAACATCAGCTTAAAAGAACAGGATAGCAGTTCCAGAGGTGGGAAAAACCCCAAAGTGAGCCGAAATGAACAACTTGTAACTCATCCAAATCAGTGCAGGGGCTGCTTTAACCTCCTTCACTCCCCGGGGGAGATCCTTACACCTGGGCACTGCCAGCATCCTAAGGATCCAAAGCCCCATCCTATCCCATCCTCCTGAGAAAGGTCCATTGGGGAGCTTCTCCTAGAGACGAGACAAAGACACGGTGAGAGCTCCAGACAGGGCACAGAGGGAAGAGTTCCCGGCGGAGAGAAGCAGGCAGGCATGGAAAGGAGAGCATGGAAGGGCTTTGGAGACTGGCACTACCCCGGGAGGAGCAATGGATGGGCATGGATTGAAGGCAACGTGGTGGGGAGGGACAGAGAGCAGCAGGAGGTCACAGACACGTGGTTGGAACACGGGTGGGTGTCCCCTGTGTCACACAGCAGACAGAGACGGGAGCAGGACAGCGAGACGTGCACACAGCAGGGCTGCTGGAAGGACAGAAACACGGGACAGGGACGTTCCAGGTGCTGAACTCCAAGGCTGAGCCCCTGGCATGCTCGGTGGGCATCCACTGCAGCCTCTCAGCATGCCTGGAGCAGCTGGGGAGGGCCAGGGGTGGGTGGGGGATCGGCATTCCCACAGGAGAGAGGGGACCAGCATCCCACTGGGACAGCAGCCCAGTTTGGGGACTGACACCTCCACGGGGCAATTTGGGGTCCAGCATCCCCATGGGACAGCAGCCCTGTGGGACAGGGGGGAACCAGAATCCCTGTGGGATGAGGGAGACCAGAATCTCTGTGGGATGAGGGGTACCAGCATCCCTGTGGGACAGGAGGGACCAGAATCCCTGCAGGAAAATTTGGGGACCAACATCCCTACGGGACAGGTGGGACCAGCATCCCCATGGGACAGCAGCCCTGTGGGACAGGGGGGAACCAGAATCCCTGTGGGATGAGGGGTACCAGCATCCCCACGGGATGATTTGGGGACCAGCATCCCCATAGGACAGCATCCCTGCAGGACAATTTTGGGACCACCATCCCTACAGAACAGGAGGGACCAACATCCCCACAGGACAGCATCCCCCTGGGACAACTTGGGATCTGACATCCCTTGCAGGACAACTTGGAGACCACCACCCCTACAGGACAACTTGGGGACCACCACCCCTACAGGACAACTTGGGGACCACCACCCCTACGGGACAACTTGGGGACCACCATCTCTACATGACACCATCCCCACAGGACAATTTGGGGACCAACATCCCTGTGGGACAACTTGGAGACCACCACCCCCACATCCCTGCGGGACAATTTGGGGACCACCATCTGTACAGGACAGGAGGGACCAGCATCCCCCGGGACAATTTGGGGTCTGGCATCCCTATGGGACAACTTGGGGACCACCATCCCTACATGACACCATTGCCACAGGACAATTTGGGGACCACCATCCCTACATGACACCATCCCCACAGGACAATCTGGTGACCACCACCCCTCCATGACACCATCCCCGCGGGCCAATTTGAGGACCACCACCCAAGCGGGCATCCCTATGGGACAACTTGGGGACCACCATCCCTACATGACACCATCCCCGCAGGACAATTTGGGGACCACCATCCCTGAGAGACAACTTGGGGACCACCATCCCTACATGACACCATCCCCGCGGGCCAATTTGAGGACGACCACCCAAGCGGGCCAACTTGGGACCCGCCATCCCTCCATGACACCATCCCCGCGGGCCAATTTGAGGACGACCACCCAAGCGGGCCAACTTGGGACCCGCCATCCCCTCCATGACACCACCCCCGCAGGACAATTTGGGGACCACCATCCCTGCGGGACAACTTGGTGACCACCACCCCCACATGACACCATCCCTGCGGGACAACTTGGAGACCACCATCCCCACGACACCAACCCCACAGAACAACTTGGGGACCACAACCCCTGCAGGACAACTTGGAGACCACCACCCCTACATGGCACTATCCCTGCGGGACAACTTGGGACCACCATCCCCACATGACACCATTCCCACAGGACAATCTGGTGACCACCACCCCTCCATGACACCATCCCCGCGGGCCAATTTGGGGACCACCACCCCCGCGGGACAACCTGGGGCCCAGCACCCCTACATGGCACCATCCCTGCAGGACAATTTGGGGACCACCATCCCCACGACACCAACCCCACAGAACAACTTGGGCACCACCACCCCTACCTGACACCATCCCCGCGGGCCAATTTGGGGACCACCATCCCCACGACACCAACCCCACAGAACAACTTGGGCACCACCACCCCTACCTGACACCATCCCCGCGGGCCAATTTGGGGACCACCATCCCCACGACACCAACCCCACAGAACAACTTGGGCACCACCACCCCTACCTGACACCATCCCCGCGGGCCAATTTGGGGACCACCACCCCTACATGACACCATTGCCACAGAACAATTTGGGGACCACCATCCCCACATGACACCACCCTTACAGGACAACTTGGGGCCCACCACCCCTACATGGCACCATCCCTGCAGGACAATTTGGGGACCACCACTCAAGCAGGACAACTTGGGACCCGCCATCCCTCCATGACACCAACCCCACAGAACAACTTGGGGCCCACCATCCCTACATGACACCATCCCCGTGGGACAATCTGGTGACCACCACCCCTCCATGACACCACCCCCGCGGGACAACCTGGGGCCCAGCACCCCGCGTAGCCCCCGTGGCGGCGCTCACCGCAGGGCCCGCTGTGGCGGGCGGGGATGTGCTGCTGCTGCAGGCACTCGGCGCGGCGCCGCTGGCAGTCGCTGCCGTAGGTGCGGCTGTCGCGGCCGCACAGGGGCCGGAAGGCGCCGTCGCAGGAGATGCGCTCGCAGGAGCAGCGCGCGGCCCCGCGCCGGTTCAGGCACACCGCGTTGAACTTGCACTCCTCCTTGCACTGGTCTGCGGGGGGACAGGGCACGGGGGCTCACGGCATGCTTCAGGGGGTTTGTGCGTGGTTTTGTGGGGTTTTGAAATATTTTACTGGGGTTTTGTTATATTTTTCAGGTTCTGTACGATGCTTTGAGTTTTAACTTTTGTTTTTCAGGTTCTGTACTGATGCTTTGAGTTTTAACTTTTGTTTTTCAGGTTCTGTACTGATGCTTTGAGTTTTAACTTTTGTTTTTCAGGTTCTGTACTGATGCTTTGAGTTTTAACTTTTGTTTTTCAGGTTCTGTACTGATGCTTTGAGTTTTAACTTTTGTTTTTCAGGTTCTCTACTGATGTTTTAAGCTCTAACTTTTATTTTTCAGGTTCTCTACTGATGCTTTGAGTTTTAACTTTTATGTTTTTCAGGTTCTGTACAGATCTGTCAAATTTTATGTTTTTCAGGTTCTGCACTGATGTTTTAAGCTTTAACTTTTATATTTTTCAGGTTCTGTACAGATGCTTCAAATTTTAACTTTTATGTTTTTCAGCTTCTGTACTGATGCTTTAAGTTTTAACTTTTGTTTTTCAGGTTCTGCACTGATGTTTTAAGCTTTAACTTTCATATTTTTCAGGTTATGTACTGACGCTTTAAGCTTTAACTTTTATATTTTTCAGGTTCTATATTGATGCCTTAAGTTTTAACTTCTATATTTTTCATCTGTACAGACGCTTTAGGTTTTAACTTGCATTTTTTTCAGGTTCTGTACAGTTGCCTTTAGTTTTTTATATTAATATATAGTGTAATTATATTAATTATACATAATACATAGTATACTTAATTATACATTATAATTATGCATTATATATTTATACATTATATATAATACATTATATATATAATATATTATATATATGTATCCATATAATGTATTATATAATACATTATATGGATACATATATATAATATATTATATATATGTATCCATATAATGTATTATATAATACATTATATGGATACATATATATAATATATTATATATATGTATCCATATAATGTATTATATAATACATTATATGGATACATATATATAATATATTATATATATGTATCCATATAATGTATTATATAATACATTATATGGATACATATATATAATATATTATATATATGTATCCATATAATGTATTATATAATACATTATATGGATACATATATATAATATATTATATATATGTATCCATATAATGTATTATATAATACATTATATGGATACATATATATAATATATTATATATATGTATCCATATAATGTATTATATAATACATTATATAATATACCATATATTTTATATTTCTATATTTTAATATCTCTATATTTTATATTATAATACAGTTATGTCCATAGATTTCGTTTATATAATATATTACATAATATAATTAGTGTATTGTATAATATGTATTTTTGTATTCATATATATTATAATTATATATTAGTATATTTAATTTCTATTGTAGTATATAAAATATACTATAAATATACTATATTTATACTATATATTATAAAATATATATATAATATATATACACTATAAAATATATATATACTATAAAATATATATAGTATATAAAATATTGAAATATTATATTATTATTATAATATAATAATATATATAGTAGTATTATACTGAAATAATATATAGCAATAAAATTTTACTATAAAATATAATATATTATTATATAATATATAATGCATTAATGTAGTGTATATTAATCGATTAATATATTAATACATTAAATAAAATATTAAAAATAAATATATTAATACATTTAGTAAAGAACTACTAGTATTTTAAATACAATACAGCCTCCAGCCTCTGTTCTAGGCAGCCTCTTTGGGCAGCAAGGGAGAAAGAAGAAGGAGGATGAGGATGAGGAGGAGGATGAGGAGGATGAGGAGGAGGAGGAGGATGAGGAGGATAAGGAGGATGAGGAGGATGAGGAGGATGAGGAGGAGGAGGATGAGGAGGAGGAGGATGAGGAGGAGGATGAGGAGGAGGGGCACTCACCCTGCGGCTGGCACTGCCCCGAGCGCACCTTCTGGATGTCCATGCCGCGGATGGCCCCGGAGCGCGCCATGGCGCACTCGCTGTCGTAGGTGACGCCGTCGTCGCCGCACACCGGGTCCCTCCCCGGGGGACAGCCCTCGGGCCGGGGCAGCAGCTCCGCCCGCCGCGTCCGCGGGTTCACCCGGCACACGCGGCCCGGCTCGCTCGGCACGGCCTGGCACGGGTCTGGGCAGCGACGCGGGGCAGGAGTCACCCCCTGCCCTCCGGCATGGTCACCCCCTGCCCCGGGTCACCCCCTGCCCTCTGGCACGGTCACTCCCTGCCCCGGGTCACCCCCTGCCCTCCGGCACCGTCACTCCCTGCCCCGGGTCACCCCCTGCCCTCCGGCACGGTCACTCCCTGCCCCTGGTCACCCCCTGCCCTCTGGCACCGTCCCCCCCTGCCCCGGGTCACCCCCTGCCCTCTGGCACGGTCACTCCCTGCCCCGGGTCACCCCCTTCCCGGACCAGGCATCTGCTCCATCCCTGCACAGCCCCAAGAGCCCCCCAAATCTTCTTTTCCTGCCCCGGGTCACCCCCTGCCCTCTGTTACGGTCACTCCCTGCCCAAAACAGGACCTCCCAGGTTCTGCTCCTTCCATTTGGGGTCCCCAAGAATCCCCAGATCTTCTTTGTGTCCCAAGAAGTCACTCCTTGCCCAAACCCGGGGCTCCCCAGGTTCTGCTCCATCCCTGCATGACCCTAAGAGCCCCCAAATCTTTGTGTCCCAAGGTCATTCCTTGCCCAAACTGGGTCTTCCCAAGATCTGCTCCATCCCTGCATGACCCTAAGAGCCCCCAAATCTTCTTTGTGCCCCAAGAAGTCACTCCCTGTCCTTTGGCACGGTCACTCCCTGCTCAAGGTCACTCCTTGCCCAAACCGGGGCTCCCCAGGTTCTGCTCCATCCCTGCATGGTCCCAAGAGCCCCCAAATCTTTGTTTTCCCAAGGAGTCACTCCCTGTCCTCTGGCACGGTCACTCCCTGCCCAAGGTCACTCCCTGCCCAAAAGGGGCTTCCCAGACTCTGCCCCATCCCTGCACAGCCCCAAGAGCCCCCAAATCTTCTTTGTTTCCCAAGGAGTCACTCCTTGTCCTCTGGCACGGTTGCTCCCTGCCCAAGGTCACTCCCTGCCCCAATTGGGGCTTCCCAGGTTCTGCTCCATCCCTGCATGGTCCCAAGAGCCCCCAAATCTTTGTGCCCCACGGAGTCACTGCCAGCCCTGTGGCACGCTCACTCCCTGCCCAGATGGAGCCCTCCTCACCGCAGGGGCCATCGAACTTCTTGAAGACGTTCTCCTGCTTGTCACAGGCGTGCTTGTTGAGGTGGCACTGGCTGCGGTAGTCGCGGCCGTCGCTGCCGCACACGGGGCTCTCGGCGACGCCGCTGCACGACGAGGGGCACACGCACTTGGCCACCTGGCCGTCAGGGAAGGGGACGCAGGTGCTGCCAAAGCTGCAGGTCACCTCTGCACAGGGGTCCTTGGAGCCTGAGGGACAGAGAGGGGACACGGGTGAGAGCACGGCACGGGTGAGAGCACGGCACGGGTGAGAGCATGGCATGGGTGACAACGTGGCATGGGATGTCCTGTTCCTCTCATGGAATAACCCAAATCTATCCCAATACCCCCCAAATCCACCCCTCTAAAGGCCCCAATCCAGCAGCTCTGGATAATTTTCCACAGCTTCAGTGGATCCTTGGAGCCTGAGGGACAGAGGAGGGGACACGGGTGACAACGTGGCATGGGATGTCCTGTTCCTCTCATGGAATAACCCAAATCTATCCCAATACCCCCCAAATCCATCCCTCCCAATGCCCCAATCCAGCAGTAATGGACAATTTTCCATCACTTTTCCTCCTCACAGTTTGCTGACCCCCAAAGCAGAGCTTTGGGGGGTCCCTTCCCAGCCTTTGGTGTCCCTGGCCCAGCCTGCGGCCATCATTTCTCCACCATTTTCCCACCATTCCTTCACCATTTCCCCATCATTTCTCCACCATTTCCCCACCATTTCTCCTCCTTATCACTCTCTGCTGACCCCCAAAGCAGCGCTGATGATCCCCAGAGTGCCCCCAGCGCTGTCCCCACCCCTCCAGCCACGCCCCGAGGTGTCCCTGCCGGCCTTGGGGACACGCCAGCGTCCCTCACTCACCGCAGGGTCCCTTGCTGACCACCTTGATCCTCCTCTGCTGGTTGCACTGGGCCCTGTCCAGCTCGCACTCGTTGCTGTAGGTGGAGTGGTCGGAGCCGCACACCGGGGCCACCACGGGGGCACAGGGACCCTTCCTGCACACGCACGAGGCCTGGCCCGGCTCCGAGGGGCTGCGCTCGCACACGGCCCCGAAGCCACAGAGCATGCCCCGGCACCCTGCGGGCACAGGGACATCACAGTGGGCACAGGGACATCCCAATGGGCATGGGGACATCCCATGGACACAGGGACATCCCAATGGGCACGGGGACACACTCATGGGGGTCACCAAACCCACACAGCATCCCACGGCACCCTGTGGGGACTGGGACATCCCATGGGCATGGGGACATCCCATGGGTACAGGGACACACGGCCCCAAAGCCACAGAGCATGCCCCGGCACCCTGAGGGCACAGGGACATCCCAATGGGCACCAGGACATCCCAATGGGCATGGGGACATCCCAATGGGCACAGGGACATCCCATGGGTACAGGGACACATGGCCCCAAAGCCACAGAGCATGCCCCAGCACCCTGCGGGCACAGGGACATCACAGTGGGCATGGGAACATCCCAATGGGCACGGGGACATCCCATGGGCACAGGGACATCCCATGGGCATGGAGACATCCCAATGGGCACGGGGACATCCCATGGGCACAGGGACATCCCATGGGCATGGAGACATCCCAATGGGCACGGGGACATCCCAATGGGCATGGGGACACACTCATGGGGTTCACCAAACCCACACAGCATCCCATGGCACCCTGTGGGGACTGGGACATCCCAATGGGCATGGGGACATCCCATGGGTACAGGGACATCCCAATGGGCACAGGAACATCCCATGGGCACAGGGACACACGGCCCCGAAGCCACAGAGCATGCCCTGGCACCCTGCGGGCACAGGGACATCCCAATGGGTACAGGGACACACAGGGGACATGGGGACACACACAGAGGGGGCCTCAAACCTTTCCCTAAAATCCAATTTCCCCCTTCCCTGGGACAGCTCCACCCATTCCTTGAGATGCTCCCTGCCCCAGTTCCCCCCAGTGCCCCCCAGTGCCCCCTCCCAGGGCACCCCACACGGCAGAACCAGAGCCTCACCCACAGAATGAGGGAAAAGAGGAATCCCAAAATCCAACCCCTCATTTACACTTTAATTCCCAGCCGTTTGCCTTTGACTGCCTGGAGACTCTGGAGCTGCAAACCCAGCACCAGATAAATCCCAGGAAATCAAAAGGAAAAGGATTCTCCTCCTCTCCCACCGGCATCTAAAGGGATTCATCGTTTTTCTGAAGAGTCTGAGTCTCTCCTGCACTTCCCAGCGCTGCTCTTTCCCTTTCTTTGGGGTTTTTAAAATGCAGATGAGGTGTAAAAAATGGGAATTGTGGGATTCATCACCAGGGAAGGGGATGGGGAGTGGGAACAGAGCTGGGGAGCAGCGCCAGGGGAGATGGGGTTGGCTTGGAGGGGAAGGGAAGGGAAAAGGGAGGAAAAAGGGAAAAAATGGGGGAGAAGGGGCAGGAAAAAAAGGAGGGGGAAAGGAGGGGGAAAAAGGTAGGAAAAAAAGCAGGAAAAAAACCAAGAAAAGGGGCGGGGGAAAGGTGGGAAAAAGGCAGAGGAAAAGGCAAGGGAAAGGACATCCCAATGGGCACTAGAAAGGCGGGAAAAAAGGGTAGAAAGGCAGGAAAAAAGAGAAAAAGGGGGGAAAATGAAGATCAAAAAGGGGGAAAAAGAGGATAAAAAGGGGGGGAAAGAGGATAAAAAAGGAGAAAAAAAGGCAATCCATGGAATAAGCAGCACCAGGCCCTCCTCATCCTCCCTGGAAAGAATTCCTTCCCAAGCTCCCATCGAAATCTCCTTTTTCAGTTTGGAACTGCCAGGCAGGCCACTTCCCGAGATCCTAATTAGCCCAGCTTCGTTAGCAGGGCAGGCCTGGCAGGCGGGGGCTCGGCAGGGGCTGCCGGGGCAGATGGCCCCAGCCCCACCTCCCCGTGCCCAGCGGTGCCCGCGGGGCTCCAGGGCTGCAGGGACGGCTGGCACGGGGAGGGGAGGGCAGGGCCAGCCCGGGAGGGGCCACCAGGCAACGGGGAATGGCCACCAGGCACCTGGGAATGGTCACCAGGCACTTGGGAATGGCCACTAGCCAATTGGGAATGGCCACCAGCCAGCCAGGAATGGTCACCAGCCACTTGGGAATGGCCACCAGCCACTTGGGAATGGTCACCAGCCACGTGGGAATGGCCACCACCCAGGAATGGTCACCAGACACCTGGGAATGGCCACCAGCCAGCCACGGGCTCTGCTCTGCACAGGGATGGGGGAGCCTTGCCCAGCCAGGAAAACGCTGGAATTGCAGGGAATGCCAACAGGGAGCAGCCCTGGGATGCCAAGGGAGGAGCTGGGCTGCACCCACCCACGGCCGTGTCCAGGGGCTCCTGAGACACGGAGTTCATTCTTAATTTAAAGTAAAAATCTGTTTCGGATTTAAATGAAGAACGGAATTATTCCCATTCATTTGAAGGAAATGGTTTCAATTATTTAGTGTGCAGTTTACTCACACAGATAAAATATTGTTGTTTTAATCTGTTAGATTCACTGTGCTCAAAAAAGGGTATATTGGCAAAAAAAACCCAAACAAACAACAACAAAAAAAAAAAACCAAAAAAACAACCAAAAACTTGTGCCCAAAAGGGCAGCGGGAATGGCAGGGCTGGGCATTAATTAATTCGGGGAGGGCACTAATAATTCGGGCTGGGCATTAATTTGGGCTGGGGCACTAATAATTCGGGCTGGGCATTAATTAATTCGGGGGGGGGCACTAATAATTCGGGCTGGGCATTAATTAATTCCGCCTGAGCGAGGTGCCCGTTGCCATGGAGAGCGGCTGGGCTGGCGGCTCCTGTCCCCCAGCCCAGCCCTGCTCATCAATATTCAAATGTTTGGCCCCGCCCATCAATATTTAAATATTCAGCCCTGCTCATCAATATTCAAATATTCATCGCATCTCACGCGGGGTGGGCAGCGAGGAGGAGCCGCCCAACCCCGCTGCCACCTCTGGGGCAGGGGGCTTCCTGCACCCCCGGCCCGAGCTCTGGCTTTGCTAGGCTGGACACTGACCCTGCCCGGCTTTGTTAGGCTGGACAGTGACCCTGCCTGGCTTTGCTAGGCTGGACACTGACCCTGCCCGGCTTTGTTAGGCTGGACAGTGACCCTGCCCGGCTTTGCTAGGCTGGACACTGACCCTGCCCGGCTTTGTTAGGCTGGACACTGACCCTGCCTGGCTTTGCTAGGCTGGACACTGACCCTGCCCAGCTTTGGGAGGGGCAGGGACCTCCCCAAACCTCCAGGTTTATCCAACCCTTTATCCCCCCGGCTCCTCACCCAAGCCCCCGCGTTCTCCCAGCCCCAAAGCACACCAAACCCAGCCCGGGCAGGAACAGAACACAAACCCATCCCCTCCCCCAGCAGGGACCCCCTCCCCGTGTGCCCTGGCCCCCAAAAACACCTCGTGCCCCCCACAGCAGGAGTTCCCTCCCCAGGACCCCCCGAAACGGGCGCCTTTCCATCTGCAGAGGGATCTTTTGGAAGCCTGGCATCTGGCTGGGCTGGGCTGTTGGTGTTTTGGAGCCCTGAGCCAGCAGTTCCACCCACGTGGGGGTTTATTTTTCGCTTTCCCCGGGCCAATTATAGATTAATCACATTTTATCTCACGTCCTTTTCTCCCCCCACCCCCAGCAGGGGAGGTAAAAATTGGGAAAAAAAAAAAAAAAAAAAAAAAAAAAGGCAAGGAGCAGGTTGTTGATTGGCTGCTGTTTTTTTTGTTTGCTGGGCTCTTATCTGTGCACCTGAAGGTGGGGGAAGAGCCTGCCAGCAAAGGCAGGGGTTTTAAGCCTGGTTTTAAAAGGGAACAAAGCTCCTGTGATGGTTTTATCTCAGCCTGGGCTTGCCTGCCCTGCATCCAGCAGCTCCTGAGGCTGATAAGAACCTCACAAAAACAAAACAAAAAATGCAAAAAAAAAAAAAAAAAAAAAAACCCCAAAGTTGTCTGTGAAACCAGAGGAAAGGTGGGAGAGGCAAGAATGAAAATGCAAGTCTGCAGGAAATTCACCTTTTCCAGCCCTTCCCTGCTTGCAGCCAGGAAAATCCCTGGAAAAAGGGAGCATGAGGGGTTCCTACCCTCCCTCCTCACCCAAACCCTGCATCCCAGGAAAATCCCTGGAAAAAGGGAGCACTGAGGGGCTCCTGCCCTCCCTCCTCACCCAAATCCTGCATCCAGACAGGAAATTCCCTGGAAAAAGGGAGCACTGAGGGGCACTACCCTCCCTCCTCACCCAAATCCTGCATCCCAGGAAAATCCCTGGAAAAAGGGAGCACTGAGGGGCTCCTGCCCTCCCTCCTCACCCAAATCCTGCATCCCAGGAAAATCCATGGAAAAAGGGAGCACTGTCCTCCCTCCTCACCCAAATCCTGCATCCAGCCAGGAAAATCCCTGGAAAAAGGGAGCACTGCCCTCCCTCCTCACCCAAACCCGGCACCCCCAGCACTGCCAGGGCTCAGGGAGCAGCTGGGCTGGAAGGGACCCGAAATCCCCAGGGATCAGTGGGGTCAGGAGCCGTTTCCCTGAGGGACAGGCCAGCCCAGGAGAGGCTCCCGCTGTCCCCAGGCCCTTGGGGACAGGCCAGCCCAGGAGAGGCTCCCGCTGTCCCCAGGCCCGTGGGGACACTCTGCACTCACCATCCCGCGGCGGCGGCGGCGTCTGCGTGAAGTAACTGTTGGGTTTGTCTGCAAGGAAACAAAAACCACGGAGCTGTCACGGGTTCCTCGGGAACAGCCCTGCCCCCAGCCCGTTTTGGGGTGCTGTTTTATCCCTCCTCGAGCAGGTTTGGCTCCCAGGAGCTGCTGGAGGCAGGAGGGAGCGGCAGGAAGAGGAGGCAGCATCACCCAAACCCGGTTTGGGACAGCCCCAGGTACCAATGGAGCTGTCACGGGTTCCTCGGGCACAGCCCTGCCCCCAGCCCTTTTTGGGGTGCTGTTTTATCCCTCCCTGAGCAGGTTTGGCTCCCAGGAGCTGCTGGAGGCAGGAGGGAGCGGCAGGAACAGGAGGCAGCATCACCAAAATCCAGTTTGGGACAGTTCCAGGTACTGATGGAGCTGTCATAGGTTCCTCGGGCACAGCCCTGCCCCCAGCCCTTTTTGGGGTGCTGTTTTATCCCTCCCTGAGCAGGTTTGGCTCCCAGGAGGTCCCAGGATCACCCAAGCCCAGTCTGGGACAGCCCCAGGTACCACTGGAGCCTGGCGGGGCTGGGACCTGCCCCAGCCTGTCCTGCCCCATCTCCTGGGGGCTGTGAGGCCAATCCTGCTGTGGACCACCCCACACACACCTAGCCAGCAGGTTACCCCAGAGCAGGAATGCTGCAGCCCCCAAAAAGTGGGAGAAAGGGGCAGCAGAACTGCAAGCTGCCGTGGGTGTCACCAAAGAAGGGTCACCTGCCACCCCTCTGTGTTTGGGGACCCTGACTCAGCTCAGGGGAGCTGAGCTGAGCGCCCTCAAGCTCCAAAACCCCTCCCACGCTGCAGGGGAAACACCCAAAACCTGGGATTTGGGATGGGGCCGGGCTGTGGCAGAGATAACCCCACCCCAGCACGCTCCGTGGAGACATCCGAGGGTTTTCCAGGGTTTATCCCCGAGCTCAGCTCCCCCAGGAGGAGCTGCACACCCCAAAGCCAGGCTGGAGGATCTGCCTGCCCTCCCTGGGCTTTCCCCCATCTGGAGATGGGATGTTCCTTGGGAAGGGGAGCAGGAGCCGGGCAGAAATCCTGGATCCACAGCCAAGGGATCGACTCAGCTGCACCAGGGATCAGATTCACAGCCAGAGCTCAGGGATCCTCACATCCACCCAGGCATCTCCTGCCCTTCCCAAATCCTCACATCCACCCAGGCATCTCCTGCCCTTCCCAAATCCTCACATCCCTGGGATCATCACCTGCCCTTCCCAAATCCTCACATCCCCTGGATCATCACCTGCCCTTCCCAAATCCTCACATCCCCCGGATCATCACCTGCCCTTCCCAAATCCTCACATCCCCCCAATCATCACCTGCCCTTCCAAAGACTCACATCCCCCCAGGAATCTCCTGCCCTTCCAAATCCTCACATCCCCTGGATCATCACCTGCCCTTCCCAAAGCCTCACATCTACCAGATCATCACTCCCAGCAGCCCTTCCAAATCCTCACATCCCCCAGATCATCACCAGCCCTTCTCAAATCCTCACATCTCCACCCCTTCTCAAATCCCCCATTCCCAGATCCCCACCCGGATTTGGGATGCAGCCTGCCAGGAGCAGCAGCAGCAGCAGCAGCAGGTGGGAGCTGTCCTGGCCCACGCAGAGCCACCCTCACAGCTCTGCTCCCGCTTCCCTGCCAGGGAAAAGTGGGACAGGGAGCTGCCAACGCTGGGATTGTCCCCAAGGCGTGGGGCAGGGAGCTGCCAATCCCGGGATTGTCCCCAAGGCATGGGGCAGGGAGCTGCCAATCCCAGGATTGTCCCCAAGGCAGGAGCAGCTCCAGGATTGTCCCCAAAGTGTGGGGCAGGGAGCTGCCAATCCCAGGATTGTCTCCAAGGCAGGAGCAGCTCCAGGATTGTCCCCAAGGCATGGGGCAGGGAGCTGCCAATCCCAGGATTGTCCCCAAGGCATGGGGCAGGGAGCTGCTAATCCTGGGATTGCCCCTAAGGCAGGAGCAGCTCCAGGATTGTCCCCAAGGCATGGAGCAGGGAGCTGCCAACGCTGGGATTGTCCCCAAGGCATGGGGCAGGGAGCTGCCAACCCCAGGATTGTCCCCAAGGCATGGAGCAGGGAGCTGCCAACCCGGGGATTCTCCCCAAGGCATGGGGCAGGGAGCTGCGAATCCCAGGATTGTCCCCAAGGCAGCAGGGAGCTGCCAACCCCAGGATTGTCCCCAAGGCATGGAGCAGGGAGCTGCCAACCCGGGGATTCTCCCCAAGGCATGGGGCAGGGAGCTGCGAATCCCAGGATTGTCCCCAAGGCAGCAGGGAGCTGCCAACCCCAGGATTGTCCCCAAGGCATGGAGCAGGGAGCTGCCAACCCGGGGATTCTCCCCAAGGCATGGGGCAGGGAGCTGCGAATCCCAGGATTGTCCCCAAGGCAGGAGCAGCTCCGGGAGGAGCCGAGCTGTCCCCAGGAGCCCCCCTCGGCCAGCCTGCCCCTCTCGGGGACACCTACAGTTATTGAGGAAGAGCAGCACGGCGAATCCCAGCGTGGAGGTGGCCAGCAGGATGAGGCAGATGTTGCAGGGGATCATGAAGTAGCGCACCACCAGGGACACCTTGTGCTGGTACAGCCGGTCCCGCTCCAGGGCTCCCGGCGCCATGGGGTACTGGCACGCTGTCATGCTGGGCTGTCACACCCTGGAGGAGTCACCGCGAGGCTCACGTGGATGCCTTTCCTCTTATTTTGGTGATTTTGGCAGCCTAAGTTTTCCCAGAGGTTCCCATCTCGGCTGGCAGCAGGATGGGGGCACCTTCAGGACTCTGAGCCCGGCGATGCCATGGCAGAGGCGTGGCCTTGGGGACAGCTTGGGGACAGCTCCAGCCCGCTCCGGAGGCACAGGGACACTCAGCCAGCCCCTGAGGTGTCAATCCATGGGTGCCCCCAGAAAGCAAAGAGAAATCCCCAGAAAGCAAACCAAAATCCCAGGGCTCCGAATCCGTGGCTGAGCCCACCAGGACAAGGACACGCTGGGGTGGGAATGGTGGGAATGTCACAGCAGGAGCAGCGCAGGGACAGGGACAGTGCCAGCACAGGAGCACTGCCAGGCTCGGGAATAGTGCTGTCCTCTGGGATATCCTGTGAGATCCTCCGGGATATCTTCTGGGATCCTCCAGGATAATCTCTGAGAACCTCTGGGATATCTTCTGGGATCCTCCAGGATCACCACCGAGATCCTCCAGGATAACCTCTGAGATCCTCTGTGATAACCTCTGAGATTCTCCAGGATATCCTCTCAGATCCTCTGGGATCACCTCTCAAATCCTGTGGGATCACCTCTCAGATCCTGTGGGATCACCTCTCAAATCCTGTGGGATCACCTCTCAGATCCTGTGGGATCACCTCTCAGATCCTGGGGGATCACCTCTCAGATCCTGGGGGATCACCTCTCAAATCCTGTGGGATCACCTCTCAGATCCTGTGGGATATCCTCTCAGATCCTCTGGGATCACCTCTCAGATCCTGGGCGATCACCTCTCAGATCCTCTGGGATCACCTCTCAGATCCTGGGGGGTCACCTCTCAGATCCAGGCCGACCTCGCTCCGGGCACACGGAGCTCCCTCCGCTGTCCAGCGGCTCCTCCAGGACACGTCCGGCAGCCTCTGACCCTCCTCGCAGCCAGGAACGGCCAAAATTCCAGGAGAAACCCAAAATTCCGTGAGCAGCCAAGATTCTGGGAGAAACCCAAAATTCCGTGAGCAGCCAAATTTCCAGGAGCAGCCAAGATTCTGGGAGCAGCCCAAGGATTCCCGGAGAAGCCCAAAATTCCAGGATCAGCCCAAGGATTCCGGGAGCAGCCAAGAATTCCAGGATCAGCCCAAGGGCTGCGGGAGAAACCCAAAATTCCAGGAGCAGCCAAGATTCCGGGAGCAGCCCAAAGATTCCGGGATCAGCCCAAAATTCCGGGATCAGCCCAAGGATTCCGGGAGCAGTCCAAAATTCCAGGATCAGCCCAAAATTCCAGGATCAGCCCAAGGATTCCGGGATCAGCCCGAGGATTCCGGGAGCAGTCCAAAATTCCAGGATCAGCTCAAGGATTCCGGGAGCAGCCGGAGGATTCCGGGAGCAGCCCAAAATTCCAGGATCAGCCCAAGGATTCCAGGATCAGCCCAAGGGTTCCGGGAGCAGCCCAAAATTCCGGGATCAGCCCAAGGATTCCGGGAGCAGTCCAAAATTCCGGGATCAGCCCAAGGATTCCGGGAGCAGCCGGAGGATTCCGGGAGCAGCCCAAAATTCCAGGATCAGCCCAAGGATTCCGGGAGCAGCCCGAGGATTCAGGGATGCAGCTCAGCCCAAGGCAGACGCTCCCTCTCGCCCTCCGGGGCTCCTCTCAGCTCCATCCCCGCTCGCTCCCCGGGCGAGCCCGGCTCTCCAGCAGCCGGCCGCGGCTCGGGCCGGCGGGCAGGGCTCCGGGCAGGCTCCGGGCAGGCTCCGGGCAGGCTCTGGGCAGGCTCCGGGCAGGGCTCCGGGCAGGGCTCCGGGCAGGGCTCCGGGCAGGGCTCCGGGCAGGGCTCCGGGCAGGGCTCCGGGCAGGGCTCCGGGCAGGGCAGTGCCCGCCTCACGCCGCTCGGACATGCCGCTCCCTCCCGGCCGGAGCGCGGCTCCGCGCGGAGCCCGGCATGGAGCGGCGGGAGGGAGGGATGGAGGATGGATGGGAGGGATGGAGGATGGATGGGTGGGAGGGAGGGAGGTGGATCCCCAGTCGCGGTGGTCTCCGTGCGGGGAAGGGGCCGCGCAGCATCAGACAAGGGAGCGGCAGCGCGGAGCGAGCCCGGAGCTGCCCCCTCCCTCCCTGCAGCCCTCCCTGCCTCCTTCCCTCCTTCCCTCCCTCCCTCCGCCCGCCCCTCGGCCCGACCCCGGCGCGGGGGGGGGCTCGGCGAGCCCCTCCGAGCGCTCGGTGCCCAAGGATTGTCCCCAAGGCAGGAGCAGCTCCAGGACTGTCCCCAAGGCATGGGGCAGGAAGCTGCCAACCCCGGGATTGTCCCCAAGGCA